AAACCGACCAATCGTCAAAGTTAACTAATCCTTTTCACAATTTATTTTATTGAAAGTTTCTAAAATGGATTTTTGATTCAAACGTTTTGGCAGTTTTTTTCCTTTTCCTTTACAATTTATGGTAAAAATGAAATCATTTGCATGCAGCAGATTTGCATGGAGCACATTACATGCAATACATATTGCATGCAGCACAAATCCTGTTTTCTTCTATTCCAACTTTTCCCTATTCACTTTTCTCTTTACTATTTTTCATTGTTGATTGCAATTGGTATAGTTGTACTTTTCATTTATGATATAGATTAGATAGTCAGGTCGATTCATACATAATATTTTATTATTTGAAATCTTCAAAATAGTAGATTTTTTCTTAGCTTAAATTTGATATTAAAGATAAAGGGATAAAGGGAGAACTGAGAATGTTAGATGAATTTTTTGTATTTATGCTATCTTTCTTACTGAATATTACTTTTCCATTTCATTTACTAAATTTTAATCCTGGAAATTTGAAATTAAACTTTTAATTTTTAAAATATGAGTAGCTCAAAATAGATCGTTGAAATTTAATCGAAAATAAATTTCAAAATTAATTGAAATTAATTTTGATATTAATTATCAAATTATTAATGTCAAAATTATAATATAATTTTGAAAGAAAATAAGTGAAAGTTTAGTATTATTCATTTATATAATATGCATACGTTAATATTTTGATTGAAATGACAACAAATTCGACGACACTTTTCAGTGATTAATTGTTTGATAATCTGATAAAGTAATCATATTATTATTTACGAATAAAATGGAAAATTTTCAATTTCAAATTTCAAATATTAAATTATTACATTTAAAAATGCTCAATTCATATATGCAAACATATTTAGAGAGAGAGAGAGAGAGAGAGAGAAAAGATGTAATCTTAAGAAGTAATATTCAATCATTCATTTATCATTGGTCTCCAACGTTTTTCATTTTGATCGACTGGCAGAAACCGGATTGAGATCAATTCCTTTTTCATTGCTGTTCTTTGCTATTTATGATATGATTTCCGTTTCCGAAAGCTGAAAAATTCTAATAGAACTTAGATATTAATATTAACTAAAACTTTTTCAAATAAAATTAATTTCGTAAGATATTTCATCATCGTTTCTTTTAACTATTGTAACATTTTCATGCTCAATTTCCTTTGTAAAATTTGAGGTCAAACATCATTGGTTCATTTTAAAAATTGCTTTTACCTGAATAATTTTCAATTTCAATTTTCTCACTGCAAGATATTTAAATAATAGTTAAGAAGAAGAGGAATAGAGAAAAGTTATTTGTAAACTTTCATCTTCTAAATTTTCTATCTTACAATGAATTGGCATAAGTTTGAATTATCATTCTTTTACTTTACTTCAAATAATATATTTTCAGGTAAAGGTAGACTTGATGATTCACAAATGAACCATTCATCATTGATTTATAAGAAAAAGTAAACTCGTTCTGATAAAATTTTTGATGATTTCATGAAAGGAAAAAACTTTGGGTATATTTCTCTCTCCGTTTTTTGTCAAATTTAAATTACGAAGAAACTTTTCGGGCATATTAATGGCTCATATTTTATTTATATTTTACGCTATTTATTATATTACTATTTCTGAAATTCAATAAATGGATAATTTGGAATTTTTTAAATTACAATTTTTTATTTACAGAAAAGTTTACTGTAGAATTCTTAGTTAATTCCAGTTTGTGGAAAAATTGAAGAAGATATTATACGAAAAAATATGAAATTTCCGATAACAAAAATACGGAAAACCGAATTGACACTAAACTTTCCCAAATAATCGTTTAAAATAAGTTAGATTTTAAGATATAACATAATATTCTAAGAAATCTAGCGCATGACGTGGGATACGTAAGATCTTTCTTACTTCTACAAATGACGGACGTTAGCAAGCGTGAAACTTATATCTGTTGCGTTTCAATCTTTCAAAATATCATTGCAAATGTCATTATATCTTTTATTATGATATGAGACAGTTGACGATCTCGCGTTTTGTTAATTGTTCCATGAGAGAGAGAGAGAGAGGGAGAGAGGGAGAGATTTCTACAATGTCATCTGTTTACGTAGTAAAAGTAATAGATATAAAATATCAGAGCACACATTATTAGCAAAGTCAAAAAAGTGCATGCAGGTCGATAGAATGAAGGGGATTAGATAAAATTGAATAAGTAAATAGGTGATATTAATTAATTAGGTATAATTGAATGATTCCATTCATTGAATTAGTTACTAACATTGTGATGCGAATATTATTGAATGGTGGCGGCTAAATAACAGGTATGGTGGCATTATCAACTGTGGTTGTTTGTACAACAACCACAGTTGATAAGAATTTTTGCTCACAGCATGTATCAGTCATACATTCGTCTTATCATTCTTCTTTTCTATTGAATTACTTGCAAAAGATTCTATGATTTCAATTTGAATCTTATCAAAGTTAATTTTAATTCATTAATTATCTTCAATCCCAGATCCTCTTTCATTCTCTTTATCTCAATAATTAAATCCTTAAATTATCCGAGAATCTCTTCTTCGATAATTCAATAGGCTTTTACTTTTTAATATTAAAAACACAAATAGATTTAAATTTAAAGCCAACATTTACATATAGAGAATTAATCCTATAATGTTCTATATATTTGACCTATTTAGAATTGTTTAAAATCATAATGATAATTAAAATTTTAGAACAATTTTAGTTGAATAAATTTCGAGGACCATATTTGGTGTAATTTTAATCGAACAAATATAAATTGCGAATTTAAACTTCAAAGCAGTAATTCAGAAAAATAATCGATCAAAATACATACTGAAAGAGTGATGCTGAAGTAAATTATTGAATTAGTCATATTTTCGAAAATTTTGATTCCCAATTTTTTATAATTTTTTTCGTCAGAATCTTTGAAATTTGATGATTTCACGTTTGTTGCAATTATTTTCTTCGCTTCCTTCTTTTGTTGATTTAATATTTTGATAAAGAAGGAATACAATAGTTCTCCCAAAATTTTAAACTGTGATTGAATCAATTGTTTGATATATTTTCACTTCGATCCTTCGATCCTCACCAGGTATGCTTCATAGAAATCTAAAACAAAGCACTCAAAAGTCTTAGCTTATTATTTAATGAATTTAATTTATGATTTAATATAAAATTTTTTTAGCAACTGATAGGAAGAATTTTATTTCGACACTCACATCACACTCTAAAATCTTGCAAATTTGAAAAGTCAAATAAAACATCAAAAATCACTGAAAAATTTTTTTCAAATTACAATAAATTTCTGCAGCCTTTTTTTGCTCTTCCGAAACTGATTTGAAATAAAAAGAAAAGAGAAATTAATTATTCCATTGGGATAATTAAAAAATTACCAGTTCTAATTTAAATGGAATTTAATTTTGAAAAAGAAAGAAAGTAAGATAAAGTAAGGTAAGGTATGTCTTTAACAATGCCAATATTAAAAATGAATCATTTCAATAATTTAATTTAAATCAATCTACGAAGAGTTTATTAAACGAACGAAATTGCAAAATGTTGGCGATAGTTTGCTTATTTTTAATTTCATTTAAATTCAATTAATTTCGAGTAAAAATAATTAACAAAAAATTTTATTTTATTTCTGAAAAATACTATATGATGTCCTTCACGTAATTTATTGCAATGAATGAATTTTGATAAATTAAAAATTATAAACTAATGGAAACTAATTACTCGCAAAAGCACTTAAAGTACATAATTGTAAGTATTTAAAATAATCAAATCAATTAAGCAATTAAATAAACAAATTTAGTTTTGTTGTGTTAGTGAATCAATTGAAGTGGACAGCTAAGTAAATAAATTTTATAATCATAGAGATATGATGAATTAATGTTTATTTTTTTCAACGAAATAAATAATTTGCACAATTTCAATCGAATTAAAAAATTTTATGATAATCATAACATAAAAATATAATGAAATTTTAAAATTATTATTATTAGTTTAATGATTTCATAATCTTAAATGATTAAATTATGATTATTACGTCTTTTTACAATCGTTGTTTTCTTCTTTACTTTATCATTTTAAATAAAACAAAGAATGCACAACGATCGTTTTAATTACTTTAATAGATTCTATAAATTTTATAATTTACTGAATTAATTAATTTATTTGCTGCAATCTAATAGTTTCATTTAAATATTGAATTTTAAAAATTCAGGAATTAGAATATTTAGAAGCAAATGTGTGTAATATTAATTTCCAATTCAAATATTATTGGCTTAAATCGATCATCAAATAATTTCGAAATTTAATTGCAAATCATTTCATAAATTTAGTAAAATACTTCACTCATTTATTGCTGTCTTATTTGTCTGATAATATTTATTTATAATAAATGAAGGATAATTACGAAAATAATTCTTTTTGTTATTCGTCGTTGTTTTACGCATTTTCACAAATACAACTTTTTAAATCATTTCATACTATACGATTCTTTCGGCTTTTGTTGTTAATGTAAACTAAGCATTGCCGAATTAACATTTCCATATTTTGACGCACTTGAAAACTTGACGTATCCATGACGTGAATTACATTTCAAGCGTGTAAAAGTGAAAATACATTCATGTATTCTGTTCTTTTCTTTTCGTTAGTTATTCAGCTTTCATTGCATAGTTTACTTTATCAATCGTATATCCTCTTTCACTTCTTGGCTATTATTTTCGCTATAATGTTTACGTGATATCTCGGTCATGCTAGCAGAAAAATCGTTATGATAGTAATGCTACTTTAGCCTAAGTAAAAATTTAACAACAAAAATCTTCTCATAATTCGGTACCAGCATATATTATATATCTTACGATATCTTTTATTTCTGTTCTAATCCCAAATCTTATTAATACTAATTCAAGAAAAAAATCAATCAATAATTTGCATTCTCCTACAATAGATTTCAGGTGATCAGAGTTGGAAATGAAACCTCGGGATTTATGGCTTTCACTAGTATTTATCATCATTCGATGCTCTTTCGTTCTTTTCGCACAACAACAGAAATCACAAAACGGTATGATTTCATCAATCCATCACATTTATGAATGACTGGCAATAATTGGCTTTTTAAATTATTTTTTCCATAAAATAAATAATATTGCAAAATAAAGAAAAAGATACTTAAAAAATTCTAACCAAATTTTACCTTAAAATTTATAAGAATCATAACTTCTATTTTTGCAGCAAATCATTTTGAGTGTCGTGTGGACGATCCATTAGCTTGCGATCAAAGTAAGTATGAAGTATGTACATTCCGTAATGGTGCCTATACCTGTCAATGTCCGCAAAATATTGGTCGAACCGCAGATGGACGATGTATTGTAATAAATGAATGTGCTGAGCCACGTCTTAATGAATGCCATCAAAATGCGACATGTATTGATCAGGTTCGATTTAATTAATTTGAATAAACAATAAAGGAAATTATGCAAAAGAAAAATTTACATAAACAATTGATATTGACAAATAAACATTAATTGTTCTATTCTGATGGATTAATTAACAAGAAATTATGCAAATTATATGAAAAAATTATTAAAAATTTATTTCAAAAATATTTTGTATAATTATTAATATCTAATGAATGTGTTCAGCTGTCAACAAGAAGTTTTCATTTCTATTTTTCCATTATTTTTAAACAACAAGTATAGGTACGTATGTACTCAATAATTTGATAAAACGAACGTTATTTGTCTGTCAAGACCGGTTTTTCTACGTTGACATTAGTGTGTAAGATCTTTTTTTTTTGCTAAAATTGTAAACATTAAAATGAATGTTTGACGAAAAAGAATAATACAACAATTATTTGCCGATAATTAACTTAATTAATATGAAATGAATGAACGAGGTAAAGTTTACTTGAAATTATAAGTTTCATTATAATTTGAACTAACTGCAAATCAAAAAAGAAAAATTAATTTCTAATTATTTAAATCAATTGAATAATTAAATAATACTGATAAACTAAAGAAAGAAAATTGTTCTATCATTATATATTAACAACAAATATGGACAATATCGGATGATCAAAGAAGTGGCAAAAATGTTGAAATGTTTCAAATTATTAAATATAATTAAATGAAATATAACAAATGCGATATTATCAAAAGCATTTACGAAATAGTAATTCAAAGTTTCCAAATTTCAAATCAAACAAAAGAAAAAATTTCACATTCAAAGGATTTCACAAATAAATATAAGAAATGAGAAACAGCGAGAGATATGAGATAAGAAATTTGATATGATAGTATTTTAGTAATAAATGAAGAGATCACTCTGAATTTGAACTTCTCTGATAATCCCTTCACTTCAACTATAATTCTATGAGAAGACAATAAATACATCATTTTTAACAATTGTTAACTTTTATTTTTATGAAACTACTGACTGCATACATTATTTGTTACGTGTAAAATTAACATGTTTAACGCGTGGCATGCAAAAATTTATTAGTCGATCGAGACGTATAATTATTGATGATTTAGAAACAAACGATACATTATTTTCTACTTCTAGGATTGTATTTCGATATTGTGATACATGTATGATTTGTAGTAATTAACATTTCTTACATTGCAAGACTAATTAAAAGTTTTCATTCAAAAATTTAAAATTAAAATCTTTAATTTATGGATATATGATATCGTAATTCGAACACAAATATAATTGTTATAAATGTGATTATTTTGAGATTGAAAATGAAAATAGAAAACAATTCCATAAATTTTTCCGTTTGCCTAAAATGCAATATTTCCTCCATCATAAATGATTAATTATTTTTGTTTCTTAAATATTTTAGACTGAAGGTTATACATGTCGATGCTTAAACGGTTTTGCTGATATATCAGAGAATCCAAAAGTTAAACCAGGTCGAATATGTCAAAGAGAGGTGAATGAATGTGCTAATCCGGTCAATTATAATGTTGATTGTTCCAAAAATGCTAAATGTCAAGATACAGCGGAAAGTTTTATGTGTATTTGCAATTCAGGATTTACGGATATCAGTGCTCATTACTCTCTATTACCTGGACGAAAGGTTAATAAACTTGCTATACAATCATCATTGACTACAATACATCAGGACCTATTGAGATATATTTATCATCTTCAACATCGCAACAACAGATAATACATAATCTCAATTCTTTCAGATTAGAATCAATTATCTTGATAATGATAATTAATTTTGATAATTTGCTTCACTTACTTTATCACAATCAATTTATTTGTTTAAATGTTTGTTTTATTCAATGATTTTGCATAATTATTTTAGTGCGTGAAAGATGTTGATGAATGTAGCAGTGGTGGTATAAATGATTGCGCAACAAATGCTGAATGCATCGATCAACCAATTGGGTGAGTAATTCTCAATTATAAGTTTTTGGTTTTTTCTTTCTGTTTGGAAAATAAAATTAAATGGAAAGTGAAAATGAAATTATTTCAACGCTTAAATCTTATGCATACTTCATTTCGTGAATTTATGCAAATTCTGTGCACAACAATTTTTAATGAAATATAAAATGAATTAGCATAGAACTCCATAAATTAAATTATTGTTCTCAAATAGAAATTAAATTAATTATCCCTCATACTCTTTCTCACTTATGCTATTTTCTGTCATCATATGCTATATCATTAAAAAAAGTATTTTACATAAATAATTTTAAATAATTAAAAAGGTAAGCTGATATTACCTTTGCTCTCCAACATTTGTCACTATCTAAGAATTTTACCATTTGATAAAATAAATTTCAAAATGAAAAGTAAACATTGTGTACATTTCTTGGAAGATAGCAGTTATCAAATCTTATCATTTTCATCTTTAGAATCTCAATCACAAAATAAACGAATATTCTCATTATCAATTAATGTTAAATGATATTTTTCAATTTCAATCCTGTAGAATATAAGCAATAAATAAAGGAAGATTTTTCAATAAAAAAAGTAGTCTTCGTTTTAATAATCATCTCTGATAATATCAAGCAATCGAAAAAAGATAAGAAATCTCATCTCCGAGAAAGATAATAATTGGACTATCTACAAATGTGGATAGTCATGCTGCTGAAAATTTAACTATTTCGATTCTTTGCAACTAAGATTTTTAACATCGATAGTGAATTGATTAAGCATGGTCTACTTGAAGACTTTTAGAATTCCTGAAGAATCATTCGATATTCTATATGATTATATTGTTTATAAATGGCAATATTATTTTGTAAATTATTTAATTTCTAGGTCAAGGTATTGATTGCATCATTTTATGTGGTTATATGCTTGTATTAACTAAATTTTTTTAATGACGAATGACATGATTAAAGGGCATAGTGACATAATGACATAGATAACATGACATAATATAATAACATAATTGACATTAAAAATATCAAATCGTTTAAAAACCCATAGAAACTTTAATTTAAATAATTTCAGTTAATGGTTGAAGTGTATGTTGAATGTTATTTTAGGTATATTTGCAAATGCAAAGAAGGATTTGTGGATGCAAGTCCAAATATTACCCATTATCCAGGTCGTCAATGTATTGCGCCGAAAGATCCCCAATATATCAATAAAGCCAAATCCCAACAAACAGTTTTGTTATCATACAAATTACAATTTAGATGCTTTTTTTGAGAAATAACTTAGCTCATAATAATAATTAATTAATGGGAGTTAATTAGAAGTTTAATTCTTTTATTATTCTGATTAGTCATAAATTTTTTAAATAAAATGTTGTATGATAAAACTTCAGGGAAGAAAAAAATTTTATCATTTATTCTATCCTTTTTGATATCTTAAAAGTATTGCAGGAATTTCCATGTCATCCAGTATTTAAACCAACTTGTTCAATGAATCAAGTATGTTCAATGGATGATCAAGGCATGCATTCATGTCAATGTTCGCCATCCAGCATTTTAACTCCTAATGGACAATGCATAAGTAAATAATTCTAATATCCATTCAAGAAAATGAAAGGAATGAAATTTGAATGAATCCTAAAATTCATTTAAATTATATTTCTAATACATTGCCATTTTAGTTTTTCCTTCTTTTCTCAATGCTTTAGGCTATTTTTAGAAATTTCACGTAATTAAAACGAATCATTTCATTTTAATTTTTGTAGAAACTTCATACGAAATTGATTTTGAAATATTTAAGAAAAATACGTTAGGAATTTTTCTTTTATTTTCGACAACTAAATTAAACTAATCAATATTTTTCATTTTCTACTTTGAAGCATTCAATCATTGCAAAAAACATAATGACTGTGATTTGGTTGCAATCTGTTCGAATACATATGATGGATATAAATGTCAATGTCCACCAGGATTCTTAGATACATCACCTGATCCTTTACGATTACCAGGAAGAAAATGCACTCAATGTAAATTTCATTAATTTACATAAACGTAGGTGTAAGCATTATGTGAGCAAAAATAGAATTATTGGGAAACAAAAGTTTTATATTTTGTTTTGTTAATAATAATACGATAGAAATTAGTAACAATTTTAGACAAAAATTTAAAATTTATCAATAATTAAATAACAATGAAGAAAATAATATTTCCACATAATTAATACTATATTACAGTAATTAATGAATGTGGCACAAATAAACAGGATTGTTCACCGTACGCTACGTGTATCGATACGTTAGAATCATATCTGTGTCAATGTAATGCTGGATTTACGGATGTTTCCTCACGTTATGGTTTAAAACCTGGACGACGCTGTGCCCAGTGTTTGTGATGCATATTTGCTTTTAAAATTAAATTATACGTAAGCGTTCTAAGTATTTTATTTATATTAATTCAAATAATTGTAGCTAGGAATCACTGTGCTAATCGATTAACAAATTCATGCGATGAAAATGCGGATTGTGTAACACTACCGGATGGTTATACTTGCATTTGTGCTGCCGGATATTTCGACGTTTCCAGTAATGCTAAACTACCACCTGGACGCGTATGTACTTTACATACTAAATGGTATGGAAAAAGCAAATTTTTTTAAACTATAACTTATACTTTAAACTAATAACTTAATACGTCAAGTTATAAAATTTTCAAGTTTATTTCACGTTTTTATTAGTTCAAATTAGTTATTATTAGCTAGTTCAAATTAAATTAGTTTAATTAAATTAAATTATAAAATTAAATTAAATTTATTAGTTCAAATTAAATTAGTTTGTATTTATTAGATATTCGTAAGGCATATCATCAAAAAATCATTTTCTATTTCACAGCGATGAGAAATATTACAAGAATATTATAGATTAATTCTCTCTTACCTTAACTCATATAAATTGATAGCGTATGTTAATATATGTAATTTACTGATATCAAAATATTACGAGTAACAATTATGAATGCCATACTGATATTTAACGAAGAAATAGAAATGGACTGCCAATTCGCAATTCTCCTAATACCAATTATCTTCAAGACATTTTCGTTGAGAAGCGCTACAAATTCTTTAGTTAAAGTAATTATAGAACTTTGTTTAAGGTAACAAGCAAAAATGAGTACTAAGTGTGTTTTTAATTTCAATTCAAATTTCGATTTTCAATTCTGAAATGAATTATGTTGATTTTTGTCAAACACTATAAGTTTGTTTTATTTCCGGAAATTTATATCAATAGAATAATTCAAATAACATACGCAGTTTTAAGCCCAGCTCAATCAACAGATCTTATTTTCCTAATCGATGGAAGTGGTTCAATTGGTTCGGATGTTTTTCATAAAGAGGTTCCAAAGTTTACTTAAATTTTAAAAGTTAGTGAAAATTTTTATAACAAAGTTATCTTTGTGTTTCAAGATTGCTACTAAATTATTGCACTAATTACGAAGAATTAAAATAATACTGAATGAAAAAATTTCAATACAGTTTCCGTGTACCTTAGAAATCTTAAATTGAATTTACTCTATAGGTGCTTCGTTTTGTAAAAGATTTCATCGAGTTATTTGATGTTTCCCCGCAACAAACTCATGTAGCTGTATTACAATACTCGGATATTATTAAACATGAAATCGACTTGAATCAATATTCATCGATAAAACAATTAAAACAAGCTATTGATAACATCGAGTAAGTTAATTTATAGTTTTTGAAAAATTCCAACCAGTAAACATTTAGATATGTTGAAAACTCTCTACAGATAATATTAAATTTATCGATATATTTATAGTACTTCAGAAATAGGAAGATTTATTTAGTGCAATGTTTTATCAAATGATTATTTATAAGAATCATTTTCAGATATTTGACAGGTTTAACAAGAACCGGTGCAGCAATAGAACATGTTGCTAATGAAGCATTCAGTGAACGTCGTGGTGCTCGACCGCTTGGTAGCGGAGTACCACGGATTGTTATTGTTATAACAGATGGACGATCACAAGATGATGTAATCATACCTGTACAAAATGCAAAAATGAAAAAAATACAGTTTTTTGCAGTTGGTGTTACTAATCACGCGTTAGATGCCGAATTAGAATCAATTTCTGGTATTTCGTTTATTTATTAGAATCTCACAATCTTAGTCAGAATTATGATTATGATTATAACGAAACTATCTTAACAATATCTTATTATGATTATAACGAAACTATCTTAACAATATCTCAAACTAAATTTTATAGTTTTAACATACAATTGAGCTACTTTATTCCACTTATTTTTTTATACATTTAATAAAATTATCAGTAAGCTATCAGCTTCAATCATTTTATGGAAAATGTTGAAGCCATAAAAAATTTGTTCGTCATCTTCAGTTCGACATAAATTTTTGCGGATAGACAAAGTTTTTATTTAACAAATTATCAGATTTAATTTATTTTATATATATTTCCCTCGTTCTAACTAATGGTATTCAAATCGATCAATCGATTTCATTATATAATCTTTAGGATCAAAGAAGCGAACATTTCATGTGAATGCATTTGAAGAATTAAATGCTCGCTTGCGAAGTGCAATTCAAAAAGTTACTTGCCCGATCACTAGTTCACCACCTGCTGCTCCGCTAGTATTTCAACGTAACTTTTTGGTTATTTTAAATTTTTATTTTAAAATTTTAACAAAAAATACAATCATCGTTATCTTCTGGATGCTTGCAGTAAATTATTTTGCGAAGTACCATAAATTAATCTGTTGTACCACAGGTGAATTTGAAAGTATGAAGAGATGAAATTAAGTTAAAATATGATAAAAAAGCATTGCAGATATTTCATTAATATTGTTTGTACTGTTTATAAAAAAACATCATCGAACAAGATCTGCTTCGCTGTTGACATTCTTCTTATATGCTGCATTCGTTATGGGCACAGAAGGTAGGGAGTGGGATATTTTATATAGCTTCGAAACTTTTGAGGCCCATAAACAAATTCCTCCATCATTTTGTTGGTGGAATAAATGGATGTATTCTAAAAAACATTAAAGATGTAATTAAATAGCTTCCAGGAAAACGGTAGTTTATGGTGCTTCAGAAGTTACGAAATAGTACCACGTTAAAATTTTTTTTCCAAAAACAAATAAATGATTGTATTAGTATCATTAAATAAAAGCATGGCTGGCAACATTGGAAATTTATTCTAATTTTTATTCCTATCTGTTCAATCAATCATATTCAATTTTTTCCTTAATTGACTAAATATGTCCGCGTGAAATATAAACTTTAATACTAACGACTTTATTCTTTTTTTAATTTGAAAAGTCTAACTTGTTTCACTATCCATCACATCAATATTAAGAATGGAATGAAATTGGATTAACTATATTTGTTGATATTTGTTCTGTCTGATAAGCAAACAAATTTATTCAACAGATAAGAATTGTGCTAAAAATTCATTGAAAGGTGTAAAATGATGCTAACATTGTTAATTGATTAATTTGAACAAAACTTATTTTTACAGATTTATCTTTTCTTTTTTTTTACTAATTAAGGAATGGAGTAATTATAATAATTAAGAAAGATTGATATGGTGGCGGTTGGATTTGTTGCCTGTTTAGTTGACACATTTTTATTTGAATATATGCAAATGTAATTGATAAGAAAGATTGTGAAATGCAACATTAAATTATTTTAATCAATTAATTGCCTTAATTGTGTGTTTTGAATTTTTTCCTTTTAACATTATTTTATTATATTTTAACATTATATAAATACCAAATTCTTATTTATTTAATTTTTGTTTGTGTTTTGCCTAAAATTGTTGTTATCATTTGTTTCATTAGGATAATGAAACAAATTTTTTTAAATATTCTTTTAGAATTTAAATTTCAGAGAATTGCGTTTTGCAAACTCATGCAGGATGCGATCGATCGCTAAACCAAATATGTGTAATGAAAGATGGAAAACCTTGTTGCGTTTGTCCAACAAGATTTGAACTACATCCAATTACACGGGTATAGATAGATATATGACGGGTATAGGCATAAATATTTAGATATAAGTATTAATATGTGGTTTAAGCAAATGTTGTGTACTACACGCACGCGTGAAATGGTCTTACTTTAAGCAGAGATTATTCGTACAGCATGAAGCATTTGAGATTCTTGCAATTTGCCAGCTACTATGTTTAATTTACGCACTTTGGTTCTCACGTAGTCTAAAATAACACTTAACAGTGTTTTTTCAACTTATGTGAGATTCTTCGATATTCATTTCGATATCGTAATCTATCTTCTAAAGTATTATGAGATATAGAAATTCTGAATTCTGAAACTTTTCAAGTAATAAATAATCTATCGTCAAATAAGTATCATAGATGAACTAAATTCTAATGCGCGACTTCATTTTTTTCAGGTTTGTGGTGGTATTTTATGTAATCCACAACTTATTTCATCATGTCCAAGTCCTGAAGTATGCCTGTTAACACCACATGGGAATTATAGATGTACATGTCCACTTTATTTTGTAAGAGATCAGAAGTCCGGTGCTTGCAGTAAGTTCCTCAAATAATTTTTTAATTTTTCCGTTTTTAAGATTTTTGGCACAATTTTCTTCAATTAGTTATTCTTCTGAATGCACGATAAGCAAAAATTCTTCAACAATTCCGGTATTTCAATTGTTGAAATTTAAATGAAGTTTTATACCATCATTTTTAGCAACTAAACATGTACCATCAGTGCCTGGAATAATACCAAATATAGATGAATGTGGACAAAATAAACCGTGTGGAAAAAACGAACACTGTGTGACGTCTTCATCCGGAAAACGAATCTGCCAATGTCTGTATGTTTTTTGTTAGATTGAAAATTTGCAAAAATTTTAACAAAAATTTGATGAAATTGATTAACGATGGAATAAAAATAATAATGGATAAATGGTTGCAAAGACAATAGGTAATAATAATAAATAATTATAAGTATAGTAATGTATTAGAAAAGTTTTCATAAACTTCTAATTGTTGATGAAGTAAATTGATTTTTGAAGGAAAGAAATTTTCCGTAAATTTGCCAACGGTATGCATGGATACGTGCGTTAACTTGCTACATTTGAAGTTTTACCACCAATAGAAAATTTCAACTTTGACTTCATTCATCTATTACCAATTTACTACGATTTATGATTACGATTTTTTGTGACAATGAAAAAGTTACATATACAACAGTTGAAACATTTTAGGCCTGGTTATGTGACTAGCTCAAATGGTAAATGTCACGCAAGCGGAACATGTGAGCCATATTTGCCAAATTCTTGCGATCAACGAAGACATGAAGAGTGCCTTCCGGATAATCGTGGAGGATTCATTTGTCAATGTGCCGCTAATCAAATCCGGCATCCTATCACCGAGATTTGCTGTAGGTTATAATTGAACTATAATGAAGTGGCATCATAGGAAATGCAATAATGGAAATATTAAGATGGAGAAATTTGATACAAACAATATCAATAAAATAATGATAAATGAATGTAGTTCAGAGAATATTATGCATGTGATGAGAATGCACATAGCTAAAATAATTAACTGATTAGATAATTAGCATTTGTAAGACAAGATATTAAAAACATGTACATGATGTAGTGGTGGATGAGTGCGCTGCCGGAATGCATGATTGTGACAGGAATGCGAATTGCATCGATACGGATGAAGGATATATTTGTACATGTAAAGAAAGCTATATCGATGAAAGTCCAGATCCGTCTCAAAAACCCGGAAGAGTTTGCCGATTACGTATGTGTTCGTTTCTTCATTCAATAAGAAATTATTATTACTAGAACTTCAGGCTATTGATGTTATAGATATCGTACCGTTCAGGATAGACCAAAATATTATATTTGGGGTAAGAACTTTGAATTTTATTTTCACAACTGTAAATATACTGAATTCTGAAAAGTCTTTTCGTTTCGTAATTTTAGAAAATTTTTGATCGTTGGAATTTCTGAAGTTTTCATTTGCTAAGTTAATTTAAATACAGCGAATGTAATGATGAAAATTTTCAGGATAATTATGCATTTTATGAATTGCAGAGACTGATGAATGTGCTCAAGGTACTCACAATTGTTCAGTAAATGCAGATTGCATTAATTTGCCAAAAGGATTTTTGTGTAGATGTAGAAGTAATTACGTAGACTTCAGGTATGCATTTTATATAAATTCATAAAATCTTTGATAATTTGAATATATACAGAGTGGGAGTTACGACAAGCTGAATATATTCTGAATACCACTACTATACGATATATCTAGGACACCATTAGATAAATCAGAAAATTCAGAAATCTTTTATACAATGATAGTAGCTATACTGACACCGTTATTGTGTGATAATAAGTATTGTCACTGAAATACTTCTTACTTTCCTATTTTCTTCAACTTTCAACTTTCTTTGCTAATTAAGATCAAAGGAAAAAAGTGTAAATTCGATGATTGAATAAATTAGATGATAAATTTGCATTTTTTTTTATAGTCCAAATCCACAATATTTTGGTGGCACAAATTGTAAACCATTAGTGGATGAATGTGCCAACAGATCATTAAACACATGCAGTAAAAATGCTATTTGCATTGATACGATGGAGAGTTACAAATGTCAATGCAAGAAAGGTTTCATTGATCATGACGAATTTCGAAATCCGGGAAGAATCTGTGAAGAAGGTGCTATGATAAACTCAAAATACTACACTTATAAATCTATCTGGAAGAAGAATAAACTTAATTTGACCTTTTCAATTGTTTTTGCCAATTCGTTCTTTTATCACATGATAAATCTGTTTGAACTTAATTACTAATTACTGACTTAATCGCCTATTTAATTACTTTAGCATTGGTATCGTTAAAATTTTCAGTTCTTAATTAAACCACAAGCGAATGTCGTAGAGAGTGTTAGTTATTAGTTTTTAGAAATTAATTACTTATTTTCAATTAAAATTTTATAAACCATTTGCAAGCTTTTAGCAAATCGCCTCTGTGTATCAAACCAAAACGATTGCGATAAGAAAGCGAAATGTATCCAGAAAGGTATCAACGAATATATCTGTATCTGTGATCCTGGTTATATTGATAAAAGTCCTGAACCAAATAGGCCAGGTTATTTTTCAAACTATTTTTATCACCAGAAAAATCAGAAATACTATCATTATTCGGTCTAGCTCTCCAACATATACTTTCATTTCATCTTTTAGATACCTGAAAATAAGTGATTCTGTGTAAAGAGTGCTTTTTTAAAACCAATTTATTTTAAAATAAAACTGATCTATCCCTAGCCTAAGCCTACCACTCAATTAATTGCTTTCACTGCATTACAGTTGCAATGATGAAATCATTTGTAAATGCAAATTTCAAAATGAAATATTTAGGTCGTATTTGCTTGGAACGTATCTGCAGTGATCCATCAAAGCACGATTGTCATCCGGCTGCTGTGTGTACAGAAGTTCCAAAACCGGAACGTTATATATGTTCATGTCGTAATGGTTATATCGATATGAATCCGAGCAAGCCTGGTTAGTATCCCACAACAAGTTTCACATTCTACGAACTTTTTTTACAAAATGGAAATTTCCTCTCCATCAAAATATTCTATTCATGATTATTGAGGTATGTGTGACTTTCACTTTCAGAAAGTTAGAAAAGGTTGCCAAAATACTTGACAGTATTTTATTTAAGTATTTTGATGCTCAAGATATGATACTTTCTCATTGTTAGCGTTGATTTTGAAAAATAGAATTTAATCAATTTCAAAGCGAAATGTTTCAGGAAGAGTTTGCAAAGAATTGGTAAACGAATGCTTGGATCCATCATTAAATGATTGTGATCCAGCGGCTACATGTAGTGATTTGAAAGAAGGATATACATGCACTTGTCCACCCAATTCCAACGATCTTTCTACGGGTAATTATCCAGGACGAAAATGTTCCATTGTTAGTATACAAGTTATTCAATTCTTAATTAATAAAATCTTATAGGCTAAGTTATTTTATTTCTACTTCAAAATTTATGCTAGCATTTATTTACTGATTTTGTTGTCGTTATTGCTTGCACGATTTCGTTTGCATTTACAGCCGCTCATATAGAAAATTGATTAAGCAGTGATAAATTTTGACAAGGAAGTTATTTGTTAATGACCGAGAAGAGTTTAAACTTTGTATGTATGTAACTTCCACTTATGTGAATTTGCGGAAATTTGCAGTTGGTGAACGAATGTGCAAATCCACATTTGAACAACTGTAGTCGTTTTGCGGATTGTAGAGATCGGGAAAAGGGTTACGAATGCATTTGCAAAGCTGGTTATCGTGATAGAAATCCGGCTAAACCGGGAACAGATTGTAAATTGAGTGCGTTGTTTAGCTATATTCTTTTTTGACGTTATAATATAATTATCAGTCAATTGAATCGATCATTTATTTGGTTATTCTTCTTTACTGTTAATCCGAGATAATTTGAGACTTTTATTGTTAATCCGGGATAATTTGAGACGTTGAGGTATTGCTTCAGAGAAGTGTTAATGGTAAAACCGCTTCATTCCAGAATAGTAAATTATATTGAAGTATATTCCTTTCTGGTTGGGGCGGTGCTCAAATACTCAATTGATCACTTTGTAGTAGAAAGTACAGAAAAGTTTATAATGCCATTTGATACGAGACACTGATAATAAATAGGAATCGCCCAGTCATTTGAAAGATGAAACTAATCGTAAACACAAGATCATTGGATATAAATCATTAGCGGGATTCCTTAGAATCGTACATCAATGAAATACGCTAAGCATATTTTATCATTTGACTGAGAACACATAATTTCTATGGCACAGACAATGAGAATATAAAGATATATAGATTATTTAACGTCTTTATATTATAAGATTATTTCGGCTTTCCGACACTGTTTGCAGACAAGGAAAAGATTTCTGCAGAAAATGCTAATAGCATCTTTGAAATGAATTGAGAATTGGTTAGTCTAAGCTAAATAATCTTTTATGATTTATGACTTATAGTTGTGATTAATTACCTATTACAAATCATTTGCAGTAATAAATGAATGTGAATCACAAAATTTGAACAATTGTGATCAAAATGCAAAATGTATTGATACAGAAGAAGGATTCATTTGTCAATGTATCCCACCTTATATCGATCAAAATCCATCGCAACCTGGTACCATTTGCCGGTAGGCGCTACTATTATTTAATTTTGATATTATTTAATTTTACTTAATTCTGATATTACTTAATTTTTCTTAATTTTTCTATAGGATTAAAGATTTTTTTAAATTCCCACTTCTTTTTTACTTGAAAATTAAGTTTTTTATCAAGTTCAAATTTTGATTTTATTTACAATTTTATGATATATCATGAAACTGTATCACGTAGTCGATTGAAATGGGAAAAGTTTAAAAAAAAAAACAATATGTTTTTAATTCGATTCAGGAGAAAAGGTTTCCCATGCGGTGAGATGGCTTGTCAGGAAGAACTTAATGAAATTTGTTCGGAGAATCGATTATGCGTTTGTCCGCCTGAACAGAAACGTCCAGCTCATGGAGAAAAATGCCGTCCGGTAAGTATACTTTGAATAAGAAAGATTAAATAATTGACTGAATCATAAAAGCTAGTTTATCAATTATCGACTAACTAAAACTAGCTAACCAATGCATAAGCTAATTTTTTACATTTGTACAATAAAATGAGAAATAAGTCCATAAAAGGATCGATGAAAAATAATTCAAATTGAAATTTTAAGTCTCAGATTTAAAATTACATAAATACTAATTTTTGATTAACATTACTAAAATGAAATTCGTTGAATAATAAAGAGAAACGGATAAAGAAAGATACCTTAGCCATATCTTGTTGTCGTCCTGTAATCTTTATCATCTTACATATGAGAAGTGCGCAAGAGTACTCTATCAGCAATCAGTAATTTTAATTATGGCGCACTAATAACAACCTAAACAACGCATTGTGTTTTAGAAGATATCATAAAATGAAGTTAAGATATAACTCTTTAGTAAGTTACTTCATTGAGCATTAGTCAACTGTGTCGTTGGAAATAATTAAGGATTCCGAAGTGATACTTACTACTGTTTAACTGATTTCCAGTTACTCTCAAATTTCTGTACTTTTCTAAATGACAGAAACAAATGAGAATGTTTTATTATTCATTCTTTATATTAACTGTAAGTCTAACTAAAGATTCAATCTATCCTATCTCTCATTCATCCCATTCGCTTCGACTACACATTTATTTATTGTTATTTCGTAAATCGCAATTCAGCATTTATTGCTTCTGAAATTTCAGGTTGAATCTTGGTCTCTACCTTTATGGGTTATTCGTCAGAATAATGAAGAATTAAATTACAACGATAATTTGGCAAATCCACGAAGTGATCGATACAAGGAACTGGTAACCTCATTCGAAAAAGGTATTGCTGAAAGCTATGCAAATACACCACTCAGGAATGGTTTCGTTGTTGCTGATGTAAACAAAATCACTCGGCCAAGTGATTTAGTCAAGGTTCATTTATTTTTCCAACAGAAAAAGTGAGGCTAAAATTCAACTAATTTTATTAAAAATTCGATAATTCAACCAAATCTTTTGCTAATCTTAAAAAAATTTTTTTCTCTACTATATTTTTCTTATTTTAAAGCCCTTTAAGATATCTTTAGGCTTTCATATATTAATCTTTTCTTGATTGAATACCTAAGGCAGCAAAAAGTTTACTGATTTACCATAAAAGATCCATTTAATGAGATATTGATAGTTCAGGAGAATTTCTTATTTAATAATAATTTTGTTGAAGATTTTGATAACATATCAGCAAGCGATATGTACATTATATTTATTCATTATAGCAGTGGGATAAAGGAATTTTGTACAATTTCACGGTTAATTTCATACGCGGCAGTGTTGCATCACCTCCTAGCGTTTTTACCGATCTTTTGAACTATATTACTCAACGGAACAATTTTGAAGTTGGTAACATCTTCTCTTACAGTAATATAATTTTAAATTGCTCAAATTGAGACAGTTCTATTATAAAAATATATATCAGTTTCCGGTAAGTTAACCAGAAATAGACAATGTCAGCATATTCACTTATCGATCAACATTTTTTCAACAAATTCTTCAAACATCAATTGACTCCCGAAAAATGATATAATTTCTTACGATGCCCTAGCAGTGGGATAAAGGAATTTTGTTCAAGAAACTTCAATATTGCTTACAAAAAGTCAATCAATAAATCTATCTTCTATCATTATGCTTTTTCCAATGATCGTAGATTTGGTAGTAATTGTCATTATTACAACTTAGATTGATTCATTTTAAAACTCCAAAGTTTTCAGGTTGGTAAAAGCAAGCAGTATATTAGTCCAATTCAAGCAAATCCATTTGACAATTGTTATAATAGTGATTGTCATCCGGATGCAAAATGTACTTCCACACCAACCGGTTATATGTAAGTGATTGCATCTGCATATAAGCGTTGTGTCTTTTTTTAAGTTAATTGTCGCTAATTACAAACAGTTTTAACTATTAGCAAATTTTTTTCCAAAACTCTGATTATAGAAATCATTCATTCACATCAGCAATAGAAAATGAATAGTGAGAAGCCGTTGAATTTACATGCTTAGGTAAAAATTCGGGAATCGAATTCAAACCTTACCTGACTAATCATGAGTGAAGTAATTGTAATGTCATATTAAAAATGGAGTATATTTTAAATAAAAATTTTATTTATTTTCTGCATGTATATCGAAAAATTATATTTCTGCGATACAAATGTTTGCAATACAAATTTCTGCAGATGTCAGTGTCCGGATACACATCGTGACCTAAATCCCTCAAAACCGGGACGTGAATGCGTAAGCTACATTGGTTTCAACGAATGCGAACGTAAAGAATGGAATGAATGTGGTGAGCATGCTCGATGTATCGATCAAGACCATCTGTACAGGTAATAGCTTCTTGTTGATTTTAAAACACGCGAACAAACTTTGATCCGAATTTGTCTTTTAAAAGTGCAAAGATACAGAGGACCTAGTAAAAATATTATGTAAGGGTCGGAATAGACAATAAATGTAATAAGTGAGATAAATTTACAGATGTGAATGCATAAAACCATATGTTAATGCAGCACCACCAGGAAAATTGCCGGGTTCAGTGTGTCGTATCGATTATTGTTCTGATGTGAACTTTTGTCCTGCAAATACCACTTGTCAAAACGAAGAATCAGGGGTGAGAAGTCAATTTCTTTGCAATTAAATTTGACTCAACCGTTTAAAACTCGATCTAAATTACGTGAAATTGTTATTGTTATTATTACCATAAGTTAAATAGGAATTCGCACACGTGAAACTTCTAAATATGTATCACTACTCTTATTTAAGTTCTCACGTTCCTCTAAATCCTTACTTAGAAGAAGCTAGAAGAAGAAGCCTAACTAGGTATAAAAGGAGTTTGATTGAAATTTAACTTCGAGCAGTATGAAATTTTCATTTTCATTTTTTGAAGGCTGAATGCGTTTGCAACGAAGGCTACGTGGATCTTCGACCTAGTCCATATCGAGATCAACTTCACTACCCGGAAAATGTGTACTGCCTACTGCTACAGGATGTCGACGAATGTGCTCTTGGTCTTACCAACTGCAGTGCAGTAGCAGTTTGCACTAATCTGCGAATTGGCTACAAATGTCGTTGCCCAGATGGGTGGGTAAATCATAGCAGCTTTCAACAAATTTTCCATTTTCCACTGCAGCAGCATTGCGGATATATTAAAATATTAAAAAAAACACTAACATGCTTCAAAAAAAATTTGCATTATTTAATTTTTGTTCTTTGCTAACTTCTCATGATTTTGAACAATGCTAAGAGATTTGTTGAATGTAATACATTATTGAATTGCTACTAATTAACAGATATGTCGATGGTAATCCGAATGATCCGGGTCGAATATGTGCAGCACAGTTATGCGGCTTATGTAATGGACACGGTGATTGCATTTACAATGAAGCAACTAAAAATGTAACATGTTCATGTATCGGTGATTATACCGGAGAATTTTGCGAGATTGAACCATCCAAGACACTCTTGTTACTCTTTCTGATTCTGGCTACCCTACTTTTACTCCTATCACTATGCTTTTGTTTATATTTCTGCTCGAAGCTCAGGTGTGTATCGTACCATTACTATTTCTTCACTTTATTACAATTATAATTTTCTTCGCAAAAAATGAAGGATTTTCGAAATAATTGAAAAAATATTTAAGAAATAATTCTTCTAATTATGAATTATGAAATCTCGAGTGACGTAATAATTAGCTAAAATCGTTTTAGATGCTTCCGACGAAGGCGAGAAACAAGTGTTGGAAGTGGTCGAGAGATTCTCAGTTCCGATTACTATTCTATTCCACGAGCAAAACTAAAACGACGTGAGGTAAATATAACTTCTAACGCCGAGAATAATTGTAGCCAGTGAATTTAATCTTTTACTATCACTTTTTTAAACTAATGTTTAATTTATTTTTTTCATAAGTTAAATGTTTCATTTAAGGTAGATGAGACCGTTCCAGCGGAAGCAAGTAGCCGTCAGTTGCAACGTTACTTGGATGACGGAGGTTCTATTTCTGGTGAGTCATCCGGTTCATCAGTTCAATTCGAAAGGCGAATTATCACCGATATTACAACGCACGAAATCAAAAAAACTATTTATCATGATCCAGAAACTGGACAAGCAATTTACGAAGTCACTGCCACAGCTAGCAGTAGTGCAGGTGATGGTGGTCATTCACAGGTACCATAGCTGCTTATTTTAATTAATTATCAAAAAATATATTTTCAATGGACTGGTAACCTTGTCCTAATTTTTTGTTCCGAATTCCAATTTGCTTTTTTTATAAAAGTCCTCCATCATTATCTTTTTTGTTTTTAAATAAAATAATTATTTAAATTTCAAGTTTCTGCGACCACCGATTGAAATCGAATCCGAGCAACAAGCAGGAGAGACTGAACGTTTCGCGCGTTCTTCAGATTCAGTACCACAGACTGAGTCAATGTCACGAACAGGTGGAAGCAGAAGAGGTACAATACGTGAAAGCGGATCACGTGAGTACACATCTACCCGAACTACTCGTCAAATGGTACTATTTTCTGATGTAATATTTCATTAATTTCTAGTGTTAATGAAAATTTGATTGAATCCTCTTTGATTGATTGAGTTGAATATCTCAAAATTTTAATAATAATCAACGTAATTTGTTGTCCTACAAAGCTGACTAATTGTTTACAGCCTCTTTTAAAGGCTCAACAACTTTTAAATGATAAAGTGAATATTTCCGTATTACCGTTAAACATTTAACATTGTTACTTACCTTGCACTGTTAACTCAGAGACTGATACATCGAACTAATTTAATACCTTAACCTAATGCAAGGGAATGAGTGTTTGTTTGAATGATGAAAAAGAAAGGTTATATTTTTAGAAGTTATTAAATATTTGTTTGTTTGCATACTAATCAGTAAATTTCATAACAAATCATTGTTGTATAGGTGATAATAATATTCTATAGTAATCTACAATGTTATAAATTAGTAGTTATTATCAGCTGATCATGTTCTTCATTTTAGGCAGATGATTATGATAAAAAAGAACCATATAGTCAAGAAGAAGAAATTGATGGTGCCGTCTTTGATAGAACCACTAAGGTTTACTTTTTTTTAAACTAAAAATTAAATTAATTTTTGTAAAGATATAGCAGCAGAGCTCAGTTTATATTTTGCACTCCTATTTTGTTATCTAACTGAAATCATTTATTTTGCTATAAAAAGATTGAAATTTCTGATTCAGTTACTGCTATTAGTCTTCACTCGCGAATAACTAGCAAATTAAATCAGATTAGAATTTTTACAGCTTTCTACGCGACATGATTTCGTGCCAGCGGAACATGGACAGGGTGGAACAGAACGAAGGCGCAATGAATTATCCACTACAACAAAATCACATGAGACAAGTTACTATTAGAAATGACGTGCTTTGCTATTCGCATGATCATAATTTATTTTGTACAGAATTTTTTCTAATTCTACAGATACTGAGAGGACCTTTTTTTCTAATTGATGCGAATTTGATCGATTGATTTAATCGAAGTATAATAATAATAATAATAGTAACATTAGTTTAAATTTACAATCAAATCCGTATAACTTTGATTTCCTTTCGAAACTTACCATTGAAAATTCATTTGTAATCGTATAATCAATTTCATTCTTCTCAGTAATTTCTTGTAACGATCAATCAAAAACTTTTCAAGCAAACTTTATGATTGCAAAAAATGAGAAGAAAATAGCAATCAGTAAGAAGCTAAATTAATTAGGCAATATGATGATCATTTGATGAATTTATTAGAACTGATATTTTTATTAATAATTTAGAAATTGAGCTGTATGATACTTATTGCAAAATGACTATGCTAGTTTTTTTTTCAGCAATTTAAATTTCATTTTTTAATTTTGAATATAATTTTTCATGCCATTATAAACAGTGAATTCACTGCCATATTACTAAGTTAACTCTATCGCTTACTTTTTTATCTCTGAAAATATCCAAGAGAAAGTTTCAAATTTTATCGTATACGATTTTCATGAATTTCTTGGACATTTTCTTTTTGAATATTTGACAACTGTAATTTGTATACAATCTAATTGTTGGACGATAATTAGTGAATTGTTTGTTTATGCGATTTTCAATTTTTTCCCTTTGCTGCCATATTATTTGTATTTCTTTCTAAAGCACCTGCAATTTGTTTAATTCTGCCCATTTAAAATGAATAGATATTTCAGTATTTACTTAAATGCATGAAACAATATAATAATAAATGTAATTGGAAGGCTCACACGTCTTCCAAACAGCCTTACATATACCTCACTCATTTTTAATTATATTAAACTGCATAATTTAGACATATATTACCTCACTCATAAGCGTGTAACAAAAGTTTTACAGCAGTTCAAAACAAAAAAATTAAGATTTGCAGAACTAAGAACAAATGGTTACTTCGAAAACAATTTATCATTAAAGTAAAATTTTGTGAAATGTCATATTTGGAATTTCTAAAATTTATCTAATCCTGTATTATCAAATAAATTTTTTACAAATAATTTTCCTCGACTATAGCCTTTCTTAATTTGTAGTTTTGAATAAAGTACTTGAAATTCTTCTAAGCTATACTTACCATATAACGATATAATGTGTCTGATTGTCTGTTTTTGTTTATCGCATCATATTAATGACAGCTGTGATAACAAATAATTTGGTTAGAAGAAACAAAAAACATTTAAATCGTTCTGATTTGTAAAAAAATCCTTCGAGTGCTGTTTACTTCCTGATTAACAAATCCCGAAGCATTTCTACTTTTCGGAAATAACTAGAAAACATCGTTTAGGCAGGAAATACAAATGTAAAACAAAGGAATTGTATAATACAAAGATGACTCAACGGAAATTCTAATGTTTCAGTAAATGCTTCAAAAGAATAATACTATTTGAAAATCTCTCCGGTTCTGATCATGTTGACATAGGCTAGCTAATAGAACACCACACATCTGTAACTGAGATAGGAGAGCAGAGAAATTGGTCACTTCATTGAAATTAAATAATCCATCGATTGAGAGATCAATCTTATTGCTCTCGCTGTTACAAACCAAACTATTTCTTCTCTAATTCAATATTTGTATGCAAACTATTATAGTAAGCTGAATTTTCAATTTATTGTCAATATTATTTACTTCATTGCATAACGAAGAGAAGAAGCATAAGAAGGTAAGCTCTCTATCCAAACGGTAACATTTATAACAATGTCTTTTTCAAATTTCTTCCAACTTTTTATCATTAATTTAAAATTAATTATAGTTTTAAGTATAATTAGCACGTATTGACTATTGCATAGCAATCAGATAGGTAACTGATCTAATGCAAGAGTTTTGATAAGTTGAGATTCCTTAGCTTACACATTACTCATGTACTTTTTAGATAACTCTTTTTCTAATCATATGTACTATTCCAACTAACAATTAATATTCATTCATTTTAAGTTGTTATTTCCTCAAATGATTCAAATGGAATTTATCATTGAATTTATCACTCATTCTTTTTCTTCATTTATTATTATCATTGATGATAATTTCACTTTTCAAATAAATCAATTAAAATAACTTTTTCGTTTCTGTCATATGAAAATTCAATGCTTTTGTTGATTTTTGGTTTTTCTACAATTCCGAATTAAATTTATTGTCTTTAACAATATCGCTCTTATTTCTCCTTTGTATACTAATTATTGATAAATACTTATCTCTTCGTTATCAGTAAAAATAATTCAAAAGATCTTCCATTCTTCTATCATTTCGTCATTTTCTCCTTACTATTCTTCTCACATTTCTTTATATCAAACATATCAGACGTATTTTTACGTTTTATTTTGTTTATAAAAAGAATGGCAAAAGAAGATGAAATAAATTTTACTTTCATTTTATATTCAAATGCATTATGCAACATTTCATTTATTCGACTATACGTAATATTTACACGTACGTCAGATATTTCAAGATTACTTAATCAACGTTAAAAATTCTACTAGTATTTGATGAATTAATTTCTCAGTTTGGAGATAGAAAAAATCAAAGGATGAAGATTCATCTATCAATGAGTCATTTAGATATTAAATACTACAATACGATACAGACAATCAATAAAGTATAATTCATTCCTACCGATGGATTCTGATACCATTTATTTTCATTAAAGAGATTCCTAGGTTTGAATGTCTACCCTATGGATTCTTATGCATTTCCATTTATTTTCATTACAGAGATTCCTAAGTTTGAATGATTCATCCATGTAAAGTTGACTCATTCAAATTTGCATTTGGTATGCATGCCCTCTCTCCTACGCCGTCTCCCATCTCTTCCATCACCTTTATGTATTATTGATAAAACGCAACGAAAACGAAGCAAACTGAAAATGTCCATAAACTCTTCTTCTTACCTTTACATATTGTCTACTTAATAAGTTAATAAAATAAGAATTAAATTGAGTATGTTTGATTTGCTTGACACATTCAATCATTTGTTTACTTCCAACCTATTCATTCATATTTGATAATATTCTCATTGCAACACTTCTTTTATTGCAGTAATACTGGGAGTAAACAAATGGAAAAAGTTATCCTCTATAGTAGTTGGGGTAATTTAGCCTAAGAGATATCAGTATTTGTCCTGATCTTGGCCATGAAACTATTAAAGTAATTTGGGATTAATCGATTTACTGTGATGAAATTATTTTTAACATTAGTCAAACTTTTAATTTTGACCTTTTCGAAGATAATTTTTACATTTGCCTTCATTATTCATCAAAGGCGATTCAAGCGATACGATTCTTTTTCCATCATTTTTGTTTACAGTTCCTTGTTGGATTTATTGAGATTTTCATAGAAAATCTCGGGAATTATCTCGGGAGACTTATTATTAAATTTAGATATGATTATTTTAAAATATTGTCAAATTATTTTTCGAATTAGTTTCAGGATATCGATGAATATTTGTCGAATAAATCCCTATATTCTTATACCTTTGCTATTGCCAGTTATTTAATTGTTTCCATTAAAATATAAGCAAGGAGAAGATATGGCAATTAATCCGTGTTTTTGCTGGAATATTAAGGATGGTACCGTTACTGTTGGCCTTTGGTCATTGGTTAGTTAAATTTAATTTATTTTTTATTATCTTAGAGAAAAAGAGAAATTATTGCTTTAACAAGGAATGCAAACTTTTTCACTTATTGTTTAGAAACAAAGCATGAAATTGTATCTAATTAATTGTTAACAGACTTATACATTCAGTTGAAGTTACAGTAAAGAAAGTTTGTAATTCTTGATTATATTTGACGGATAGATCAATTTACGGAAAGATTATTTCCGTTCCATAATTCTTGCCAACCTTTTTCGGACTTTCTCGGTTCTCAGGTTTATTTAATAAAAAGAAATATTTGAGTTATCAAACCATTCCTACAAGGTTTTTTCCGTTAGTTGCATGAGAGGAAGATGATGAAAAATGAATGAAGTTGATATTTCAAATCAATAAATTTGCATACAATATTAATTTTAATCAAATATGATTGAGAAGTTATCATTCAACATGACTGGCACTAATCCTTCATAAGGTTAGCAACACATAACACGTTAAAAAAGTATGAATCAATCTTAGATATGATAAAATATTGACACAATCGAGTTTCATTTTCGTATAAGTATAATATGATGTATGAAAAAAGAATGCATAACATTCTTTGAAGGTTTATTCATTGGCATCACTGGCACTATTCGGCTGGCAAATGAATGTTATCAATTCTTGTCAAACAGTGACAATGTCTCAAGCAAATCTACAATGCGAATATTGGTGCCCATGTGTTGGCGCATCTAATGAACGTACAAGTGCCCTGATACAGGGTAGGGTACCATATACATATATCACTACATTCTTCTTTCGCCAAATAATTTTTACTGATGGATATGTATGAGATAGAAGTAGTAGTTAGTGGTGAACGGATGTGATACTTCCGGATGTCGGTACTTGAAAGAAATGAATAGAATTCTTTCTTCTGTTGTCTTCAGTAATCATCCCATATTCAAAGATAATTATCATTTGGAGCATTAACAAAGATAGAGATCGAACTTAATGAAACTGTCCAGTAATAACAAAACTTAATGAAACTGTCCGGTAATGAATAAGCCATTATTGAACTTGATGAGATCGTTCAGTAATAAATAAACTATCACACTATTCCACCCATTATTTTACACTTCTACTAAGGAGTCTTAAATCAAAACATTCCGATTTTAAGTTTTATTTTCCTGAATCTCTATTCCTGTTTTTTCTACACAAACAGTCTAAATTATCCATCACACTTAATTATGTTTCATTTATCTTTATCCGTGCTCACTTGTGCTTAGTTTACTGTATACTGTTTGTTGCAATTCATATCCCTTAGAAATTCTCATCCTCAATCCCTTTAGAAATTCATTACATTATTCAGTTAAATTTGCCAGCCGAATAGTTGTCAATTGAAAGATGAGGAAATTTGAAAAATATTGATGAAAAATATTTCGAGAAAAATTGGTAATTACATGAAATTTCATGAATTTCAAAGGAATAAAATTTCTTGTGGAGAAATTTTCGAACATTTCATCTAATTTTTCCATTAAATCTATTGTTTTTAAACTAAGAGCTTTTCCAGAAGGATAAGGTATGATTTAGAGATTTGAGAGAAAATAGTTGAAGAAATTAGAAAAATTTCACTAGTAAGTTTATGACATGAAATGGAATATAGCGCATGTTCCAGGTGTACTGCATCGTACAGTTGGCACTATTCAGCTGGCAAACCTACGAAATCAAATATTATCGAGATATTGCCGCCAATCAGATAATACCTGGACATAATACTTATGCCGCTTACAACATTCCCTCATATATCGAAAACTACTATGACACTTCTCAAACACTTTTTTATACCGGTATAATTTCCATGATGATTTTTTGGTTGGTATAATTTCCATAAAAATTTTCTATACCGGTATAAATTCTGTGATGATTTTCCATGTCGATATAATTTCATGCACATCTAATCTTTTACGTAACATAATTATGAGAATAGACTTTTTCTCTGATAAAAAATTTTATAAAAATTTTTCTGATTAGAAACGAAGAACACACATATATGTTGGGTTTACAACTAAGCAAATGAGATATCAGCATTGAGGTTAACTTACCAACATATCCTTCACTTAACGTATATTTCGTTTACTTATGTCATTCATCACATTCACTCACAAATACTTTCAACCTTTTATTAGGAATATGATTCATCTCTTATCTGTTATCAACACATTACTGTAGTTATTACTGCGGCACACATATCATACTAGTTATTTCGCTTACAGAGTCTTTATCATTTAAAGTAAATGTCTTATTGATGTTACTTACATTAGTTACTGTATTCTGTTTATCATAATCTTTGCAGTTAACAGTGTAGAAAGTTGTTGTTTGCTCTTTCATTTAATTAAGACAGCCAAGTTTCTTCATCGAATTTTGCACTAAAATTAGCAAGAAACATTTTGCCAGTCGAATATGCCAGCTGCTGCTATGTCAATGTGAATGATGCACATATTAGTGGATGAAAGAAGTGAATACTTTAATTTAATATTTTAAATTTAATACCTAATTTTTCAATTTGCCTAAAACGAACCCAGTAAAGCTCACAATATCATTTAATCCTTTTAAATCTTTTATACTTTTAATCTTTTATGACAATTTCTTGTCTCTATCAATTATCTTATCAGAAATCTTCAATGATAAGACATATTTTCTTTCTCTAAGAAAAAGAGAAAGAGAGAGAAGAGGGAAAAAAAAGGTAGATAAAAATAGTTTGTTCAGATCTATGGCCTAATACAGTTGGCAATATTTGGCTGGCAAATGGCAGCAATAAAATATGAGAAAGATCGTGCAGCAGATACAATTCTACCAAATTATAACGAATACGGTAGATTGGATATACCCAGTTACTACGAAAGTTATTGGCAAAGCCCTGAGGAACGCTTCTATACTGGTATGTACTTCCCGAATACATATCAGTACTAAATCATAGAAGTTCTTTCTATTATGATCATTATAGAAAACTTACGAGATAAGTACTAATGGTCAACCTCTATTCTCAGTCCGTTCATTCATTGTCGTCTTCCGTTTTTTTCTTCGTAGCATTTCTACTTGCATAATTATCTACTTATCTCTTGTTGCCAGTAGGAATAATTCATAAATTTATTTGTTATATATTTTTTTTGTACTAAAATCGATACTCATAAAGTTCAAATACCTTATTAATTTCATTTTCATTCTAATTGATTTCAGGTTTATTCGTTATTCAAATATTATGCTTAATCGCTTCATTTTTCTTGTTGTTTGCTTCTTGCTCACTTATTTATGGTGCTCATACTGTAAGTTATTATATTTTATCATTTCAAACTTTTCATTTTGTAATTGACATAAGAGCTTTCTTATGAATGTTTTGAGGATAGCAACTCATACAAGCATAACCTAAGCTTAGGTCTTGGAAATTTTTGAAATTGCAATATCATATGTTTCCGAGTAGACATTAGCAATTTTTATCAGCTGTTGGAAAAGTTTGATGATAGTATTGCATGCCTATTTTGGAACTCGACTTACAATTATGCCACAATCTTATCTAATCTATAGATATGCCAGTACTAAAAATCACTCTTTGCAAATCTTTTCAACCTTGAACTAATAATTTTTATTTTGGTATTCACGATGTTTGGTATGGCCTTGGCTTCCTTGTATGATAGCCAGTATACTTTGTACACTAGCATATTGTATTATGTGGTGGAGCGGTGATGTCCGTGACTATTGGCTTATGCTTACAATTCTCGAAATGGTCATCATATTTATCAATGTTTGTTGATTTTCGCTTTTATTCAAAAAATTACTGCTCAAGCAATTATCCATTGGTCATTATTAAATTATCGATATGCCTATATTAATAAATTATCTATTCTATGAAAAATATCATTCATAGATTATGGCTAAATTTATCAGACGGTTTTAATAATTTTTATAATTTCTTGGCATTATTATGTATTAATTAGATAAGATGATAATTTTGATAATACTGATAACATAGAAAGAAATTCATTTAATCTTATTAAAAAAAAGAAAACAAATTTGAAAAGAAACACGGAAAGTTTTTCAGTTATACTGTGTATTTGTCGTATTATTGTTCTATCGTTATATCAGCGGTGAAATAACTCATTACGATGAGAAAGAAAATTATAGGCCAAGAATGTATGATGAATTCAAGAAAAACAATTACCATGTTAATAACTATCTACCTGGTAAGCATTTCCATTTCTGTGATTAGGATAAAGAGAAAGAGATACTATCAGATAACGATGAGATTAAAAGAAGTAAGGGAAATGAATAATGATGAATTTTATTCAATTTTGATTACCACCATGATATCACATTGGAAACAGTTGAATAATTTAAGCATGAAGATTAAGTTGAATTAAAGCATCTTATTATCTCTTTGCAGAATTGGAACATCCTGTAAAATCGGGTTATCGGAAAAATGAACCATTACGACGTGATCAGTACAATCGTCTAAAAGATTACACGATGATACAACAGCAATCTGTTCCAGCTACTTCGACACACGTCCGAACAACAACCTTCGCGGATGATTTAGTTTCTACATGGGTCAAAGAACAACAATCTATAAGTATATCGTTCCATCACATTTCTTTTTAAAAATGAAGTTTGAAATTAATTAAGAATTGAGAGATTAAAATACTTAAATTTGCAAATTTTGAGCTGATTACAGAAGATTTGCCAGATCATGCGAACAGTGAACCAATCATAGAACGGAAACCGACAGATATCTATTCATTGAAGGTATATTTGTTTCAATGATTAATAATTTAAGCTATAATGTTAAAACTTATAAGTCTAAAAGACAACTCTTAACTTTGATTAAATAAACATGAATGATTGATTATTCAGTTTTAATAGAAGATCTCAGAAAGACATGGATAAAACAAGTAGTGAGAATTTATTAATCATTATTTTCAACTGAGACAAATTTGTTTTTGTAGCATTCATATTCCGTGCCATCAATTAATGCGAAAACCTCAGGCGCTAGATGTTGTCATCGTCATCGACGCAAACATTGTCATCATCATCTTCATCATCGTCATCATCATCACCATCATCATAAACATCGGTAATTTTAATGAATTGAGATTGTGAAATTCGGTACCATTTACCACTAACGCTTTGTTCTGTAGCTCGAAAACAAAAATAACAATCGAAATTTTATCGTTTACATACAGAATGAAAGTAATGGAAATTGTTTACAAAAAAATCAGTGAATATTTTATAGCATCAGATTGGAAAAGAGTTGGTATTGTTGATCTTGTTATTGTAGATCAGGCTCACGACGACATGATTACAGTGATCAAAATGATTATGGTCTACGGAGGAGCTCATCAAGACATCGTTATCGTTTTCCTTCTGTAACAAGTAGCTCTGGATCAGTGAGCACTGATTATTCAGGTAAATAATCCACCAGTATTACCGCAAAATCTTTTTATCACTTTTCGATCGAAATTTTATAATTGAGCTAAGATATCTTTTGTTAAAGTGATCATTCAGCAAATAATATCATACACTTAACTATTTAGAATAATTTTCATATGATCATATTGAATGTGTCAGCAGCTGTATTTAATGATTTATCTTTCTAAATCTAGAATTTACTTATAATAATTTTGCCTTTCTCGATTTTGAACTTACTCTATGCAGACAAATGAAAAAAAGGTGAACAAATTGCATTTCATAGATATGATGTGATCGTTTATTTCTTTTATTACCTTACCTTTATCATTTGGGAATATATTTTCCAATAAACTAAGATCACAGAGTAGAAAGGTTTTCTCAAATATGTGAAAGGAAAAGTCTTCTTCATATTCGATTGTTATATATTTTTTTCTCTTAGAAGTTTTAACATTGACCCGTAATGTCTTACGATGTATTATAGGTTAACGTTCAAGTGATATAAGTTTGGTATCATGACAGTATTTCAAAGTTCATGACAATACTTGCAGATTACTCACATCTTATCAGACGTCGTTCTCGAAGCCTTGAGAATGGTAACGCAGCAATAGATGATCTCAGAATAGCTGAAGGGCATCATAGATCACGGCGTACAAGATTTGAAAATTACCCCGACGATTCAAAGCGATTCAGAGATCGTCGGCACGAATCACGGAAGTCAAGGCGTAATCAATATGACGTCAAAAAGTTAGAATTTTCATTTCAATGGAAGATTTTAATTTTTATCAAATTTAAGGAATGACTTCAAAAGGATCTAAATTTTCCATTATGATTTTTAAGAGATCCAAATAAATATATCGTTTTTAGTGTTACTGAATTTAATATCTCTACACTGATACAGTACACTGACTTATCAAACTGTTATTCCAATAATTCTTTGACTATGACCGATCGGTTTTCCTTTTACCCTTCCATTATATTGCAAATTGATCATTTTTTGAAATTAACTTATGGAAATCCGTTTCAGAAGGCGTATTGTAGTGATTTCATTTCATATTAAAATTTAAATTTTATTTTCCAATTATTTAGGAGTGTTTTTGTAGAGCTGTTTTAAGGGCAACTTCCGGTAATACTTCACCAACTGTTGCTGTGCAAACAGATTCGATATTATCACATTGGCCTCTGGATCCGCAAAAGGGATTAACACTTCCACAACAAATCATTATTCCACCATCACGTGGAAATATTGGCCCAGATGGGCGTTCACAACCGCAAACGTATCAGATTAGCTCTGAAATAAGGATTTCATACGATCAAAAAGGTAGACCAGTGCCACATAAAGTTTCCGCCTTATCCAGGGCTCCAAACAGTGAGGAGGAATTTCTCCCCACATATTCACAATCTCGGGTTAGTTTTTCTTAAATACGTTCTAACATTCTGAGCAGCAATTACATTTAAATGTTACACATCACTATCAAGTTTCGTGATAGTGAAATATTCTTCAAACAGCAAGCAAGATGAAAGTACGAATGTGAAATGATGTAAATCATGGCGTACGTGACAACGTATATGCAAATAAAACTTTATTTACAAATAATTCCATGCATAAGTTCTTTTTCTGTGATCATGAGAAGTCTCTCTGGGAAAGTTTTTTCCTCTGATCTTAGAACTGCTAAGGAATATGAGAGTGCGAATATTTTAAAATATTAGGATTGAAAGTATCAATGAAATTTCAAAGCGCAAATATTAGGATTGAAAGTAACAGTGGAATTTCAAAGCGCCAACTTCATCACAGTAATCTTTCCTTATTTCTAATATCTTTCGCACTTTATTCGATAACTTGATTCTGATTTTGACAAGGCATTTTTCCCAGCAAAAGAAAGCATAGATATTTTAAATAATTTTTTTTAGATACCAATATTTTTAAATTACACTTGAATTGTTCCAGAGATGATAGTGGTACAGATATTTGTAATGATATAAATCTTCAAAAGTGAATATAGTTCCAGCCGATTGGCCTACAATACTGACCCACTGTTTTATTTTTAAGAATTTCATTTTTATTGCTTATTGATTTTTTATATTTCCATTTGTTCTAAATAATTTTGATTTCTTTAATTTAAATCTTTTTTTTTGGTTTTGAAATATAAGTTTTCATTATTTAATTTAATTTCAGCCTTACGCAATTAATTCTGTTGTATGATGACTATTCACTTATTGCTACCCACAACATATCCCATTATTTCATTTTGTAAGTGATAAATTATCACTTTCTTTTGTAATGAAATATTTCAAATAATAGAAGCAACTATCTTGAACTGAAGAGAAATGGCATGAAAGCAGGAAATGTTCATAAGTTGTTGATGAGTGGCTTCATTATATCATTATGAATATTTGTAAATGTGAAGGAAAGGTGTAACGTGTATTTTCTTTACAGATCATGCTAGTGTTCAAATCGGAACGTGATATGCAACTTGGTGTAATGTGATATAATGCAATTTCTTGTGACATATACGTGATATTAACCATGATTGATTCATTCCTCCATTATTCATTTCGGAATTTTTTATCCCAAAGAGGAAATGACTTAATTCAAGCGCTAAAAATAATGAAGGGAGGGAGAAGATTAGCCTGGTAGTGAGGAAGAATCAGTTATGTCATATATCGCATCATCAGCACAATATTGTAAGCATTGATGTCATAATAAATATATGTTCCTCAAATCAAGTGATTCTCATTATAGATTCAGCGTACCTTCTTACATACGAAATAACTTTGCACTTACTTTGTTTTCACAAATGCAGCAAATCATTAACTCAAACGGTATTCAGGGTCATAAATAAATTTATTAAGTACAATTAAGAGTTATGTGAGATGTATGAAATCAGATAGATCGCGTACGTATGTAAGATAAATTACAAATTACCAATACGATTTTATATAAGGAACTCTGTATGTTTCTTAGCCAAAAAAAATGAATGGATAACTCAACGTGGAAGAATGACGTTAGCTAGTACTAAAGCTAACACTAATGTACGGAAGAATGACATTAACTAAGATCAACTTACATACTCAGCGTGAGAAATGTAAAGGAAATGTCACTTTCGCACCAGCTAGGATAAAAATTGCATAGTGTCCCACTAAATGCAAAAAAATGGGCCTCGTCTGTTTGTCCATAAATAGATATGAAGGCAGTTTACAGATGTGGGTTGCAGTGGTTATGTGGAGTAGGTACTATGTCGGATTATAGTTTAACGAACTACCGTAGATGTGTGATAGTGTTATTCCGCTATCTTCGACTATGAAGTAAAGAGCGTTGTGTAATGACATGTCTTAGTAATGGAAGTTATGTAATAAGTTTTAACAGAATTTAGTTCATGTGCTTTTCAAATTGACAACTGGAGAAATGGTCGTGTTGCTCTATTGCATGAATTTTTTTTGGTAAATCGCTTAGTGTTATCCGGCGTCGCAAGAGAAAGAAGGTTGTTTTCAGAGAAAATATTTGAGAGAAATGTTGAATTCACCTTCATTGCCGCTTCTAGTACATTTAGCGGTAATTGTCAATGGGAAATTGGATGGACAGCATATAGATAAACAATATGAGCATCATCCTGTTAATGGCAGCTTTTCGGCAAGAGAACAACGCAAGGCATATCATGATCACGATGATTTGTTCGGAGCTAAAATGTGTAAGATTATGCCTTTTCAAGCTATGTAACTTTTTGCTTGATAGATTTCGAGGTTCAAACTTAAATTGATTTGAGCGTGGTAATTTGTTCTCCGAAGCCAGTTAGAAGATCTCGTGCTTGTCTTCAAAGTTCACTTCTTAAAGTGATTGATATTCTTTAAGCTGAGTAAGACTTTGCAAGAAATAAAAAATAGAAGTTGTGGAGTACATAGAAAACACTAAATTAGCTGTTCAGAAATGGACGAAGTTTGCAACTGCTCAACTTTTTCGAACTCATAAAAAATGATAGCGATTGAAATTTATTCTAAAATATTCATTTTTAGATAGAACGCTTTTCTCAGTGAAGCACCGCGAATATTTGGATGCAGTGAAAAGATTGACTGCTATGGATGAAAAGAAACAAATGAAGCTTCTTCTTGAATTGGTCTCTAACATTATTAAGGTTAACACTGACTTTGAAACATTCTTGCATTGAAATTTTTGCTCAGGCTCTCAGTTTATAAATCTTTGTTTATTTTATATAAGCTAAATTTCGATTAAAACAGGGTTGCGCAAATAAATCATTTTTTTATTTTAATTTCTACAAATTTTATCGGAATTAGATTCTTTAGGTTAGTTTGAGTTCTGAAAACATGCAGACTATTGGAGGAATTAGCGAATAGAAAATATTTGTGAAGTTTGTATTATTTAATTCTCTTTAATGATCCCATATATTCTGTATTACAAAAAAATTTGATGAGAGTGGAAACTGAGTTTGAATAATTTTTAAGCGAAATAAAGGATGGTTCTTTCTTAGTTATTTCTTAGGATTATTTTGAGGAAGTAATTACAGGGCTAAGTTGGAAACTTTGTGATGTTGTATAATATAGAAGGAAAGTGCGAAAGTAACTATAGGTGATGGGTAATGCGAGAAATATAATTGAAAAAGCCAACTTCAATCCTAACGATACATTTCCTAGCGAGGAGCAAAGCAGTTTGAGAGATGCTATTGGGAATATTGTCGAAAATACTGCCTTCTACAGTAATTTGATACTGTATTTTCCAACAGTATTGCTAGACAGGTAGAAATTGATCCAGTTTATTTTACAGATTGTTTCGTCTATACGATATGGTAAAACTTTACATTTTTGCCGTTCGTTCCTCCTATATTTAACTTTTCAAAGTCCATATTTCTGTTTTATTTTACTGTTTCATAGCAAAAATGCAAGAAAAGGTTGGCAGTGAAATAAATTTTGGCTATTTTCTTTGAACATTTTAAAGCTGGCCAGCGCTCCTTAATTGATGTTTTGGAAGTTGAAATTGGAGCTTTATTTTGCTGATTGTCGGCTGATTACAGGTATAAAAAGGATACCGATTGGCAATCACTATTTGTCTGGGCTTATAAATTCACAACAGCATCACGGCTGCATGATGACGTTGCGGAAAAATTGCTGGATTTAGTTGGACAACAATTGGAAATCATTCCGAGGTTATTTGATTATAGTATTCCAAAAGCATTTTTTTTTTGTCTCGAAGAAACAAATAGTTTATTTGAAGATTTAACATGTTTTTGATTGGACAGTTTCATTTATTTTTCCACTTTAAATGATTCAGTTGTCTCTGCTTTATATCGAAGACATATGAGGCGATGTTCTGCTATGATGCACATTTGAGGAATATGGTATATGTGCTGCAGGATAGTTTGCATTATTTTGATGGGTATTCCTGACGAGTCATCTTAAACTTTATTTTGTCTTTAAATTTTAGAAGAGATGATTTCCACAATCCATATGACAAAAAAGCGATTAAGGAAAAGTTGCAACGAGAATCAATACAAAAAATGGAAAAAGCACTAAGAGAAAAACAGGAACAAAAGAAGCTGGATCGTAAGAAAAAGAAAATAAAGAAACCATCAATAACAAAGACTGAACTATAATTATGTTATACAGCTTATTTTGTAAGCCTTTGTTTGTAGGTCCTCTTTCGAATTCATTTTTATGTGAACATTCTGCGGAAAATAATTATTACGAAAAATTTTTATGAAAATATGAATTTAAGGGGGCTAGTTTTTTAATTGAGGGGATAAATGAGTATTCGAATCCAGTTGTGTAAGCTTGTTTACGTATTTATTCGCAGTTGTTTGTCCGAGTTATTAAAACTTCGAGTGAGTGAAATTGTGATTGAACTGAAATTAGGAACATGACGGGATATAAATGTCTTGAAATCTGGAATTTGATTTACAATTAAAAGGAATGATGAGAGTTGTTTTATTTTCAATGTTTTTTTCTTGGTACTTCTCTTTCACAAATTCTCATGCAATAATATATTTAATTATTTTTTTTCATATTTGTGTAGTTTTAATAAATCAAGTTAGTGTCCATAATTTTTTAATATTCAACGCTGTGCTGTAATTGTTCTTAAAATATTATATTTTGTCTTCTCTCTGATTATTTTCCCTTTTTCTCGTTAAAAGTAAGAATAAGACGGGATAGGATGTAATAGAAAACTCTTTAACTGTTACTGTTCTTATTTGAAAATTTTTGCGCTTTTAGAATTCAAGCTACTGGTATGCATGTGATTATCTTAAGTATGGTTTCCCAGCATTTCTGTAAATAATCGTTCGGATTTTGCTCATTCATTATTTTGTATATAACATATTTTGATTTACGCAGAATTTCTATTTTTTTCTCTTATTTATGGGTCATGAATTTTGCATTTTGATTATATACAAATTTACGCACTTATTTCAATTTTGTTAAAAGGGAAGGAGAGGGAAAGAGGGTGTAGTTTGAGAGAGGGACGCAACTAGAAAATTTTGCAGGGACCGTGGATTTTTAGTATTGAAGTTATTAGCTTGCTTGTTATAAAACATAAACGTGAGATAGGTGTACGCAATGATAAATCAAAAAAGAAAAGGAATAGAGTTCAGAAAAAAGGAAGTTTCAAATTATGTTGTTTATTCGAATAAAAATATAAGTGCCTAAATCATTCGGATTTTTGAATGTGTACATTTGGGTGAGTTATTTTAATCATACATCTTGAAATCTATTGCTCATTTTGTTCACTGAACATTATTTATTTTATTACATCATAATTTTGTTGTTGTGTGTTTTGAAACACTGCCAGTTAAAACTGAAATTGTCATTTTATTGGTACAATTACCTAACAAATTTCTTATCATAGCTGAAGATCCTACAGCTTTCATGAAAATAAATTTCCACATTGGAACTTTATTCAGTATAATTTATCAAATACGTATTGTAAATGACGCCCATTTTCAGTTGAATTAAGTATGCTTTAATTTATATTGTTGTATGCGTCGATGGCGGAATTCCCAGAACTAGGCAGAAATTGTTCACTAGAAACTTGTAAAAAACTCGGTTAGTTTTCCATTTAATTATACCACTGTCGTTATAACTCATCGGATGTTTGAAGCAGATTTCATAATTGGAACCGAGAATATTTGATGTAGGGTTCCTAAACAATTGACATTGTTTGTGTGGTCGATGGAGAGCGATTAATGAACCATAAGTTTTACTTGAAAGATTTTTGAAAGAAAATCACAATTCTCTAATGTTGGCAAAACTCTTAAATTAAGATATTCAACCCCTGATGAATTGGTATTTTTAATTTTTTCAGATTTCACGTTTTTTGTCTGCAACATATGCGAGAAATGCTTTTGGTGCGTTTTTTCTCTAAAGTCTCCATCTTACAAAAAGTCTTGATTTGTAGTGATCTGTTGTTTACTTGAGAATATGCATAGCCATTCTTGTTAAATTTTAGGAAGGAAATGTGATCGCAGTCACTCATCCTCAGCCCATAATCAATTTTAATAAGTTTGGATTCCAGTTTTAAGGAAAGTACTTCTGTTATAGGTGAGTGTATGTGAAATAGTGATCTGAATGAATGTATTTTTGTAATCATTTTTGTGGCTTAAATTTGATTGGAATGTATGATTATTCATTTAGCGGTGAACATCGATTTGATCATGGTTGTCAATTTGAAAAATTGGATGTTGGACAATCGACAACATCCATTTGTGATAGTAGTAGATCATTGAAGCCTTATTTATGTTCGAAAGATGGCTGTTTCACTTCCGAAATTATCCGAATCGACTGTCAACGTTGTGGATTCAATTTCTGTTTGAAGTAAGCATGGAAAGGCCGGATTTGAATATGATCTCTTCGTAAGGACAGAGATGGATAGAACTGCTTAAATCTATTAAAACTTATTTGTTCTATGATTCAAAAATTCTACATATCTTTCAAATAACTGCTCTTCTTTTCTTAGTGTATGTTAAGGTATTTTTTCCATACTTTTATAGAAATTTTCCCACTAAAATGTGCCTTACTATACAGGCATCGTTATCCAGAAGAACATCAGTGCCGTTCGCAAGGTGTTACGAATGGGCAAATTAACAGTAATCTTCAGAAAGAATTGAAAAAAAAAATGTCGATGATTGTTGCTGCTGATAGCAGAAACATTGCTGAAACAAGTGTTCATTCACCGCTGCAGAAGAAGAAATCGGTTTATTTATTTATTTTCTTAATACTTGTAATAATATATTTCGTAAATACCTCTAGAACTATACATTAAAGTTTATGAATGACCTAGGCAACAAAACTAATACTCACAGCATACCAGAAAAAGATAGTTAAAGGTTTTTATATACGTATCTCATTTTCAAAGCAATTTCGGCATAAATTTCTTTTTAAAAATGGAAGTGCAATGGTGGAGAACCAGATGTTTTATTTATAGTAAAAATTTAGAAAGATTCTTGATGTTAAGGTATATTTGGAACTGTTTAAATTTATTGTTTTAGATGGATGAAACGGCGCAGAGAAGAGCCGATCGAATAGCAATAATGCGTCTTAAATTAAATATTCGAAATTGTAGTGTAAATTTTTACAAGTGATTGTTTTTAATTGATCTTCAAAGTATTTATATGTATTTATGAACTTTTGTTTCTATACTTCATTCATTCTTAGCAGTTTCCGGTATAAATTTCTTATTTGTTATGTACCCTTAGATTGTAGAATTTCCATGACGACAATCACTTGTTGCTACAAACTGACATTCATAAGTTGTTGATGAATAGCTTCATTATATCATTATGATTATTGTTTTATAATTACAAATCACGTTTCTATTACAGATTCCACCTGACGAGCAAATGTTTTTATTTGTCACAGAAAATCAAAAACGTGAACCAGTTATGGTTTCCAAAGTATGCTTCATTTAGAAAATTTTGATAGTGTTGTCTAATGTTGTACCAAAGTCTTTTTAAAATTTTGTCTGATTAGGACGTCTAAACTTGTTGAAAATTCATATTTAATAAGTTGCTGAAAATTTTAACTGGTATCCAAATTTCCAATACATTGTTTCTTGATTTTACAGTCCTGGACGGTAGGACGCTGCCTTGATCAAATTGCCAGACAGTATTCAATCCCGAATGGCAATGCAACTTTTGCAACTAAAGTATCATTTTCAAAATATTTAAGTAAAATTTCTTGAAGTCAAGCATATAAAAGTAAATGTGTAAGTTATGATCAGATAGTAATCTATTTCTTTTAACTCAAAGTTTAGAAGTAATCATTTTGTGTAATGTCTTAATGGCGTTTTGCTTCATTTTTTATCTTATTGTAGGTACTACGATTGTACTGTGAAGCGGATCAGGCGAACCCTTTGCCGATGAGTGATAATGTCGAGAAGTATTTGAAAGATCTCTCTAACGTTTTCCTCAAAAGAGATGAATGAAAATGTGAAGAAAATTGTGTTTAATTGTCTATGAAGAAAAAATATAAAGTAGCTCACTGTCGTCAAAGAAAAAAGACTTCCCGAAAATCCAGGCCACAGTTCTCCTAGTGAATGGTTTAATGAAAAGATTTGGTTGGCTGCTGAAAGCTTTCTTCAGGAGGCCATCATTTAACTTTATGCAATATGAAATTACATATGAAATTACTGTGATTAAAATGCCTGTCCTATACATCGATGATTGGTATGTGACATATTGTACGTTAAAACATTCTTGATTTATCTTTATTAGCAGATCAGTTATTAAATTCCATGTATATCACTTCATAGATATGTGGAACTCTGATTTGATGTGAGTACTATAAATGCGGGTCAGTATCAAATAATGTTGTGCTTGCTAAGAGATGATAAAACTAATGAAAATAATTGTAGTACAATAAATGGATAAATCATTACTTAGACAAAGAATTCTTCGTGCGTAACCGTGCTAACGTTATTTATAAACGGTATTCTGGATTTTCAGGACATTTCATTAAAAGTTTAACTAAATATGGGAGGGATACGTTTGATTCGAATGGTATGCCTGTTATGAGTACTAACTGTATTTGATTTGTTCTTTTGCATTAGGAGTTCGGGAAGTTTCTATATTCAATTGTGTGCGGAAGACAAAGCTGTGATGTGCCTGTACGTAGGCATGTACGAGGCCTGATCTGTTGTTTCAATCTATATTAGAGGAGGCATAAGTAGTGTCAAGTGTTGCATTTGAATACGACTAGTGTACTTAATTACGAATATTGTTGGTATGTTCTAGGACAAGGGACTGCGTCATTTAGGTGATAAAAAAATTAGATTTGGATGTTATCATGCTTCAAATTATAAGCGTCTGTTTAGAGAGTGGCAGAATTAATCTTGGCATGGCGTCGTGGATTTTTTTCTCATTCAATAATCTGAAATTTGCAGGATGATACCAGTAGTCAAACTGTCCAGATGCCTTTATTCTTATAATACTATTTCGTCGGCTACAGTGTCAGCCAAGCGATTCTTCTCAGCACCAGACTTCGATGCATTGGCTGAGAAAATTCAGCAATGGAAGCCAGCTACTGGTAATGGCGACAATAACGATGAAATCTCATCTGCTGATAAAATAATTGAAAGAAGGGCATGGATGAGGTGAGGTTTCTTAATAAATTATTATTCGATTGGTGGAACTTTGATTGCACCTGTTTTTTTTTACTGACCTACAATAGCATGCAGTTCATGATTGATCATGAATATGAAAAGATGTGGCCCATCATCTATTCTTTTCAAGCTCTTCATTTGCTGAGATTTTGGATTATGTTTTGATAGTTCAAATCCACTTTCCTCTTTCAAATAAGTTTAATTACATTTTTAAATAAATTGAAGTTTTGTTCTGTTTTAATTGAAATTGTTTTATGCTACAGTGCTGCATTGGTATATTGCGACGGTTCATTTGATTGGACATTAAGGAAAGGCGGTATTGGAATATTTTGGAGCCCAAACGATGAACGTAATGCTCATCTTTCACTTACAGGATCAAAATTGACCAATATTCGAGCGGAAATCCAAGCAGTCAGCTTAGCTGCTTTACAGGTTAGTGTAACATTAAAATTTTTATGAGTTAGGTGGAGTAAAAAGTGATCTGTTCAGTGGTTTTTGACTTTGCAAAATTGTTATTGATTATTTTGATTAATTTTTGTAATGACTTTTTTGTTTCTGTTTTTTAGTATGTTATTTGTTATTGAATTTTTTTATTGTGTGGCTATTGTTACTGTTGGTTCTAGTGAGTCTATTACTGTTGGTTCTAGTGAATTTGTTACTGTTGGTTCTAGTGAATCTTTTAATTGATTGTTATTGCTTCTCTTAATGTAGTTTTTGATTTGTTTTAGAATTTCTGATAGCATAATTCAGCTCTTTTTATCATCGCTACAGCATAGTGATCAGCTTCCTTCTTCCTTCTATATTTGCTCTTTCAATTTTTTCATTTTCTACAATTGACAGTAATGCAGTTTTGTTATAGCAAAATAATTTGCGAGAAAGTGTTTTGAATATTATTTTATTTCTACTGCTGAAATGACTATAGGAGTATGACATTAACTTGATTTAGGCTTGTTCCTTAGATTTTGATCGAATAATTATCAAAACAGATTCGCAGTTTGTGGTGAAAGTGATTAATTCATGGTTATCTCGATGGCGTTCCAATGAGTGGAAGAAAGCTGATGGAAAACAGATCGAAAATATGGATGATATTCAGAAACTCAGCCGTTATACCGAAATGATAAAAGTATGCCTAAATATATCTATCCATTACTTCACTTCTTAAAACATATTTAATCCGTAAACGATGTTTTTTGGTTGGATGCGTAGTAAATAAAAAAAGCCATTGAGGTGCTAGCGCCGAAATATCGAAGCAACTATACTTCACCGTCCATCAATGAATGTCGATGTTAAGCTCGCTTCATTTAGTGAATGCTTCCACATTTTCCATCTCTTCCCATTTTTCTGTTCTATTTGCTGTAATCTAATTTAATTTTCCAAAATTCTGTATCTTAACATTGGCTGTCGTTAATCGTTATTTTTAGATGCGGGTGGAGCATACATATGGACACCAGAAATATGATGAAAAAAGATTGGAGAATTGGGATGAAATGTCACTTGATGAAAGGGATCGTTGCGGGAATTTTCATAGTGATCGATTGTCGAGATTAGCTATTGACCAACCAATGATGACGGATGAAGAATTTGAAGAACTGTGTAAAGCTAAACTCAACAAACCTTGCTAATCATTTTTTTTTTCGTAAATAAATTCGTTCACTGGATTAACTTGTGTACTGACCATGCTTCTCCTGCAGTGCTCGGTTTCTTATTCTAGAGGCTAGAAAACAAATTATGCTTCCCTGTTTATTGTAGTTGTTTAAAATCTATCCTCTAAGATTTTATGCTTTCTTAAATCCCGAAATCAAGTGACAATGGACAGTGGAAGCAAAGGATCAAAACAAGGTTGGCTTACTGCTAAATGTGTTACGGAAAAATTACATCATTCATGATTCCTCTCCTCTTTTTTCGTTATTTCTTACCCAATCTAGAAAAATAGTGCAAATATTAGTTTCACTTTTTTCACATATAGGTCATTCATTTAAATATAAAATGTATGGTAAAAAAATGTCTGAGCAATGGAACAATAACTTTCCACTGTTACAAAAAAAATTTAAACTACCTTGTTGATTATATAGTTTCAAACGGGCAATATCTTTTAATGCTAGAGCATACCTGTTCAATTGGCTTTTCTTCGGTGGTAGTGGACGATAACTGTTGCTTAACACGGCTATCATTTCGGGAGTGGCGCAGCTACAAGCTAGATGAAGCAAAAGTCGCCTCCCGCGACTAATTATTTCGTTTAATCAAAAGATCATTATTAAGATATCCAAAGTCCGTTCCATAGTGGTTACTTTTTTAATGAGAATTTTAACAATCTGCTAGAGCATTCGTGGTTTGACCTTGTCATATGTGAAAATGGCATTTTGTCACGATGAAAATTTTTTTTGATTTCAATGAAGGCAAGTACTAAAAAATCTTCTGCTGGAAGCCCTTAAGCGAAGAACATACTGTTGAAGAACATTGCTCAAGTCCCCGCTGTACTGAACCTTTACTGCGTACGCATGAGTCACAGTGCATTACTATCACATCTTAGACTTCCATTATTATGAAATAAGATATAATATTTCGCTGCAGATTGTAAGATATATAAAATTTTATTGCATCAGCAATAAATACAACAGCAAAGGTTGACTATTTCAAACTCATGCGCAATGAATAAGTTATGTGTCCATTAAAGTATTATGCATAAAGACAATTTCACTATTCGCATAGAATTGCATCATTCTTGTATTATAAAATAAGACAATCAGGTAACACAATTCACTTGTCATTAAGATCAGGAGAGAGTGACTCCATCATCTGGTCGAGTTTTTGTTCGAGAATTGGTACGGTCTCCCTGTCGATCAGGACATGCGTTTCGTCCAAATCCTTCACTAGAAATTTCGATCCCAACGCCCGTGACTCATCGAGATACACCAGAAGTTGGCGCATAGCAGGATCACAACGTACTAACACGCCCTTTTTCACATTCACCATCTTTCTATCAATTCACCTTTCTGCAAAATTTGGTAATTTGAGTTTTCAAAACGAAACTTCTTAATTATCAAATTTCTGAATTCTTTTTCAAATACTTAAAATTAGGAGCACGTAAAATTAAAACACGAGTTAATCATAGATATACCGAAAAGGACCTGACCTGACTAGTGCCTGGCTTACGAAAAATGGATCAACCTGACTTTGCAAAAGTCTAGACTTTTTGACGCTGTTTTGTTACATGGTGGCAGGATAAATATTGGGATTGGGAGTTTTTGATAAGAGAGTAATGCAGGGATTACTTTCAGTGTCCATCTATGATGGACTTGAATCATTGTATTAATGAGACATCTTGCACAGCAGTATAAATAAATGATCGGGGAAAGGAGGGTCAATGCTATCCTTTCGTAGTTACCTTTCTCTGAAAAGACTGGTATGTTTGTGATCACCAGCGATACGACTATTCATATTTCCAGTGTTACCAAATGAACACTGGCTCATGTACTTAAAAAATAGTTTCTTTCTATTATTGAATTTCGATGTTTTCTAAAGCAATACAAATTGCTACTTCTATTTTTTGCTAAAATCAAAAATTTGATGTGTTTTGTTTCATTTTACCGATTGATCAATTTTCCTTGCGAGTTTTTTTGAAATGATTTGTTATTAATATATAAGATTGCGAAATAGCTTTTCCATTGAGATAATGATTGAAAAAGTAGGAAAGTCTCATGTTTATTTTCACCTGCCCATGGCACAATTCTCTCGGACCTTTTTTTCTCTTTCTAGGAAATTGTAGATGTTGGTAAAGTAGACAGGCAAAGTTTTTGCCGTCCTTTCTGTACCTTCAGCTTTTTGATGATGTGAGTTAAAGGTACAAAAAGGATGACAGAAAATGTGAGTTGCAGGTTTAGATTGAACTAGTTAAAACTTTCTAATTTCAGGGGAACGCTTTACCAACGACAATGGATACGGAAAAAGCAGAAGGTAAAAATACAGTCCTTACTCTTAGTATCTTTAACACTTTGCATCGAAAACTTTTGTTGTCAGAAATTATAGAGTGGAAATTGTAGAGATCATTGCTTAAATTAATCTGTTTTGAATTATAAATGTAACTTTCGTCAGCTCTCCCATTTAATCATTCCTTCGTTTCATTAGAAAGTGTAGCTCAGTTTTCCTCTGCATAATTTTTGCGAATTGGGAATCGCTCTTCAAATTTCAAAATTAATGTACTCTGTGTGCATTACAAAATATTTATGGAAGGAAAAAACAACTTATTTTTACCGTAGCTGCATATGTGTCTGATTCGATAATAATAATTAATAATGCTTAGCACTACTCCATTCATTGTTCCGCAAAGTTATTAAACTTAAACCATTTCTCGGTCATTGATCGATTAGTTCATTCATTCAGTTCAAACGATTTAGCTCCATTTTTCGCGTTTCGGGATGGCATCGATATGAGTCAATTTAGGAAATATTTCAGTATAAAGTGAAAAAGAACATCTTTAATAGGTTTACTTCTATTAGCTATTAGAGGATGTAATGTTTTAAAATTTAAAGACTCGAGATATTCAATAATGTGGCGATGAAGAGCGCTAATTTCCTCTCACTTGCTATTTTAATAAGTACTTGTTGTGATGAGGTTGAAAAGATGAAATCGGTTAAAATTTTAGCAATCATTTCTTAAGAATTTCAGTGCATAACAAAAATGAATAAAGTTGAAGTTGATGAGAAGATAGGAAAATAAGGCGTAGGGACAAGCCAAATTGTTGGGAAAGCAAATCTTGCAGCACTAGCCATCTTTTGCAGCACTTTAGCAGCACGACGACAAATTTAGATCAAAGGTCAATTTCATACTGCAAATAATTCCTATTTCTCGATCATATTTTACTGTCGGAAATACTAGCTTTTCATCCATTGTAAACGTCTGTTCTATCAGCAATCGTGAACATACATATGTCCCTGAGGGCTGAATTGTTTTCTAGCTTTGTACTTTTTAAAATTAAATTATTAAAATGAAAAAATTATCTAAAAGCTATAGCTACATATCAAAGATGAACAACTGTCATCACAGTATGCAGCGATACTCATCGCAAGCCCATTTCACCGGTCAGTTAGCTTGGCATGTTATTATATCACGTTCTAATTGAATGATATTACATTTGGCAAAAAATGATTTATTTAGTTTAAAGTGCTGCTGTTTTTTTTGTCCCGTTAGTCCCAGATACTGCAAAGTTTTTTCTCTCTTTATATCCGCAATAATAGTTGGGATAACAAGCTAAAAAGTTTTGTTATGAAATTGGATATATCGAAAGTTCATTGCCTTTTTTGTTTAAGGATTTCATTTAAGGGTATTACAGTGGTGTTGGTAAAAATCGGACATTTTTCTGGTTCTTTTCTTCCAATTTTTATATTATTTGAGTAAATGTAAGGAGAACAAAATAATTATTTTTGAGGACATATTAACAAGTTGGAAAAAGGATGGACAGCTGGCCCAACGTACAAAGTAAATGGAGAGATACCACTTGTAATTTATACGTCAAATTGTTCCAAACTTCGAGTCGCCGTTGCCGAAACACCGGGACCTCTGGTTAAAGGTCTTATCTCCTTTGGTTAGCTTTATTTTGATTTGAATAGCATTGAAAATTTCAAAGAATTACGCTTCAGTTTCAGAATATTATATCAATAATAGGCTATTTGCTCTAGAAAAAAAATAGGCTGTAGAAAGACATACTGTTTTATGCGTTTGAAAACTGATTATAAATGCTGAAAATGAGTGGTGGTGTAGTTGGCAGGCATCCCTTTAATTTGTCTGCTTATTAAGCTTTTGTTAACTGATTGAGAGAGAAATTGATAGATATTTGCTTGATGGAAGTTTTTGAAAACGAAAATTGTCTGGTCAGATATGCAACATTGAAATGTTTAGTGACAGAAACACTGGATAACGATGGTTTGCCTCATACCTTGGAACATCTTACTTTTATGGGTAGTAAAAAATATCCATACAAAGGTATTCTGGATTTGATTGCCAATCGATGTATGGCATCAGGGACCAATGCATTTACTAGTCAAGATCATACCGCTTACGAATTGATTACTGTAAGTAATTTATCATCTAAGATGCACTTATCTAAGCGGTCGAAACGTTGATAAATCTTTTTTTTTCAATTTGTAATGTGAAGTGGAACATTCACAAAAAGATGGAAAAAGAAAAACTGAAATTTGGGTGAAGTCAAATAAATTTCTTTTTCATCTTTGGACAATAATATTTATTTAGAGCGAGACATGTCATTTTAAAATAAGTTACTATTAACAAATACAGTTTTCGGTGACTAATAAGTTTTTTAGGTTGGCAGCCATGGATTCCTAAAGGTTTTGCCTATTTACTTAGATCATCTGCTGTCGCCAACGTTAACGGTTAGTTATATACAGTTGTTGACAAATCAAATATTCAAATTATTATTAATTTCAATTTGTCCTTTTCATTTTAGTTCAGTGCTATATCTCTGCACAGATCTCACAGTATTTAATTAATAGTGCTGTCATAAGTGATAAATCTTATAGAAAGCAGAATTTTGTGCGCTAGTTGTTTAACTTAAACATTGTTCGATTTTAGGACTTCTGTGTAATGAACATATTTGTAATGAATTTAAATTAGTTTGTCGAAGTGGTGATGTTTGGAAATCTGGACAGGACTTGGCGTTTTTTTATTTGATTAATTATGGATACATATCTCAGTTTAACGGATTTTAAAATTATTTAAAAAGCATGAAATTGTAGGATGCTCAGTTCATGACTGAAGTTCATCATATCAATGGTAGAGGCGAAGACGCAGGAGTTATCTACAGTGNGATTAATTATGGATACATATCTCAGTTTAACGGATTTTAAAATTATTTAAAAAGCATGAAATTGTAGGATGCTCAGTTCATGACTGAAGTTCATCATATCAATGGTAGAGGCGAAGACGCAGGAGTTATCTACAGTGAAATGCAAGAGCACGAATCAGAAATGAATAACATTGTGAATTGGAAACGAAAGGAGCTGTTTTATCCTGAGTGTAAGTTCTTTTTTTTAAAATTTCTCTTGGAATTGTCTATAAGTGCCATTCTTTACTATAAAATTAGATATCTTGAACCATCATATGCGTGCTACTACTAGTAAAGAAATAGACATATTTATGAAATATGTTCTAGACAATCCATATCGTGTGGAAACGGGTGGACGTTTGGCTGCTTTACGTACAACATGTAGTGTGGAAAAGATAAGGCGGTATCACCATGATTTTTATCACATTAGCAATATGCTTGTGACTGTTTGTGGATCTGTTGACCATTCGAAATTGCTGGACATTTTATCATCAGTCGGTAGTTTAATTACAGATTTCTTTCTTTTGTTCAGGATTTGAAATTCAGACAGTACCATAAGTGAAATATATTGCATCTTAAAATCATTTTGTGATTTTCTTTTCTCTGTTAAAGAGGAAACATCACAGCAGCAAGTACCACATCTATTCAACAGGCCGTTCAAGAATCCCATGCTGACGTTCGCTGAACCCCAGGATAAACAGATTGTTTGTCCAAGTGAAGATGAAAAACTGGGTATGGTGGAGATTGCTTGGATAGGTCCTTCCGATAATGTTCGTTTTGCAATACCTATTTGTTTTTTAAACCATCGATTAAATTACATGACGCTTGAAACAGACCTTATAATAATCTATTCTCTGCTGACAGTGTATTCATGGCCTATCCAAAAACAAGTGGTTTATCATTGTTATATAGTATTCAAGCTTTTCTAACCCCTCTCAGGAAATCCAGATAATGAAAGGATCTTATTAATTATATAGTTTCAAATTCTCTTAAATTAAAAAATCGCGTCTCGAAAATTTGCACGAAATATCTCGCTTCGATCGTTTTATTTCGGAAGCGATTTCACTGTCAGCAAAGAATGGCTCTGCTCTTATTTCATAATTTTCTTTTTTATTTTCATTCTTCTTTTTCGTGTAAATTTATTATGAAGTTTTCCTGAAATAAGAATATATTTAGTACCGAGATTTACTACGACTCAGAGTACTCGCACATTATTTGGCTGACACTGCTGCTTCTCCATTAGAACAGGATTTTGTACAATTGGATGAGCAGCTGGCAAGTTTGGTGCACTTATACATACGTGAGCAGTGCATTAGTGAAATAGTGTTACGCTTCAGTGGGGTGCCTATTAATGAACTGCAAAACATCAAAACAAGGCAGTCTATCTTTTATTAATTTTTTGTTTTCTTTTATTCATTTATTTTATTTTATTTTAACGATTAATGAGTCTCATTTTGCTGAACTTAAATCTCAGAGCTTAAAAAGTGACTTCTACACTGCCTTTTGAATAGAGTAGATATTTGCATGAGGATTTTTGCACAGATATATCTTTTTATTCGTAGTCGTATAAAGTGATGGAATTGGTAATAGTTTTGCATTCATAATTAGCCGTCATACTTTATGTTCGAAGTGTTGATCTGACTTGAAATTTCTAGATTTTTCGAGAAAACTTTACCACAAACGTTTGAAAACAGTTTCGACTCGGAACGGATGACGAATATGATTACACACATAATTGACAGAAAGATTTCAAGGGTACTTATTTATGGAAATATTTCTATGCCGGTAATCCTAGGTATTATCATGCTTTCCTCTGTCGCGAACAATTTTAGCATATATTGAAGGTCATTTATTTGTCTTAGGTAAATGATTGCATATGAGGAAAGTGGTTTTGCGTAATGTCTTTGTTTTTCCTTACTGACGAATATAATGCTATATTAAATAAATTTCAGATGGAAACAGACTGCCATAATTTTGTTTTCGAAGCAATGTGCATGCATCAGATTTACGGAAAATATGAAGAACTTCCAATGAGATTAGATCATGTTACGGAGTTGCGAAAGTTTGCATTTGTCAATGTTCTTTTTTTTGCTTATTTACGTTTCAGTGATTTTTTCTTAGAAATTTCATAAATAAGTTATATTTTAAGTAATTAATAGTGAGTTGTAGTGAGGAGACCTATATTGCAGGATGTTGTCGCTGCAACCTGAAGATTGGATCACACTAGCCCGTCGGTATCTGATAAACAAATGTGTTTGTGTAATGGGTTTTCCTTCTCGAGATGAAGTCAGAAAAATTGCTACAACGGTTCGAAATACACAAAACATTTTACACTTGGCGGGAAAAATAGTAGTTTTTGTGATCTTGAGTGGTGGATCACATTTTTAGTTCACTTTAACTGAATAATTTGAACATGAAACACTTGATGTTATAGAACTCTGGAGTTCGTTTTTCATTTCAGGAAAAAAACCGAATTGAGAAGCAACGTAAAAAATTAGGGAAAGATGGACTCCGGCGATGTGCTCAAAAATTAGAAAAAGCGATATGTGAAACAACGGTTTGTTTTTTTCCTTTTTCAGTAATTTTTCATTGGTTTTACTTTTAGTATGGATAACGTACTTTAGTTAATTTAAAGTTAAGTGATACTTCGTTATTCAACTCGAAATGAGATTTTGAAGAATATTTGTGACATACTGTAGCAAAATCCTGCATATTTCATCTCGGTATGGTAAAGATGCTTATGATATCGGAGGGCAATAAATTGTGTTTCGACATTTCAATATCCTTATTTAAAATATTTCCTCCTGCTGTCAGTTTTAGCTTTTTCGGACAAATAACAGTCTCGAGATGTTTCAGGTTCAAAAGCCATCACCTGAATTACTTTCCGAAATGATGATACATGAGCTAGAGAATTTTACAACGTTTAATGTGCAAACATTGCATGCGCGGACGGGTCAGAATGATGTTGAAATATTTAAGTTACCATTGCCAATCTACATACATAACGTTGAGACGCATTTTGTGAAAGTATGTCGCTCTTTTTCCATAATTAATTGTTATCATTCATTTGTTGATAACCTAATCCAGAAACATGGAGTTTAATGATAGCTTAGAGTAGCTTTTCTGTGTATTATAGCTTGAGTTGATTATATTCAGAATGTATTTGCCGGTCCCTCGGTCGTTGTTTTAAAGTAGGAGCATATTGTAGTTAATTCTTTGCATTATAAGTGCTTACTACCAATTTAATAAACGATATTTTTAGCTTATATTGGTTTGGGATACAAAGCTTATACCGTTAGAATTGCGATTCTGGATGATGCTTTACTTTGAATTGATGTTTCAGAGCCCGGCTTTTGTGGATGGTAGAGTAAGTATTTGGCGTTCATCCGTTCAATTTAGATATAATAGTGTTTTATTTGGAATCTATTCTTTAACATTTGCTATTTTGGATTGTTTTATGATTAAAAACTTTTCGAAGTTCGATTGGAAGAGTCAGTACGAAAAACAGTGATAATTTGGTTTCTTCCAGGAATTTAAAATCATAGAATTGAATGAAATATGAATTAGCATAATCATAGTGGCAGTTATCACAGATGGAGAGAATAATGGTATTTACTACTAAGGGATTTGAACTAATATTAGATAAAAATATCTCAGAATCGGCGAGATTTGCTATACGCTCTTAAGCTGCTGCATCTTGTTATGTATTTTTGATGATCTAGATGACCGGATTTGTGCGATCAATTATTAGGAGGATTATGCTTTGAGTGATAACCATGGTTTTGTATTGGCTCACTAATAGAAGCATTATATCACTTGTCATACTATTCCATTTATTAGTTTTCTGATAATTGAACTGCTTCAATGGAGATCTGAACATATTCTGTCAGATGCTAAAATGCTTAAAATCAGATACTTAAAATTTGCTAGCGTACATCCCAGCATGATTCAACACTATCTAATCCTCGTTGTTCTATAATCATTGTTCTATAGTTGTTCTATAATCACTTAATAATTTCTCTATATTGGTTTTCATGGGCTTTATTTAGCAATTTTTTCAGACAAAAGAAGTGGCTTTGTTTAGCATTTATCTTTAATGTTTCTTTTCTATTAGATTAAAAAAATTACTTTCTATACTTTTTAAATTCATGCGCATTTTTAGAAATTATCGTATGAGGAAATAGCAAAATTGTACACTCGGGATTTGATATCATATTGCGGAGCTATCGGTATTTTGAATCACTTTGAGCGATTTTGTTCACTTACCTTAAAAGTAAGCTATGCAACTTGCAAATTCGAATTATTTAAGAGGAATTTTGCATTAAAAAAAATCTGTTCCACAGCATTTTCTAGGAATAAAAAGAAATGAAAGGGAAATGAGAAAATAAAAACAAAGAACGTACTGGAAAAACTCTGAATGAAATTCAAATTATAGAGTTTTATATTACAAAATTGATTGGCATGTTTTAGGCTGTTCCCGAACGATATGTGACTATGTTGTCATGGCTTACGACTTTTGTTAAAGGGATTACTTTTGAAGCAGAACGTGCTAAAGTAGCTGTTCAAAGCTTGATAGGTCAAACTGATGAAGAAAAGCGAGATGGGTGTGAAATGCGAAATGTGCTTCTTCATAGCGCCATATTTCATAAAGGTATGGGTTTCTGAAAGTTGTAATATAAAACTAACTTGGGACTGATTTTGACTGAAGATTTAATTTAATGGCATTCAAAACGAAGATTTTTTTTATTAAGAAATATATGGATTTTTCTTTGGCTGAAATTTAATTCAGAATCATATTTATTAATGTATTTTGCCACAAACTATCTTTCATTTTACAGAAAGCAATGATTACGTGTGTGGTCTAGTCCAGTTAGAGGAGTTCCATAAAAATGTGCTCATGCTAACTAAAAAAAACCCCGCCTACGTAAGTACTTCTTGTGGCAGAATGGTATTTCTAGAGTATTTCTAGACTTCTCGCATAAAATTTTTTAGCAGGTTTTTTGAATAATTCTATAAAATCAATTAAAATCCCATCAAATCATGTGCAAAAATCAATAAAAGGGAATTATAGACTTGCATATTCATTCTGCAAGATCATTGAAAGCAGATTTAGCGATCTTCCGATTCTTGGATCGGCATTTCACTGAGTATTTGAAGAAGCGGGGCATTAAATGAATGACGATGTTATTATCTTAAACTTACAGGAAAACTGTCATTTATAGGTTGTCAGTAAACTGGAGAAACTGCGTGAAGCACTAATAAATGCTCCGATAAATTTGCACATTATTTGCAACACGGAGAAAATTATGCCCTTCCTACCAACTAATCTTTCATGGCTTTATCGTGACCGTAAATCTACATGTGAGCTTCCCAAGAATTTCCGAGTAAGTTAAATTTTTATTATAGCCGAACAAGAAGTATTTATTACCATCGAAAAAAAATAGTCACCAGAAAAAAAAGGTGATACATAAATCACTTCCGTATTTTGTCAGTTATACAGATATCATTGTAATAATTTACATTGAAGAAATTTATCTTCATATACTCCAAACTGTTCATTAACGGTTTGCTGCATAAAGGATGAGTATCCAAAACTGTTTATTATAACACATACTGCATCTGTAATTTGGATACTGATTTTTTCAGTAATTTTAGAATTTGCCTGGAGAAACGGTAATACACGATAATTTTGGAAAGCAACGTGTCATTGCTGTTGGTGCCACTGAATCATCTTTTCTAAAACAGGTCATTCATTTAATCGCTTTGTTATTTCTGTGGAACATGAAAATCAAAATCAAATTTAAATATTGCGAAAATACCGAAATGTGGTATTTGAAGTTAAAGATCGTGCATAAATTAAATTGAAACTAGAAGTCAAAGAATTTGATATTTAATGCCGAAATTATAGATGATTGTTTCGTGATGGCGATACATATTTTAAATTACTGAGATTTACATTGAGTTTATATGTTGTTTATCGTATAGTGAGCCACAAGGTGTTACAACTACGCTATTTTGTCACTTCTACAGCAATCAGTGAGATATCAAAAATGAATTTTATGAAGTTAAATCATAATCAGATAAAATTTGTGAATGGATTTATTTCAAATTCATTACTTTGTTTTTGCTTTTTGAGTAACTAATTAGACTACTATTTTGCATGACAAAAGCTATGAGTAATCAGTAATCAGTAACCTGCAATAACGAATAAAGATTCGTTGGACTGATAGTGAACAGCAGTGAATTGGCAGAAATTTGCGAATATTTTGCAGTCCATACCGTTCAAGTATCAACTGGGTACTAAAGAAGGATTGGCTGTAGAACTTATTGCTCAGTATTTATCACAAATGGAGGGTACCTTATTTAAAGCGATACGTGGAAATGGTTTAGCGTATGGCGTGGGCATTGAGGTAGATCCGGATAACCAGCTGCTCAGTTTTGGTATCTATCGAAGTGCTCAACTCGAGCAAGCTTATGAAAAGGCCAAGGAAGTTGTGGTTAGAATTTTCGTGCATCTCTTCGATAATTTATATTTGAAACAAGAAAAGAGAGAAAAATACGGTTATCTTCAAAATTTTTATCTCAAAAAGGTCTTATCACTTAAATTTGTTGGTGACGGCACTTGCAAGATTTAGTTCAATGAATTGGAGCATGTAGATGAAAATGAGTTTGAAGCAGCGAAGCGAAGTCTTATATCAGAGATAATACAAGACGAAGATACAGTCATTAATGCTGCGCATCGGGCTGTTTTCAATGAATTTCGAGAATTACCACATCAATTTTGGCGGTAAATTACTCTATGAATTCCTATGAATATAATTATCGTTGTATGGAGCTACGCCAAATTGTGCTGAGTAGTTACGTTAATTCGGTTAGATTAAGTCCAGCAAACGAAAAAATGTTGAAAGAGGCTTTATTTCTTAGTTTCGTCTAGTGAAGGTTATCAATTAAGGCAAGTTGCAAATCGAATCTATAAATCAGGAGCAGAAGAGGACCATCAATAGACGCAACAAGGCTTGATTTTCAGAGAGAAATAATAAGCTGTACTTGCTAGATTGTTATTTATAAGACTGGTAGTATAATAGTATTTGTAATCCTGAGTATTTTGTATTTTTGAATTCAGGGAGTACATCGACCGTATCTGGAATGCATCAATGAGAGAAGTGGTGGAATGTAGTAAAAATTTTATCCTTGATGTTTTCGACGATAAGAAATGCTGCCGTGCAATAGCTGTGCCACACGGGAAATTGGAAGACATTGAAAAACATTTTAAAGGAATTGAAGTTGTCTGCTTTCCAGATCTGTATGTAAAAACCACTTAGCTCATAAATTTGCTAGCATTTCTGTCTCCCGCGAAGGTTATTTCTCTGGGTTGACAAATTGGAGAAGAACTGTTATTTTAGTAGGAGTCAAAACTGTGTGCTAGGATAGTGTATTGTGAACCGATGATTCAAATTTCGCGAATATTCACTGCTCTGAATTTCACTTAAATTCTTTCATCGCTTACGTTAAAAAACGTACTATTTATTGATGGGAGGGACTGTCGAACAACTCGAACTTACTGATTCAAAGTATTCCTCTTGTTTCAGTCACGCTGCAGATCCGTGTTTGTTTCACAGTCTGTATTTTTGTATTAATTTGGATCTTTGCATGGTAAATTTGCCAGACCCTGTAATATTAAAGAAGTTATGAATAAAGTAAAACATATTTTTCTGATATTTCTCTTTCATCCGTTGCTGTTATTGATGTTTTCTTGTTTCAAAATGTTACTCTTTTGTGTTCGAACAATAAAATTTACTAAAAATATAACGACCCCGTCGAGAAAATTGTTGATCCATAGGAATTCGATCCGTTCCTGGTCAAACGTCAAATATCGTTCACTATCTATGCAACGACGGGTTAGAACAGAAATGAAAACTTACCTTTATTTTGCCTTACAATTAGTTACCTATGTTTCGATGATTATCCAAAATTGAGGAGCAAAGCATCCATGTATACTTTTCTCGCCATTAACATCATTACACAGTGAATATGCGAGTGACCGGAGCATCTGATTTAGAAGCTTTTTCGCTGCTACAACCATGAGGTTTTTGACACAGTGAACGCGATCAATACCGTACCCTTCATATGGATACCATCACGTGCGATACCGTGGAATGCGCTCGGTCACGAAGTTTGTATAACGTAGTCATTTAGTTGGGATTTATTAGATAGGCATGTGATGGTTTTTCGCACATAGTTGCTTATTTAAATTCATATTCATTTTTGGAATTATCATCGATATTACTGATTAATTGACATTTATATTACTGATTGACATTTATTTCGTTACGTGCAATAAATAAATTTGTTCGATCATTTTCAGGTTACGTTTGACGTGTGACAATTACAGATCCTCTATCCATTCATTGTAGGTTTCTGCCTCACATTTTATGCATCAAAAAAACACCGAGTAAATTCCGCACGACTTAAAAGGAGGAAATCATCCAGTGTGGACAACGAACTGATCTGAAAACAGTGGAACAGAGAGAAGTTTGTTTCCGGAAGTGGAAATGTATACCAATGGGTTGATGGAGGAAAATGGTGGGACAACTGTCGCATCGGCAGTGGCATCAACAACTACCAATACAGCAACGCTAGATCTCCCTTCACAGCAGCAGAACAGTTATATTTTCGGAGTTACAGATGATAAAGTATGACATTTAAATTGGTAACTAAATAGACTGTATTGGATATAATGCTTTCAAAAGAAGAGTAGGATGGTTGGATAGAAGGTATATAATATGAAAAGAAAGAGCATGAGACATGCTTACTTTTTATGTGCTGCATGCTGCTTATATGTACTTTTATTAAATTTTTGCTGTTTTACGGAGAATCTGTAAACATCTTGGCTTTTTTGTAGGCTTCACAAAGAATGTTTTTTTTTTGATGTATTACCAGTGTTTGAGTTTTTTATTTTAATATTTTTGGTTTGGTTTGATTTATCCATTGTAAAAATCCGAGATGTTTTATAGCATTTTCATAGCCTTTTATTAGGAAGGGATGGAATTGGACAAATGAGGCTTCTAGTAAAGCATATGTTCCAGAAAAAGTATTGTTTATCATGCAAAAAAACCAACGAAATTATTGCAGTCAGAAAGTCCACCATCACTGAAAGATGATAAAAATACGGGGGTTGCTTCCAGTACGAATACAGGGGGAAATGAAATAAATTCAACGCGATCGCCAAGTCCATTACTTGATGTCGGAATGATACCAAGTGTTGACAGTTCTCTTTGTCCGTATTGCGGCAAACAATATAGAAAGGTAAATGTTTTTGAGTTCCATTAGATTAACGTATTTACTGTTGTGTTTTTAATTGATAAAAATAGTGAGAGTGTCAGTATAGCTTGAAACTTTTGAAATTTTATACTGAATATTAGTGAAAATTTATTTTGCAAAAATCAGAAGATCAATCAGTCGATATGTTAAAACCAACACTACCGTTCATCTTTAGATTTGGGTGCTAGTACATGTCTTATATCTCTGGAGTTTAATTATGTATGTCGATTTTAGCCTCGAGTATTGGATTGTCTTCATTCAATGTGTGAAGACTGCATAATAGCCCAGCTGGATGGACGACGAGAGGGTGAATCAGAGCGTACAAAGACCGCACTCTCGATAGATTTCGAACTAGAAAGCACATGTGAGATGAGACCAACCCCGCCGGGAGTTATTAGGTGTCCAACATGCCATCAGGTTACTGAATAAGTCTTTTCGTCGAGTAACTTTAGAGTGACACGTATTTTGTGTTACTCATTTCTGGTACATTTTATCTTAAATTAACAAGTCCTGAAAGCATTTCTGGTATATCCAAATTCGGTAGATGCGTAGATCTTAATGCTTTACTAATTTTTTTCCTCTCACAGGTTGCCCTTGTTTTTTTAAAAATGTGAGAACAAATGTTTCAGGAAAGCCATGTAGGAAATGATGTCCGATTTGTGAATCATCTTTTGCTTGATTTTGTTCGACTGCATGAAGTTAATGGTATAAGCGCTGTAAAAGGTGCACGAACATGTCGTGCATGTAAGAGTGAACAGCTTGCAATGGCCGTATGCAAGCAATGTGCAAGTGATTTGTGCAAGAATTGCTATCAAGCACATCGTGATATGAAATTATTCGATGGACATACGGTATGAACTGAGTTTCACTGTGCAACTCTAGCATCCCATATTTTTGGGGGTTTGACAAATAATAGATTACTGTAATGTAAGAAATATCTTTTGACACTTTCGTAAATTTAAACAATAAAACATAAAATTTTATAAGCCGTACTGTTCATGCTTAGGTATTAACGTACACGGAATTGGCACAGAATCCGTCGGAATTGCCCCGTGATCCAGTGATGTGTGTGTTGCATCCTCAAATGCCGTATTCACTTCTCTGTGCTACCTGTGAGTCACCAATTTGTGGACAATGTCATGCAGAGCATGCTGACATCAGACACCATAATTTAGTAAATATTGATGAAACAGTTGCTAATTTGGTCAGGCTAGAATTGAAGGATATTGCGAATGGGGCAGAAGCCAAGGTTAGATTTGTATATTAACTACGGAAATTTTTTGTGAGCTTTACTAATTTTTACATATTTTCGGAGTCCATTTTATGCGGAACATTGACGATAGATGTCAACCATTTTCAAGAAAAGAACAATGACATTACTGATCGATTCCAGAAACGCTTGCTATTGTACTAGCCTATTATTCCTTTTTCATCCATTTCATTGTGCTGTGAGACTAGATTCGTTTAATTCGTTTAATTAATTCGTTAATTTTAATTCGTTTAATTTACGTTTAATTTAATTACGTTTAATTTTACGTTTTACGTTTAATTTAATTCGTTTAATTCGTTTAAAAAAAACTTAAACTTTATTTTGCAGTCAAAAACTGTGGAAGCTGCTTGTAATTCTGTGCCAACTCGCCAGCGCGTCCTTACTGAGCAGTATGAAGTAATTAAAGCAGAAATAGAAGATACCTTCACTGAGTATCATAAAGCATTGGATGTAATGAAGGAGCATTTGTTATGTAAACTGGACAAATCACGTGATGATCAGGAAACAGATCTGAATAATCTAAATCGACGAGTTAATGTTACTACCGTAAAAATTGCTGATGCTGTTGCGTAAGTATATCTAGCATTACAACTTAGAAATAGCTAAACTTTTAAAATTTATTGTAAGAAAATTTTTGTCAGAAATGTTTACATACTTGAAATGCAATATGAAGTTACATTCTCAAGAATATAACTCATTGTCAAAAAGAGTTTGCGTTACTGGTTGCTAGATCATTCCACTTAATCAATCTGTTAGTTAGATCTGAATTAGTGGTAATGTTTTGCTTGAAAATGAGGCACTTTGTAATATTATATTCTATTTTTACTCAATAGTTTATCACTTGATGATTGAAGATTCAATCCAGTCTTTATTATCAAGACTTTATTTTGTCATTTTTCTACATCTTTAGTAATGAGATTAATGGATCACTTCAATAATAAAGTGCAATATTACAGTTTTACACATCGAATTGTGGAAAAGGGCTCAGCAGTAGAAGTTTTGGTGAGTCGAGAGAAAATCCGTCAGCAACTGACAGCTCTTACACGCAGTATTCCTGATATGAGTAGTACGACAGAACTTACATTCAATAAGACTCCATACGTCCAGTTTTGCAATAAATTGAGCAATATTGTTGGTGATATCAACAGTAAGTCTTACGTATTGAAAAAAAAAGAAATTCGCTTTCGAAGATCACCACCAAACTACTGAATAATTTCAGCAGAAAAAAATGCTGGTATAGGTGCAAATCATATTGAACATGGTTGAGCTTTGAAAGAATTGTAAATATATTAACTAGATTAAACTTCTCTTAATTTAAAGCACTAACTGTAGAATAGCAGCAAAAAGGAAATCTCCATATTACTTTTCGTAAAAACAAAAATCTGCGTTGTTTTTATTTAATTCGAATGTTTATTATTTAATTTTATCGAAGAGCATTAGCACACGCTCGTTCGAAAAAAGTGTAAGAATGACAAATCTATCTCTGCTTTACATCTTTATATCTTAGCAATAAGGAAGTTCTGGAAAACAGCTTATAGTGTAGTCGTAGTTCAATTTTTTTCAATCCATTCTCACCGTATTTCTTCGTGTGAAAAAAAATTCTGCAGAGTATTGTTACTCTGACAAGATATCTAGATGTATTGTGAGAACAGGTGAGATATCATTACAGTAGTAGTAAGGGGATTACGCATATAATATAATATAAAATTTCAGCACGATTAGTGTCGGATGTCGGAAAGGCAGATGTGATGATATCGTCGCTGCTATCAGATTCAAATTCCGTGAAACAACTTAATGCAATCCGTGCTTATCCATCAGAAAACTCACCAACGCAAACATCAGCATCTGGAAGTCTGTGTACAACACCCGCCCCTGTTGGACTATGTTTGTCATTCGATATGATTATAATTTAAAGATAGAAAAGCGAGAAGAAATAAATAACGGAGATAAGGGAAAGAAGAGAATATATTTATATATTTTGTCAGTATTTATTACATATTGTCGAGTGAGTTTTTTGTATCGAATGTCAGATTTAGTTTTAAAATTGAATAGTTGACTAAAGTAGACCCGAGTTTCTGTTGGTTTGATTTATGGGTACCAATTTAGGTTTTCATTTTAGCTCGTGGCCCGGGAGCAATTGGTATGGAGCGTCGTAATAAGCCAAACACCACTTCAACAAGCAGCTCAGTTGTAGATTTTACCGATGGTTGGCCACCATCTAGCATACCACCAGAACCAAGCAGTCCTTCCCCAACTGTTGATTTTCAGGTTATTAAATATGTTCTTTATCAGGATCAGATTAACAAATCGGTTTTCCTCTGTTGCGAATATGGAGGTTTTTCCTGCAAATGGCTGGAAAGCTGTGAATTCATTAGAAGTTTACGATTTTTTCGATATTGAACGACTACTGATTTGTAATGATATCTTGAAAAGAAAACAATAATATTTTTTCTTCGCGATTTTTTTATTAAATGTTTTTAGGGAAAGAAAAGTTCATTAGAGAACAGTGGCAGCTCGTCTTTTTATAGTTGGCCACCAAGTTCAAATCCACAGTTAGAAACACGTGTCACTGGTCCATCTGCGCTACCACTTCCACACGCTCCAGTTGCTAGTTTGGCTGCTGGAAAGCAGTTGCCCATTACAGCAAATAATTTTCTGATGCCACGAGGAGTGAATTCATGGGTGGTAATTTGTTATATTTTGTATTGTTCAGCTTGATTTTTTCATGTTTTTTCGTTTGTGAGTGAAATTCTAGTTATCGTGGTTGAGATTGGCGACTGAATTATTTAATCTTGAATAAAACAAATATTCCTTAAATGATGCACAAATTTCATTATCAAATAAACGAGATTTAATGGGAAAGAGATAAATGTAAATGACAGAAAAGTATAGGAATTTTTGGAGTAAATAAATTTTGATATTAAAAAAAGAGAAATATTGTAAATCAAGGATATGCTAGACGTACTCAGTTAGCTATAAGGTATTGTCTTCCCATAACATTTACCATTTCTTTTATATCACCTTAATTTTATAGATTTGAGAACATGTGGTCTACTTTGTTGTGATACCTTGTTTGACAATAAAATCAATTTGTAGGCACAAACGACTGCTTTAACTGGTGCAGCGACACAACTGGCAAATACAGCATTCCCAATAACAGCAGCTGCAGCCGCTGCAGCACGACAGCGCTTGGAACCATTGCTTGATCCTGCGACCATTCGTTTAATTTCTCAGCTGGACACCGCTTCCCTTGCATCGTTGCAATCTGCATTTGGTCAAACTATCCCAGCACTTGGTCGTCAGTCGCAACTTACTTCACCATTGGAAGCAATTCGTCCCGTTGGTGTGGCTAGTCTTTTGGGTGAACATCATTATGTGCCTATAGTGAGGTTTTCATCTCTTCACTTATCGATAAATCGATTAGTAGTTCACAAATTGAATTTCCATTGATAGTTAATCATAAAAGGGATTAGACACAACTTCTTGCTTATTTTTAATTACGGCACTTCTCAAAATTTATTGAATGGCTAGTATACATTGATACTATTGGTTCCATGGACTTCTCTTCCTTTTTTCCTTTTTCGGAACTTTTAAACAACGGTTTCCTAGGGAATACCGCCAGCAATGCGCTCATCTGCGAAGAATAACGCCAGTGCATCGGATTTGTCACTTCGATGCTCAGTTGGAGGAGTGGGATCGAATCCCGGACAGTTTGGCTCACCACATGGTTTTTGTCTTGGTCATAACGAAGAAATCCTCGTTACGGATACAAATAATCATCGTATACAGGTATGTTTTTGACATTTAGTTTTCAAGATGAAATGTATATATACATATGTAATATAATGTACTAATTAGTAAGCAATAACCTGAAAATATTGAGAAAATAATTAGTTTTGCTACTTCCAAAGAATTTTGCTATCTACATTGATGGAGCTGTGGTTTGTAAGCTTGCATTTAAATACCTATTGAATGCTCTACGCAACTACTTCCTCTACAGATCTTTACAAAGAAAGGTGAATTCATCATGCATTTTGGAATCGGTGGCTCCGAAGATGGTCATTTATTTTATCCAAAAAAGGTGGTAGCATTCAGATCTCGAATGGGTGAAGGAGGCTACATTATCGTTGACAAAGGTGAAAATAAGGCCAGGCTACAGTTGTTCTCAAAGCGGGGTGACTTTATTCGACGTCTTCGTGCGTTATTAATATTGTTTTTTAAATCCAGATATGCTTTTTATAGTTTAATATCGATGCCATTAAACTGACTAATTAAATGCTTGAAGGAGAATTTGAGTTGGATATAAACAAAAGCGAAGTCCTTATTGACACATTTGAGCTTTCATAAAATTTCGGGTAAAATTTTTGATTTTGATATCCTCTTTTTCGGAAGTGAGCAGTTGCTTTCTTTCCCATATAAAAGAAATAAGATAATTATTGGCTGGGGAAATAGAATCTAATTAAGTTATGAGTTGTGTATGGTTTACTGTTTTTGCGTAGTATTAATTTTTCCTAAGAAATAATTTAACTGGACAAAGCTAATCAAAACCTATTCTATTATTTTAGAAACTCCTTATCTCGAGTATGTTTCGGCATTAACGGTAAATGAAGCATCACATCTAGTAGTATTCAGCAGCTCGGTAATGATGTTCATTCTGGATATTGATCTTTTGGAACCTTTGGTGCTTAAATGGAATGATTGTACTAAAGCAATTGGCGAACCATCCGATGTAGCTGTTTTTCGAGATAGGTACTATGTTACCGATTACAAGAATCACTGCGTAGTTGCACTCAATAGTGATGGTGAGTTTTTTACGGTATTTGTTGGTGGCCCATGTTTAGTGAAGATTTAAAAGAGTTAAGCAATGAAAATGCTTATAACGACTCTAATTTCCATCAACGGTTCAACATATTATGAGATTTAATTGCAGAGTTTGGTTTCACATTTCTTTGCTTTTGCTGTATTTCCTGGAGCAATAGCATCCTCTATGTGTTATCCATAAAATAATGGGTAGTACAACAGCAGAAAAGTAATAACCATCTTTAAAAGCATTGGTATAAATTAACGATTAAAACTTGTCTTGTTTTAGGTGAGGTGCTCTGTCGCTTCGGATCCTTTGAAAGTACTCCATATCCAATCGGTGTTGATGTATCAACAAATGGTGATGTATTGGTGGCAGATTCCCATGGCAATCATTTTCATATTTATTGTTGCGCAACTGATGGGCAACGGTTGCAGGAATTCGAGTGTTCACAGCTGAAGGCAAGTTATTTCATTTTCATTATGATGAGATTTTAATGAATCACTAAGTTTTTCAAGTAGAATAATTTGGTGATTTATTATGCATTTAACTTCGCTTTTATAAGCACAAATATTATTCAGAGGACGGAGTCAGTGAATAATATTTGTGTTCCTTTTGCAAAATGAATATTGATTTATTGATATGTTTTAACTACATTTTTAATATATAAACAAAAGTTGATACTGTCTCAGGAGAGGGTCAGAGCTTTAATGCACAATGTGAGTCGCTGTTTAAATGAGATATTATGTGTGGGTAAAATAGAAATAATTCAGGTATTCCACTGAAGGCAGACAATTATACAGTTTTTCTTAATTGTTCTCAAAACATTTTTTTTTGTGCGGTTGAAACAGTGCAAACTAGAAAGCAACTAAATTTTAATAAGAATATTTTATATTTACGCTTTACGCTTAATGCATCTTGTAGCGATATTTTGTGAAATAAACCCTTCATTATGAATTTTTAAAAATAATTTAAGGACGCAGCTTGTATTAGCCTTAAAAAATCCACAATGAAAGGTTCAGGTTCATCTCGTTTCATCTTAATACAGGTGAACAGTGTTCTGTTATTCACATTCTGATCCAAGAGATGACACGACTGATAAGATCCGATTTATCAGTTCATCCACCAGAACACAATTTTTTAAACAGAAATTCATGTTTAATCTTACAAGATTCCGTGAGTTGAATCAAAAGCAGTCCATCGAGTGGTTCCATTCGGACAGCCCCTTGTACCTAACTTTAACTCTTGTTATCATTTGGTAATGATATTGATAATTATTGACAATTAAAATGATCAAATAGTTCCATCTAATTATCATAAGTGTAATATCTTCGTTTTTCAGGTTTCGCGTTGTGTGGGACTTCGTTTAACGTCGGAAGGCTTTCTGATCTCAGTATCGAAGCACAACCATACATTGCTTATCTTCAGTACAGTTTTCGTCAATCCCCCAGCCTCCCTTTAAAAAATTATCTCCAATTTTTCTCCTGACAACCGTAGCAGCAGTAACTTTCTCAAACACTTTTCTTTTTCTGATCGAAGGCTATGCCAATTTGGTGCATTGGCTTCTAGATATCGATCATCAGTTTAGACCTGTGGTACATATAACGGTGCTCGTTCAAAGTTTGCCTTATTACTCACTTGTTCTTTTCATTTTTAATGCTTATAATTGGATACTGTATTTATATTACGAAACTAGCGAAAATTTTGCCTCATATAATCTTAACTCAGGAAATAGGTGAGACTAACGATTTACAAATGCATCAAGACAGTCAAGAATGAAGTTATGATTCTCATTATGTGAATTTTGACTAATTTAACCTGCGAAAGTGCATATTGTTAAAGTTAAATCGTTTTGAATGGCTCACCTCATGAGATATAAGGTTTTCGCTATGTTACTCCAAGTGATAAATTTGGTAAGCTCATACACGTACATGCGTGATGTTTGCTTTTCCAGCTTTTTTTGAAACGATTCTCTGTTGTGATTACGTCAGAAATGTACGATATGATGCATGAAACTGCTGTATATCAAATTTCAGTTTATTCATTTTTCTGTTGATTGCCATTTTTGAAATCCTTTCGTCTTTCTACCTTCTCCGCACTATTATTTTTTTCCAATTTTTTTCTTCTAACTAATTAATTAATTAACTTAATCGCTCTAATCTTTCTTGGTTTGAGAGCAAGTTTATTTCATATATACTACGCTTTCCTTCAATTTCTTGGAGAAACTTTGCGCTTATTTTGTCTCCCTTCGTTCCTTCATGAAGTATTTTCCGAGAAATATTTTGCTGTCTTCAATTTTTTCTTTCTTGCCTTTTATTTAGTTTATTTTCCTAAATTCTGTTTTTCAAGAAAGAAATTTTCTCCAGTTTTGAAATCATTATTGTCGTTTTGCCTTATTGAGTGCTCATATTGTTTTGCATATTATTAAACTACTATTTTATCGTTATTATATCCAGACCCATTTGTTTGTTTGTCTTTTCTTGGAAATAGAATTATTGTTTCTCTTCTAATTTTAAAATTGAGTTTAGAAACTAATTTAAAGAGTTTTTATAATTCGCCTAATAACAGTATATTAGAAATGGCTTTTTTTTTGAGGGTACGGATTCATACCTTCGAGAAAATTTACAGAAAAAAATATTTCGGGCATTATTTCATTTTTCTTCACCCAATTTAGACGGAATTTAAAAATAGTGGGCATTAAATGAGCTAGGAAAAATATCTGAGTGGAAATTTTTAAGCAAAGACGAAAATTTTCTGTTAATTTGTTTCATTCTCTTTGACTTCTCCACAAACATTCTGCTTAGACATTTACACAAGAAGAGAAATTAAATCCAGATACCATTTCTTTCATTTGTTTTATTTTTACATTTTCTGTCGTTTAACCGTTTAGATTAAAAAAAAATTAAAAAAATAGGGATGTTTTGAAACCATTTGTTTTTGAAAAGTTGTTTCAGACTGTACTGATCTCATATTCCAGCGTGTTGTTTTTAAATTTTGCTTACTTGTCCATTTACATCTTTCTTCATTACTGTATATTTATATCTTCTCTCATTTCTGTGAAATTCGTTCGGGTGTTCATGTTTTTCTTATTGGCGCGTAACAAATCGTTGCGCGCATCATAAACACCTATAAGCTGACATAAGGATATGATTTATTAATAGCTGCATCATGCATTATTTTTCGGCACTGTAGATTTTTTCCTTTCATCTCTTCCTTTTCTAATTGTGTATTTCGTTGTCACCTATGTCATTCATGCAATCTTTGCGTCATCAGTTTACTTTTTTTTACTATTAACACACTAACAGAAAAGTTCATGCAAATATATCTGGAACAGCTTGATATGAGGAGTATTTGGTCGAACCTATCACAGTGAGGATAGGAAGCCAAAGCGCAAAATGTATGGTAAACGGCAATTAATTTAATGATGTTCGGATTTTCATTATTAAAATACGAAGTGTTAGTTTTTTCGGTATGTTAAGAAATGATGGTTAAGAAATCTCAAATTCGAACCTTGGTACGATATTGAAATTTTCTTTGTTACTGAGCAAGAACTATTGCAATTTTCATTACACACTGCCATATGTCCATTTCTACTCATTTTTTGTTTGAATTTGAGCTTCCTGGAAGCCTCACGATGCTTTTCCTTGCATGTACTGTATTTGACATCAGGACTATCTTGTTCCCCTAATCTGCTTCTTAATTTGAGAGACAGAATTGTTAGTCTAAAATAGATTGATACTATTCATTTTTGTAGTAATAATTAGGGTTAGTAAACCATTGTTTTTCGTACTTAGAGGTCCTATCAAATCTCTAAGTAAGATCAACAAATGGCTGTGTTTAAATTTTTCTGATACTTTTTTGATGAACTGTTTGAGGGAACGCCAAGATTAAAATCCTTGGCTTGTAATGTTTAATTTCGATTATTATCAAAGGAAAATCCTTCAGTATTCTGCAGCGAAGAAATTTTTCCCATTTTATTTATACGATATATTATCCTTCTCTTTTTGTATTTTTTTTTGGTTACACTTGTCAATTTTGTCAGCTTTATTGGGACAAATACCCCAGTATATTCCATCATTCGTTGAATCTAGCAGTTCTTATCAGTAGTAGTTGTGGCCCTCGGCTTTTTCCTAGCTTGCTCATTGTACGATTTTTATATTTATCATTACCTTATACTTAATTTATACACACCCATTTGCAATGATGTTCCTTCTCTCTGTTCCTGTTTATCATCTGATTAAGATGCATTTTCATTCCTTATGCTTTTGATTTGAACTTACACAGGATATGACTATCTTCATTTTTTCGAGCAAAAAATTCGTTGCAATAACGTTAATAGACGAGATAACATTATCATAAGGCGTGTTGACGTCTGGTTCGTGTAAGAATGTGTAAGTCTATTGGTTGGAAATGCATCTTTGCTTATCTAAAGATCCGCAGTGACGATTTTTGCATCTGGTATTTAAAATCAGAAATTTGATTCCTCCGCGTCGTTTAACGAATAGTGTTGATTATTATTCTTGTTGTCTCTCCAGAAATAGTTATGAATGCTTTTAATTTATATGAGTAAATTGATATTGTATGGTGTAAGAATTTGAATTGAAATTTGATTTTAAACTTCAATGCACTTACCGTATTGTCTATCCTCATTTTTAGCACATTTATTCACTTTTTATTTCTCAAAATTTTTTATTCTCTTTTATTTTTTATACGTTTTTTAGTTCTTTGTCGAATTCTTAGATATTTCATTTTATATTTTGGTTTCGAATTTTTTTTTAATTTCATATTAAAATATAAAACTATGGATCACGAATGTTTTGTCGTGGTATTTTTACCGCTTTCTAATGGTCACTATATTGTCTGGCTAACTATATTGTCTTAAATTTCTTTCACTTTCAGTTGATTCATTTTTTTCTCTCACAAATCCTTTCAAGACCAAAAAATTATATCTTTTAAATATTTATTGATGATTTATTTCTTGCTTTTTGTATCTTGCTTTTTTGCATTCGTTGCTTGTATTTCGTTTTTATTTGTTATCGAGAATTTGAGTACATGCCTCTATCTATTTTTTTTCACCTTCAAAGCACATAATATTTTTTCAAATTTTATCAACCAGTAATTAATACCCAGGTCATGCAATCCCGTATAATATTGTCTCATGTCTTCAGCGAGAAAAAAGTCTTCTACATTGTTTATCATCCTTCGGGATATGTTTGTTTCTGATGTACATTTTTTGGAGCAGATTTTTGTATGCCTAGCAATTACTATCCAAAATCACCTGTACTGGCGTATTCGGCTTACATTTTTTGGAAAATGAGACTTGTATTGTTGATCTTTAAGCATTTCATTTAGTCGAATCTATACTGCTTGAAAAGTTTACAGATTTTTTAAACCTTCCCAATTGTTTGCCAGTTTACAGATTTTTTAAACCTTCCCAATTGTGAGCTGAAAGCAGTTCGCCATATTTGTGAATATAATTTTACATTGCTTTGCATAAAACTTTCCTGCAAACTTCCTTCGTGTGTTTTATGTATTGTTGGTATTTTTACTTTTTTTATTCTTCCGCGTGTCATATTTTGCTATCCGGTTTCGATCTTGAAAAAAATTTCTATAAAAATTCTTTTAGATTTATTTTCTGAACTCGGTCAATTATCTTACCGATTGTTTCCTTGGTTTTTTTGTTTTGTTTCTTGATAAGATAAATATACTTAAAAAATTGAAAAAAAAGGCGGTGATAACTCTTTTCGTTTCTATTTGTTTTGGAGTTTTTCCATGTTTATTCAACATTTCTCTTGCCATGTTGTGTTTTATGTTTCTTTTGCTTGCATTCTCGTATTTTATTATCATTCATCTTAACTATTTATTACTGTTACCATTGATTTTTTGCTGTCTTCTTTGATTTGGTAATTTTTGGTTTGTTACATATTATTTGTTGTGCTATGTGTACAGCTGCTTTATCTAACTCGGTTATTAGTTATCGGTTTGCGTATGTGTGTGGCTTCTGTGCGATCAATATAACCTTTGTTTTCATATATTTTCTCATTACAACTGTGGTCCTTTCTTTTTTTTCAGTTACTGTTATCAGCATTATTATCAGTCATTAATGTTACCGTTTTTTTCAAATCATTCCTTTATAATGGCGATAGATTCGTAGAGCAATGTAGAAAAATGTAGTATTTTTTTTTTATTGATACATCTTTTTACAATAAATTTCTTTATATGCCAAAAGAAATGAATCCTTAATTGATTATTCTTTCTTACTCTCTCTCTTTTCCATCTGTGAATTTATTTTAATTTTAAATTTGTTTAGCATAGAAAACTTTTTGTTTTTCAATAGCTGATGCACAAAGTTACCAATTATGGAAAGTGGTTCAGAGAAGCTATCTGTAAAGAAGAAGGGACAAAGCTAATTCGGATACAATTTTAAAATTTTCCCAATATTCCACTAAGCTATCTTAAGAAATCTATTAACGCATTCGAATATTTTCTTGTTGTCATTATTCCGACTAGTTTCTCGCTTCTTTCTCTCTTTTCTTTCTTTTAATTCTCATGCACCGAAATTCAGTACAATTATTTGTGAGTGATTTAATAAATAGTACCATTGATAAAATGAATTTCTTTCCGTAAGTCTAATATTTTTTTTAAATTTTATGTTTGTTTAATTTATAGTCGAGCTTGAAGCTATTGTTTTTGCTTTTGATTTTTCTTGTGTTCGTTCTTTTCCCTTTTTCACCTAAAATCTTTCCATTACTGTCTTCACATAATGATATCCATACATTACGGTAGTATTTACGAATCACTTTTTCTGGTAATAAACGTTTTTTGTTATTTCCAAATGTGTATACTTGGATTTGCTCTTTGCATATGAGGTAATTTTCGTCACCCTATGCTCGCTATTTATTACTATCAGCCTACACTACTTGCTTTTGTTTCGTAGCTGAAGATTACTTAAAAATCGTCGATATCAATTTTCTCCTTAAAATTGCTAAAACCCATGTCACACGTTAGCGTCTCAGAAACAATCGGATATATCACATCAAATTTTCTGATATGCTTGGCTGATAATGAATTGAACTGTATTAAAGTAATGGTATCTTGCAAAATTGTCAGACGGATGAAGTCTGAGTCTTGCGGTGTTCCATTATAAATTTTCACATGGCTAAATTATTAGCAGACAGGATGATTACGCGGAATGCCAAAAACATTGAGATATTCATAGGATATCGTATTAGTAGTCTCTAGCACGCATGTCGTAATTACCTAATTATTAGAATAGATTGATCAGATCATAATGGTCGTCGAATCAGTATTTAATCGTTTGCTTGCCGAGCTTGATGACAAATTTGCTGGTTTGGATCACTGCATCAGGTAATATAGTTTGCAGGGTTATTGTTAAAAGTCATCTTTGTATTAGTGAACTTGAAATCTTTTTCAGAAAATTCGCGCTAAAATGTAAGCGAACTAAGATTTAGGTTGTACTCTTTGCCAATCATCTCTACCGTTTTCAAGTTTTCTCAATTCTATAGAGATGCAATTTATACAGGCAGAATAGTTCACTTTTTATTATAATCTGGCTTGCATGGGATCATCCTACTTTCGAAAAGAAATATTCAGAAAATTCGCTTCTTAAAGTTTGTGGAAATTTTGTTAACTAATGGATGGAATTGAAATCTACCTGTGTAAATGTTTTTAAATGCTGCTAGTTTTTCGTTCTTTAGTAAATTGCACGAGATCATAAAACGATTCATTAAAAGCAAAGAGGGTGGCTCGGCAGTTGTTATCGGACCTAAATCATCTGGAAAACGTTCAATTATATCTAAGGTTCGTTCTTATTCGTCCTAATTTTTTTCATTTTCTCAATAGATTAAAATGATCTTAAGAGCAGTAACTTCAGAGATTTGCCAAAAAATTTTATCTTTTCCTTCCTACTCTCTCTCTTTCTGTTGCATTTTGCTTTTTTTAAAAAAATTCGATTATACGCAATGGGTTTTAAAGGAGAGAAATACGAAGAAAATAGAGGTGTGATGATATTTTCTCTATCACAAATACCTAAGAGTAAAGAAGGATTATTTCTCTAAAGACATCATTTTTTTCTTCCAGCTCGCTTACCTTTTTATCAGGTTGTAATGGATTATGCTGATGATATGGAAGTTGTTTTCATCGATGGATTAATTCTAACAAGTGATATAGATGCATTGAAAGTACTGGACGCATCTGAATCCAATTCGGTATTCATTTTTTAATTTATCAAAAATTTTCTTGTTTTTTATTTTCTTTAAAAAGACCATTGTAAATAATATACATTTTCATATATTTTAACCGTTACGCACAGTGTTTCTGTCAGTATTATTTTTGTGATACCATTGTTTTATGTGTTTTATCATCAGAACTTATCATGATTATGGCTGGGAAAAAGCATACATTGCCATTTGAAATGTCACTTTTTTTTGTTATAGGAACAATTGCGGCTTGTTATCGTATTTAACTTTGATCAGTTTGTAACACGAGGCCGACAAACTCTTCTTTATACGATTCTGAATGCATCACGTTCTGAATCTCTCTTTGTACTCTGTGTTAGCTCTCGTCAGGCAAGTTTTATAGATATAGCTGGTTCGGGCATGTCAAATGAATTTGTCATTTTTTCGTGTTTTAAGTCATAAGATAATGTGAAACCGTCATCAAACACTTTAAAGCAGTTTTATACTTTGATTTGAGAAGGTAACTATTTTTATTTATTTTTTTTTAAATATAGAACTTGAAGATAATATGGGAAGTTTCGAGTTTTGATGAGTTAAATTTTAGGACTGTACCGAACTGCTTGAGAAACGTGTACGTTCACGTCTTTCCAATACATTTATATCGTTTGCTCAGTCATCTATATCATTTGATGATTTTTCAAAGACATTTATAACATTTTTGCATACTAATATGAAAAAATACGAGCACAATAATGGTCTTATCCAGGTGAGTATTAGCTTGTCCAATTTGAAATATAAGAATAATATTTTGTGGCAATGGCGTTTTTTTGCGCACTGAAAGGGACGTATAAAAAGCGTTTTGATCTTATGGAATAAACCTACGGAATTAATTGAGTGATCAGCAATTTTGAAATGGATAATTTTTGGATAATTTCTATCATTCGACAATTTTTAGATAGCAAATTAAAAGAAGTCAGAAAATGGGAGTTAAAAGCAGACTGTGATACTGTCCTCTTTGTTAATTGCTGAAGTCATAAAAGAAAGTTAAAAAAACTTACTGCACAATTGCTTTGTCGGTTCTGCAGATTGATAATTTTTGTATGAAATAATGATTACAGGAATTCATTGCCAATGAGTGTGTAGAGCGTAAATTACGTGAAATATATGATGAAACACGAAGTTATTGCATTCTGAAACAAATCACAGCTACATTTCTATGTTTCATGGGTGCAGAGCACATTGAAAGTCTGGCAAGTCCTCATGCTTCGCGAATATTTATTGAAGCAAAAAATGCAGTTATTGCTAACGAAGATACGATGAAATCGATCATTTTAAGTGAGAGTTGTTAAATTATTGCCAAATTCAAAATTTTTTTGCTCTGCAAATATGAAGCACTTTCTTGGAAGTTGAGTTTGCTGGCCTAATATGGTTCTATCAATATATCGGCATGTTATTGCATTTAATGTTTGGATAAGGCTATCCATAAACCGGTAGAATCTATTTTTTCCGATAATTTTCACATATTTTGTCACTTTTCTTTTTCTTACCTTCCAGAAAATTTACCATCAAGTATTCATATTAATTTCATATTAGAAATTAGAAACTTTCTAGATTCTGAGAAATGGTAATATCCTTAGATTTTATCGTCATCATTTAATACCAACTACGGTATCCTAGTAGGATAAACTTTTTATATGTACTCTACCAACTTTCTACACTCTTCCAGGTTTGACATTGCGGCAACTCTGTCTCTTATTATGTTGTGTTCGTTTGGCACGTTATCAGCGACGGCAGGATTTCATATTTCGTGAAATTATCCTAGGTTCATATTTCGAATAAAACTGTTTGGCAAAAATGAAAGTTGTTTTATTTTTCGTGAGATCTCAGTTTAACTTAAGTTGCGGACCTTAGTTTTCTAGTTTTATTTTTCAGTTAAATTTTATACTTGTCTTCAGTTTTGCATTTTCATTTTCAGTTATTCTTTCGAGTCAGGTAGATATCGCACATTTTTAGCGTGGTACTCAAGGAAAAAATTCACTAGATGGTTCCTGATAAAATTGCATGTGTAACTGATTTGGTAGATCATGAATAGAGAAGCTCACCCAAAAATATGAATATCAGATTTTGCAATTAAATATTGCTGTGCCAATTGGGACAATAATTAAGCAGAAAGAAATTAACCTGTATCCCTTTCACCTGCTTTTCATAAGTAATTTAATTTTATTTGAATTTGATTCTAGATTACCGCAAATTAGTTAACAAATATTTGCCAACACTAAATGTAAAGGACGACTTGATATTGTTAAAAGAGCTGGATACATTGTGTAGTCTAACAGTTCTGGAAGAAAGAGAGCAATGCGGGCAGCTATTGTTTAGACGAACATCTCTGCAAGTAATCATTTATTTTATAACCAACTAGATATGTAAGATATGCACTGTTGAGAATGCTGTTTAAAAGTGGTAAAATGTTGCAGTGCCGTATTTAAGACCAGTTATGTTACCAAAATTTTTTGGCATCATAAGCAATTATTATTTGGTAATTTCAAATATCATCTCCAACCGATTAGTATGATTTATTAAAGTTATTAATAAAGTTTATTAAATTTGGATAGCAGATTTGAAAAAAGAATTAAATTAATTTTTCTTCTCTTCATCTAATTTTTTCTTTAAAAGACGTTTTTCCCAGGTAGATATCGATTTGGTGTTGAGTTGTGTGAAGGAATTTACACCTCTTCCAACCGCTTTAATGCACTGGATAGATGATCTTGAAAGATGAAGGAATGTTGGATGGACTGAAGGAGTATAACAATCGATTCTCCTATTACATGATTTTTGTCTGGATACGTAGTGCAAGAATATGCTAAGGACTCTTCTTTCCTTTATCCATATACATCTATTTATCTGCTGCTTTCAACAAGGAAGACGTCTCGCATAATATATCCTGATAGTAGGAATTTTCTGTCTTAAATATTCCTAGATTTACACCGTGCTGTTCATATATGAAAAAGAAAGTTGAGGAGATTCATCTTTCGAATTCTCTCCTTTCTATCAGCTCCCTAAAAAATTTTTGTGCAACATATATCATCTACTAATTGTTCTATTTGCATTCCTTTTTCGTTTCGATTCATTAAATATTGTCCTATTGCTATTTTGCTACCGACATTTAATCGCGTTACCGCACAACTGCTTATTTTTAATGTCATGTTTCTGTTGTCAGTGAGATACAAGTTTCACTGGTTTAAGATTGAAAAAAATGTATAGTTCTTATCTGATTTATTTCAGTACTTGTTTATTACAAGTGATAACTACGAGACAATATTATTCAAAGTAAGAAATGTTTTATTTGCTATTTCTTCTTTGGTTAGATTATGTTACTTCATCCAATCCCGGCCTATCTTGTAATTCTCTGTCAGGAATATTCTAATATTTTAACATTATTTCAATGCAATCTTGAATATGAATCGTTTCTGTATTGATACTGTTATTTTAGGATTTTTTCATTATTCGTTTTTGTTTGTGAATATCTGGAAAACTTGTACTGTTTGTCATACATCCTGTTCACCCATATCAATATTCTATTTTCACTAATTGTCTCAATTATTTTAAAGGAATATGTGTAGGAAAGTGCGACTATATATATTTGTAGAAAAGGATAAGGATAAATAGAAAAAGAAAAGAATTCTTATTTATTTATAGCTTGTCTTTCAGGAAAAGACCTTGGGATTGAAGATGCACGGGTGTGAGGTATGTATATCAGTGAAATAAATTATCCTCCTCTTCCCCTTCTTCGTTGACATTTTAGCTCGATTTTTAAAATAAGGATCAATTTATCAGCCGTTGTTATATGGGAAGAAGATGCGCATGGTTATTTAGAGTGGATAGATTGTATTTTAAAGTAGTTCCCGGGTTAATTGCTAGTAAAATGTTGATCAATAGCCAATTTTCGTTGTGTGGCATAGGAAACAAATTCAGATAATGTCAGCTAATCATGAAGTGGAAGGGTGCAAAGATCGCCTTTGACAAGCTACCGAAAATGGAATTTTTAGAATTTTGCTCCGTGTTTGCCAGTGAGAAGTATTTGTGTTGTGTTGCAATATTGAAATGACGATAGACTCGTAGATTCAAAATCCCAACTAAGTATGTTGTGTGGTGGGTTGGTGTGCTAGTGGGTTGGGATGTGCGAGTTCTGTCAATTACATGTGATAGGTTCAGTGCCGCGTGATGACTGTTATTTGCTACTCTTGATGTGATTATGATGAAGCAGATATAACCACCACACATTGGGCTGATGGCGCTTTTGAGACTTATCGATAATGAATGCTTGTATTTCAGACAAAAGGTTAGAAGTTTCCCGTATTCTGGAGTCTAACTCCATCAATTTCTCGATAGAATGTCCTAAACATTGCTTATCACGAAGAGTAGAGAAGTTCTTTCTTTAATTCCTTTATCTTATGATTTGTTATTTTATTATTCTCTAATAATACGTCGTAGCAGCGTAAAATCAAGCGATTGATTCACCAAGACATTATTGTCGTTGAATAGTGTCGTAGAACTTAAGTGATGAAGGAAAGAAACAATTTCCACTGATTTTTTGGAAATTGAAGTTTAGATTTCAGCCTTCAAATTTTCCATCGGCAAATTTCAGAGCAATTACTTGTTACTATTACTATAAGAATGTTCAAAAATTTTTTTGAAGCAGTAAAAAACTTTTCTAACCACTCTAAAATCTGAAGTCAAATTGAAAACCATGAACTTAAATCTCTCTTGATTTCAGACGGTTTGGGAAAAAAGAAATATAAATTTCCATTGCTCGTCCGATCAATCTGACAAGAGCAAACAACTCAAATCCTTTGAAAATTTAAGAAGTGAAAGGTTTCCGGAATTATTAAAACTTCTGAAGCTGTAGGTATCTACTCATTTCTGAGATTTCCATTTATTCATATCTATGTTAACGTCCGCCGTTTCTCCACTCAGTTTCCAGCTCACATGTTCCCCTTGTCGAGCTAAAATGGGCTCATTTGCAAAAATCTGGTAGGATGTAGCAATTTGCAGATGCTTGCTGCGTTAAATTTAAGGATTGAGCTTTGAAAATTGTGATTACTTTTGATTGTATTTTTCGTAGTGTTTAATTGCTTAATTCAAATTATGGCAAGGATTTTTTCGAAATTTTCTTTATAAGTGAACACATGTAGGTCACATCTGACTTTGATTTTAGTTGTATAAATTCAATTTTGATTTACGTTTACGGGCAAAAACTCAATTTCGAATTTATCTTTTCAAATTTTTTGTTTAGATGACATATAAAGAAGGAGAACCAAGCTGTTCTAATTGTTGGAGTTTGGCTGATCAGCAAGAAGATGCTAGGAAAGAAGTGAAAGAAAGAAAGTCAGTTAGCTTTTTCTCAATTTAATTGCAAATCAACAAGAATTCCCAAGCTCTTACATTTCTCTGAATTTATCCGAACTTCAGTTTGCCTGTAACTTTCTTTCGGAGTATTCCGAGAGAAAATTTTGGAAATACATTTAATTTCGGAAGTTCATCTTGATTCTAAGCAGCAAAAATCTCTTTACATAAAAGTTATCTGTGCCAAGGTTTTTTAAAATTTGTTTATGCTAAATTACGTAAAGTAAACAAGGTGAATTTACGCAACTATGAAGTTCCCTTATAGCCCTTTTAAAAATAATTACAAGTTCATACAGTTTCAAATGAAACCTCTAATTTTGTGATGAAAATTTTTTCATCACAAAATTAGAGGTTTTAGAGGTTTGTTTGCTTAAATTAATAAGAAATCTGCTCTTTTTTTAAAACAAGTAACTTCCTTGTGTGATTAGTCTTAATTATTTAAGATTCACCATTACACCAGTGCTTTGCAAGGAAATAGTGCGTGATAATTTGCCGCTGATTGAGTATCACGCAATAAAGATGGAAGATAAATGCAAGATCGGATTGCTGTTACAGATTTTGCCAAATATGCCATCAGAAGCGAATCATTTAAAGCGTATCAAAAATGGACTAATTCTTATCCAACCAGCAAATGGACCACTGCCGCAGGTAAAATTCTGTTTTACTTTAAACTTTGAATTCAAAGGCTCTCATTTATATAAAAATATTTGCTTACAGCGGAATTTGTCAAGTAATAATTAAGCTATAGGCAAATTTAGAGGTTAATGACGCCCGAAACCATTATTGTCGTATTTTTTAAAAAGAACTTCAAGCCGTATTAGTCATTTGAAATGTTGGTCATCCAAAGTTTTACTTTTTTGTGTAGGAGGTGGAAAAGAGCTAGAGAGATATTTAGCTTTTTAGTTTGACTACATTAATCTATAAGATTTATGTGATTATTACTTTTTTTTTTTTTTTAATAACTTTCTTCATTTGTTTTATTGGTTTCAAGAAAGATTTTAGGTTTTTACCAGCTTATTTCCTTTATGGACAATTACCCTAATATTTTTTCAGGAATTTCTGAAGAAACTTGAGACTACGCTTTTAGATATTTCTATCTCAAAAGTGAAAGTTCCTTTATGTAAGCCATTGACAAGGCGACAATTTCTATGGGCCAAGCAGTATTGGCCTACAGCTTTTCATCCAAACAAGCATTATGAAGCACTTTTGAATGGGAACTTTTTCACAACTGATGAGTACCAAAAGATTATTGGCTTCTATTTGGAATCGGAAAAGGTTATGATATATATCTATTTAGTATATAGACCTGTAACAATTCAGTAAAATGGTTTAGTAAATAAATTATATCTATCCGATGATTGACATTGTCTAGCTTGTTGTTAAATGATAGATGATAATAAGTAACCTCAGAACATGCGTTGCATGTGAATATGTGAGTATGCAATATGCTTACAGTCGTTGTGAGATCTTTTCGGAAATTAATCAAATTTAGGTCAAATTTTTTTCAAAAGGAATATGACGTGCTGCGAATTTCGTTTTTTTTACTACTTTTGTCTGCAACAGCTTATTTTGAATAATAGTAATTTGATGTCATTCATTGCCAGTCTTGCTTTTAAAATTTGGAATGTTAAATCCAGCTCAAGAAATCTTTGTTTGTTTCTGGAGCAAATGAACCGTGTTTTCATTAACTTGAGAAGACTTTCCAGATCAGTAATGGTGGTTCAGGATGTGTCATTGTAGATTTAAAAGGTGAAGTTGTCGCAAAAAGTGGTGACCGAAATATACCTCTTGGTCATGCTGTTATGGCTGCAGTCTCAGATCTTTGCGAAAGACATCGCACCATTCAAAGTAAATTTCTTATCCATTAGCGTAAGTAAAGACGTCATTTTTCGCTGCAGTCATCAAATCATTGTTTAATGTGATTTTTGAAGTTCGTATGTGGTTAGCATCACTTACGGGACTTGGAGTGTAGAAAATTCCCAGAAATCTTATTTCTTTTATTTTTTTAATTTTTTTATGAGAATGAGTAACAAATTATTTCAGGTGACATACTGCAATATCTTGGTACAGGATATGACGTTTACATGACAGATGAACCGTGTGCAATGTGTGCTATGGCTTTGGTACATTTTCGTGTTGGACGAGTATTTTATGGAAAACGTACTTTTTCAAGTGGAGTATATGAATCATGCTGGAGAATTCAGGAAGAAAAGTCACTGAATCACCACTATGCGGTCTTTCGGATAGATGAATTAATGTGATTTTGACACTTTATTTTTATGGAATTATATTGTATGCTTTCTAGTTATACTTTTTGTTGAGTAAGATAACTGTAATTTGTTAGAAGTATTTCATATTTATGGTTTATATTTGTAATCATCGTTAATATAAGTTTCTTCTTATATGCAAAATTTGGAACAAAGTAGTACGGGAATCTGCTTTGAACTTTCAATGTCACTATGTAACATATTTCACTTCCTTTATAATGTTCTTGAATAAAGTGGTTGCGTGCTTGGCAACTTTTTATACCGTTCAGCTGAAATGTGTTCCTGCTTGTATTTGGTTAAATGTATATTTAATAATATGAATAAACGCAACGTCAACGTGATCAACGTGATGTTAAGCACTCGTATAAGGTAATGCGAATTATGGCCTAAGCATAGTGCGAACTTATTTATTTCATCTTCTATAAAATATTGGAAATGGCAGTCACTTTACAGTGAGGTGTTGTCGTAGTTTTTCTTTACACTCTTTTTGCAGTGTGTTGCACAATAAAAATGTCAGTGGCACTAATCGCGGAAACATTTTCAATGGTATATGTGGAAGAAATAGATAACAGCGTAGCAGTGGGACATGCCGATGTTATGAACGGAGTATCATTGATTGCAGAACGATTAGCTTCTTACAGAAATTGTCTTATTGCTGTAGTTCTTCCTAAGCATCCAGCATTTGTTTCTGCTATTCTTGGGTTTGTATTTTTCCCTTACTTTGGCTTACTTTGTCTTATTAACTGGAAGTTAGATTCGTTTATCCTACCTTTATATTTCGTTTACCCCACATTTTCTTTTCGTCTGGTTTTTTTTTTTAATTTTTCTTACATCAATAAAATCCGGGAGAGGTTATCTTCGTTGACCTGTAAATAAACCTGAAGTTTGCAAATTGTATTGAAATACTGAATAATTAGGTAACTTCTTTTTTGAGTTGTCGTTTTTATTATATAGCAATTCGCTCCAAAATTAATTTATTGAATTTTCAGAATGCTAGTGTTCTAGGTTTTCAGAGTTATGGAAACGAAGAATTGCTTTGTCTGTTGTTCAAGCAGTGAAATGGCAAACAGATATCGTAGTGCTACAGTATCTTGTATTATTTCTTCCATCGCTTCAGAAGACAATCATTCATCAATTAATATACATGGTTTACAAATTTATTTCCACCACAATGGGTATTATTGTCTGGATAAATTTGGAAAAGATAGACTTTGCTATTTGATTACGACATCGGGTACATTAGGAGAACGAAAAGAAGTTCTTGTTCCGTACAGTTGCATAATGCCTAATATTTGGGATTTCAGGTGAGGATTTTTTATATTCCTATCCTTTTTTACTCTTATTCTTTCCCAGTTACCGATTGTGAAAGAATTATCGAAAATTTGAGATATAAAATCACATCATATATTTTGCTTCTTCACTAAAACCACCATTATGTTAAACTATTTGATAGACAAGCTGATTCTGGTGTGATCATCGTTTTAAATGGAATTCTGGACAAAAATAACGAAGTATTTTGTTATAGTTATAGCACCAAATTTCTTTTTTTGTGGTACACATAGTGGGAGAACTTAGTAGGATAGCATATGACATTAAGAAGTTCACAAACGTTATCTATTACTATGGTCAAGTTGATCATTGAAGTTTGCAAAAATAAAGCGTTCCTTTATTCCGGAATAATTTGCTATATCTCCAGATTGTTCTTTTTTAGTCGTCGATTCCGAATCACAGTTTCTGACGTTATTCTTTTCGTTACGGCAGCAACATTTGATCCATTTGTTGTGGAAATTCTTTTAGCTGTAGTAAATGGTGCAAAACTATTGGTTATTCCTGATTCATTTCGTTCCATGCCGTCGAAATTAGCCGATACAATCATGAAATACAGTGTAACCTTTATTCAGGCTAGCATTTGCATTCTTTCATCATTTTTATTATATTTTATTTTTAAATTATTTTGAATTTGATAATACACCTGAATTTGAGTTTCAAATTTTTATTTACCATGGGAGGGATTATCGACAAAAGCAAATGAAAAAAAACTTGTGCCTGTCGGAGACGACTGTTTCCATCAAATTCCTTCGTGTTATTATTTTCGTTGATTTTGTTACAGTACCTTCTTTAAGAAAATCCTAAGAATGCAAGAAGCTACGGTTTCAGCCTTTTACTCTATGAATTTTATTGCCATGACATGCATTTTTACGCGAGACAATTTTGACTTAAAATTGAGTTGTATTTCAGATGACACCTTCACAATTGAAAATTCTACCTCGTCAAACTTTGACAAAGATTTTTGTCGGCCATTCAACCGTACGAACATTAATCCTAGGTGGTGAAACATTTCCAACAAATTTTATTAAGCGTTTTCAAATTGGTCACCATTTCATTAATTTCTACAATGTGTATGGAGTCACGGAAGTATCCTGCTGGGCTTCATGTCATAGAGTCGATTGGAAGTAAGTTTATAAATCAGTAAATTAACTTAAGTATGGGGAATAATTAGGACAACATAATCAAACATTTAGAGAAACCCGTGTGGAAATTGGTGAACCATTATTGGGTACAAAATTCAAAATTAGTGAAACTGGTGAATTGCTTATCGGTGGTTCGAGGCGATGTTTCATAAATGGTAAACTGTCTGGAGCTTGGCTTCCCACTGGTGATATTGTTGAACTTACTGAGATGGGGAAAATTTACTGGTGTGATCGATCGGATGATCAGGCTTGTTATTATTTTGAAAATTTTTTTTCTCTTTTATTTTCAATTGATTTTAGCAATCGTTCTATGGAATTTCAGAGTTCCTGATCTGCATATTTTGTATGCGGTCAGATTTTTGCCTGCCTCACAAATAATTTTATATTGGATAATTTTTGGAACATGCCATTCTTCTAAGGCATTTTTTGTTTTTCAGCAGAAGATTAATGGGATAAATGTAAGCTTATCAGGATTGGCTCGAAAAGTGGAAGAATATGATGGTATTCAGTCAGCTTTAGCATTACGTCGCGAACAGTCCATTTTACTATTTGTACATATCGAAAATAGTGCAAATATGCAAGCTGATTTATGCAAAAAGTTGGATATGAAATTGCCACTGACGGTCATTTTAGTCGACAATTGGCCAGTGACTGGAAATGGTTAGTGGATAATGAAATATTTTATCGCTCTTAATAGTTTTAGAGAGAAGAGGCGGTAAATGATGGAGGAAGGTAATTCTTTCACAGGGACAAGTCGTTTAAACGTACTTTTTCTGACAGGAAGTTCACGATTACAGAAGTCAAATTATACACACATAACAACATATCTTCAGGAAAAATCGATCGTCGAAAGTTAATACAAATTTTCGAGCAAAAAAATTTGGTTTTTACGATGGAAGAGTTGAGCAAATTATTTGAAAATCTTAGTAAGTTTTTTCACTATCTTAACATTTTTTGACTTTAGTGGCATTTTTTAACTTCAATAGCATTTTGATGGAAAGAATTAATTAAATTTAATGGAGAAATATTAAAGTAGCAAACAAGAAAGTGAATACGCATAAATCGCTTACTGCTGTTTTTTTCTCATCTTCCTTATTCCTTTTCCTTCTTCAATATTATTTATAGCACATACTTTTTATGCAATGTTATGTTTATATTTCGCAAATGATTCATGACACTTTCGTTTAAATTCCCCAATAATCCTTAAATTTCAAAATATTAGCATATTTTCATTAGTGCAAAAAATTTTGGGAAGATAAAATTCTATGCAAAATGAAATGCAGCGTGTAAATTGGCATGGCTATACGTTTCATTTGATAATTTACGATATTTCTTGTAGACATAAATCTAAAAACCAATCAAGAAATGACGTTCAAAGACTTGGGTTTGAATTCATTACGTGCAGCTGAATTGACTCTGAAAACGGAACATCTTTTGAAGCAACGCAACTTTCCACTTTTGCAATATCTTCTTTCGGATACTGGAACGATTGCTGGATTTTTGGATGCGCTTGATTTCAATCAAAATGTTCGAGAAAGGGATACTACACATGTGCGAGAAGTTCGTATAAGGCCAATAGAAAGTTCCATTACTATCAAGTTATTGTGGGAATATAATTTGGGAAAATGCATCGATGCAACGCCTACAGTCGAAAATGGGTATGAATTATAAAATTTGAGAAACATTTTTAGCTTTAAATTTTTTTTCGAGAAAATTCTGATCTCGGAGTTGAGGTAATGATAGCATACCATCATATAAATGAGATTAACCGGATTTTTGATTATGACGATAACCTGTGCTAAAAGTAGCGCTTTATAAATAATTGACCATTTGCACTTTCCTTATATATGTTTGTGTGTATATGTGTGTTACGGCACTGCCTGCTACAATCAAAATACTTAATAAAACAATAAACTGTTAACTTTAATGTTATGTTAGTCATTTCGCTTCGAAATTTTAACTTCCCACTAAATCTAGGAATTTTTGACATTGTTAAAACTGAACGATTGTTTTTCCAGCTCAGTTTTTCTGGGGTCACATTCTGGACAATTCGTTTCATTATCTCTGGATGGAAATAAAGAATGGGAAGTTCAATTTGGTGGACGAATTGAAGCAACTGCTTGTTGCCAAAATGGTATCATTGCTGTTGGTTTGTTTTTTCTATAATTGTTTCTCTTTTACCTTTATCATTACTTATGAGCACTTGAAATTCTCCCATCGCATTATACTACACCTGGACCCCCTCTTCATGATAGATGGAAGCTCAGTTGTTAGTCAAAGAAAAGATTGTTCTCTACATAAGACGTATGCTGCTCAAGCGATATTATTTATCAATTATACACTGTGGACTTCCATTATCTGTTGCTCACATAATTAAAACTCAATTGAAATTCATTTTACTCTGCTTTATTGGGAAATATCTCTGTTCATGTTCTACATTTTCTGCAATTTTTGAACCTATTCAGAATAGTTCAGATAATAGGCAAACTTTTCCCCAAGATTCCTTCTCCCGTGCAGTCATTTCGATAAATCACTTTTTATAGGCTGTTACGATGGCTATCTATATTTTTTGGATGAGAAGAGTGGACAATTAATATGGACATTTGGCACAGGAAATATCATTAAATCATCTCCTGTACTTATCGATGCGGGAAGCAGATGCTTGTTTGGTTCACATGACAAATGTCTTTATTTGCTTGATGTCAAGGTAAGCTATTAAACAAAAAATTTATTGTGATGATTTTGAACGCTTTTCTTGTCTTCGAGTTTTTATTCCATCAGAATATTGTACATGAGAAAGAAATTTCAAGTTCTTTATTCATTAAAGATGAAAGACAATAGGTGAATCAATGGTTAATTGATTTACAATAAGCTCTGAGGAAGCGCTTGATGAGATAAAAGTATTTAATTGAGGAGTTATTTCATTGCGATAATATTACGGCCTGACAGTGCCATGGCTTTTTTAAATATGTTCGTGATTTTCTACAAATAACCCTTTCTATGATTGACAATATCACCACTTGTATTTCATGTATTTTCAGAATCACAAGATGTTGTGGAAAGTTATCTGTGACGGTAGCATCCTATCTTCACCTGCGCCTACCGATACAATTGTATTGTGTGCCACTTTACAAGGAGAATTTTTTGGTGTCGAATTAGTAAGTTCTGATAAGCCCTCTCTTTTTTGTTTTGCCTGGTTATTGTTAGCTGTGGCTGATTTAGGAAGTGAGTGAACATAAGAGTGACTTGTCTTTTGTATGTTTTGCAGGCTGAGAGTATGCTTTTTTCAATATGAAAAAAGGTTTTGCTATGGGACATTTTTATGATGGGTTGAATGTTACCATTTGCTTGAACTTAAATCATTAGGTTTCATACCAGCTTCATTACAATGTGGAAGTTTTCATTTCGATTCTGAGGAATCATTATTGGAGTAAATTGAATGATGGATGAGAAGTATCAATCCTGTGATCAAAATTACCTTTATAAAGAGTTGCTTGAAATGCTGTAATTTAGAGTCTTACTTCTTGGTTTTAAAGTAATCACAAATTGTTAGATTCGAAGAGTAATGGTGTCAAGTACCCTATACGCTCAATTTTTTATTTTATGAAGTCAGAAAGTTTGCAAAGCCCATTTTAAGATTATTATGGATAATAAGGCTGTTTTTTCCTGAACGCTTAGAAACTTTTACACTATGAAAATTTTATTGAAGTGTCAGCAAATAGTCATCAAGAAAAAATTATTTTTTAGTGTCTATAAAAATTTGCATCCTTTTTTTACAAATTTTAATGAAATAAATGAAACTTCTCACATTTTAAATTTATGATAATATGGTGATTATAGGAAGAGATATTATTCAGCAGAATAATTATATTTTTTCTAAATTTATGATAATATGATTATAGGAAGAGTTATTATTCAACAGAATAAGTATTGATGAAAAAGAATCTTTGATATAAATAAATGTGCACGCACTTTTACCGAATAGAAAGGTGAAATAACAATAAAAATTTGATTTAATGCATACGTTTGAAGCGCCAGTGCTTTACGATTAGTTTGACTTTAACGTGTTATATTGAAATGTGAAATTGGATGGAATAATTTTCTGTTTCAGGCCACTGGTAATGTCTTTTGGAAAATTCAATTAGCTGCGCCGATATTTGCAAATTTATGCATTATAGAACCCAACCGTGTACTAGTTGCGAATGTTAAAGGATTAGTATCGTTGTGTGATACAAGAACTGGACATATAGTGCGTGTTTTTTTAAAACTTTTTCATTTAACCATAATATATCTCTTTGCACTTTTCAATTACGCCAGTATTAAGTTTCCATACAAGTTCACTGTCTATATATTTTCATAATGTATGAAATTTCAATCATTACGTACTCTGCTATATATTTGTTTGAAAACTGAAATTTGAAAATTGACTTATCATTAAAATTTTCTCTCAAAATTCGATATCTCCTTAACGTTATTTCAGTTTATTATAGAATGATAAATCTTCCTTAGCACTTCTCTTACTAAAAGCTAAAGATTACCATGATTTACATAGCTTCATTTTGCTGGAATAGATCTATCCAAGCAATTAGATTTTAAGAATGAATATTAAGAGAACCGGATTGGGCCGCCCGTTCTTGTCTGCTTCAATCTTCAAGAAACGGATGAGTAAAAATTTTATGCATCATTTCACTTTTGTGATGAATAAAAGTTATGTATATAATACGCGGATTATTTTTCTATGATATTGAAAAGCGTTCCATCTATCTTCGAATCTTTTTGGCAGCAACAAACAGAAATTACTTCGCCTATCTTCTCCCGCCCCTCCCACGCCAATTTCAGATCGAACATAAGCATTCCTCCAATGGTTCATCATCTATTTTCACGCCTTCGTGACACTCATCGTATTTCTTCTTTTTTGAAATTTTGTTTGTATAGTGAATGACAATTGATCCATTAGCATTAATAGTGTACTGTTTTCACTTTTCTTCTCTCCATATTTCTCTCTTTCTCTCTCTCTCTCTCTCTCTCTCTCTCTCTGTTACTATGCCTATTTCTTCCTTTACATCATCGTATTAACAAAGTAATGATTGAATTTTCTGGAAATAAACTGTTTTGTCACGACTTTTTCCCTTAACTGTGTAGATTCTTTTTTCCATTGTTTACATTCTCTCCAACTCTCTTTTTGCTTCTGTCTATTTTAGGAACATTAAAATTTTTAAATATTCCCATTTTTTTTACCAAAATATTCTCTTGGGATTTTTGTTTTTTCTGCTGGTTACTTTTTTTCTGAAATTTTTAATTTTTTGGTGGATTATTATCTTCTTCCTTCCGATTTAAAATAATTCAAAGCACCGTACTTTCTAACAGTTCTGACACATAGAGAGAGAGAAGCGAAATTAAGATGTAAGTGTTACCAATAGAGTTACTCTTAATGATTGACCATAAAGATTTTCCAGATTATCTAGAAGAATTAAGTGGAAATTCCTGAAATTTTACAGTTAAGTAGCTCTTCGAATTTTATATTTCTCCTTATAACTTGTCATTTTTGGAATCCTGAAACTTAACGTTTCCAAGAAAAATTTAATAGCATTTTATAGCACTTAAGTTTTAAATATGGGTTTTCTAGAAAATTTCATTTCAGGTATACCAGTATGATGTCTTGGAGTGTATTTTCGCAACACCAATACTATTTTCGGATGATATCAATAATTCTAACATATCACTTATCGTAACGCAAGCTTCTTCACTGTTCTTGTTACAAACAGATACGCTTCAACTGCTCTGGTACATAAGAATTGATGGAGTAGGATCGTTTCTACGAGCACCGGAAGTTCTGAATAATGAAGGATATCTTTTTATTCAGGATTCTTCCGGTACATTGTTAGCTATCAAAGGATTGAGAGATATGATGAAGAAAAATGCTGTGGATGTAAAAATTTCCACGATGAAAATTATCAAAGTTTTAAAAGTACCCGGTGAAACTTTCGGTGGAGTGCGAATTTTAAAAGTGGAGAAAAGAGATAGTAGTAAGAGTGATAGCAATAGTAATAGTAGTAATAGTAGTGAAACGGCAGTTGTCTCTTATCGTGCTTTGATTGGAAGTCGTGATGATCGTATACGGTGCTTTTATTTTTCACTTTAATTGAAGAGAGAAGGAAAAAAGCGAGAGAAGTTCAAGAATTTAAGGGACATAAAAGAAGAAAACAAAGAAAATGTAGGGATGAGAGAGTGGCGTTTCATTTTTGAAATTTGAACAAACTAATGAAGAGAGAAGGACAAAAGGAAGAGGGAAGGAATGAATGGAATACATTCCTTTGAAGCAATGAACAAGCCTGAGATCACTGAAGAGGGAGAAGAAGCTCACGACATGAAAATGACGCAAACATTCAATAAAGCAACCAAACGAACTGAATCAAAATCAACAAATATTTGTTTGCTTTTTGAATATGAAACGAAATAAATTTAAAACTGCACATTCTTTACCATCACTACCACTATTTTGGAGCAAATAAATATTAGTACTAAAGCAGGAGGAAGATGAAAGAAAATAAGACATTTAGGAGTATTTCAAGTAACCAATAGTCACGATCTGTACCCTAGAAGGGATCCCTTTTGTCGTTGATTTTGCTAAAATTTTCGCTCCTCTTGCATCCTCTCTCTCCCTACCTCTTCCATTTTCGATCCCGTAAAACCTCGAAAATTACTGGTATCGGTAATATAGAATGGGTAATGATGTGGCATCCGAATTATTCACAGCAAGATAAACAAAATGGAGGAGGGAAGTATGAATAGTGTATATCCCAATGTGTTACCAATGCTGTTGCAGGGGGCATGAAGTCCGGTATCGGTCACTATATCTTCTGTAGCAGAAGGGGAGTGGTCCTCGGCAACTCTGGTCACTCCTATCTTGCTGAGGGTGGGCATCATCTTTCTTCCTCCGTAACTGTGTATTTTACTACGAGACGAGAGTCACTGGTAGTTTACATCTTCCAGAAGTTTCCAATTATCCTTTTCTCGGGAATCTCGATGACGCCTTGGCGGTGATGACAATGGAAATCACTAGTCATCAAGTTATCTGTTCCCTAATACTAAGTCATTAAGTGGTGTTTCTAATAACATTCATAGTGTCCTATTTTCTACACTCAGAGATAGTCGCATCGTTAAAAAGTTTCCATCAACATTTTGGCATCACTGACGAGGAAGGAATCACATCTTCGGCGACAAGCATCTCCAATATTTAAGCACCCGAACTTCCTTTGTGGCCATCAAAGTTATTTTACTACATTCCGCATTCAATTGTTGTTCCTGCAAGCTTTCTCAGAAACGTTCCGTAATTTTCACTAATTTACTGACTGACCTGAAATTTACACGCAATTAAAAATTGCATCACTCGTTTAATGAATTGAAATTTACCGGTCCACATTTTGGTAATGGTTGAAAGTGAGTTATATCTTCCATTGTAATTAGCTACCATCAATAACTAAGTGTCCTGTTGACATATACTGCATCAGTCTATACGAGATTTCCTCCTGGTTGACTTCCTGAGGGAAAGTGGAATGGAAATAGAAAAACCTGTATTAAAGCAACCACCTACAGATCTTTTAAAATGCTATCGTGAGCTAAACTTCAGTTCTTCACTTTCTCTTCACCATCATCCGGATATGAGTAAAGCAGAAGCACTGAAGAAAGCTGATAATATGGCAGATAATAATAATGATGATAGTGTTGATAGTAATGATGATGGTAATGATAATAATAATGATAACAGTAATGGCAGAAATAGGAGCTATCTGTTATTGAAAAAAGCAAAAGAAGACGATGATAATGATGCAAAGTCATCTAGCACTACCATTAAACAGCATTTTACTGGTTTTGCTAATGAGCAAAAAGAGCAGGCAACAACAACAACTATGTCGGATTTCGACTGTCCAGAATTTTCATCAGTTCACCATCGCTGTTCTACGGTACCAGTTGAAATCTCCAGACGAAGTCATGCTTTTATTGCTTGCAAATTGGCACAGAATTCATCGGATAGCGGTGTCAGTTCAAATTCAATACACAGTATTCAAGAAGAAATTCCGAAAGTGGAGAGGGAAGATTCGGGAAGTTTCCAAGAGAAAGCAAAACACTTGATATCTTCACTCTATTCTTCTTCTCTTGTTCGACAACATCGACGATCGGCAACACATACAACCACGCCATCACTGGTTTTGCAAAGTTCAAAAATCTTTGATCCGATAGTTCCTTTCGGTGATGACAATTTAAGAATACATAGTAATAATTATGATAACGGTGCTAATAATATGGGTAATCAGGATAGAATACTGGAAGAGAAAAGACCGCGAATTGAACGACCACGAGCTCGATATCCAAATTCGGCAAGACGTACATCTGCGCCCGCATGTTTGTGGTCTACTTCATTATTTCCTGACCAGGTAGTAATTCTCTAGCTGTCTTACTTACTTATATTTTCTTACTTTTGAGATGTTTTAAATTATTATTTAAACTACAAAATAAATGCAAATATGCTTTTCCATCAAAAATTTTAGTAATCTCGAAAATCGAAATTACGAACTTTTTTATTCTACAATTTTGCTTGACTTAACTTATATCAGTTAAAATTTTTAACCGTTATTAGGACTTAAAACAAATAGAAATATGGAATAGAAATGGGACTTCGAAATTTCAGTCACTTTTTAAGATTTGCTTACAGTTCAATACAGGTATAATTTTAAAAAATATATTTACGCGTGATATTTTGACCATATATTTCTGTTTCGAAATTATTGAGGAATTTCTTCAACGAATATTTTTCGGCTCATTTTTGTTTCTGTTAGTTTTTGCAAAGAATTTATTAAAAATGGAAAAATCCTGAGAAAGTTGAACAGATGAAACTGGAAGTATAATATGTTGTATAGATTAATTTGATATATTTTTCTTCTTGCATAGGATAATTTCACTTTTTCGATCATTTCTACGAATCTCTTAATTCGTTTAAATAGTGACAAAGTGAAGCTTAAAATATATGAATATAATTCTTTAATTTAAATTCATATGTGATACATATGAACTTCAATATTTTAATAAATTTTGACTAAAAATTTTCTCAACAAATTTTCAAAGTAAAATCTAAAATTTCAAAAAAATATTTTCCATATTTTCAGCAACCGAATTCATTGTTGCACGATAATTTTCTCTTACTACATAAATTGTTAGCTAAGCAACGAATTATGCAAGATAATGTGGAAACGTTCAATTTCTATCCTTCTACTGGTATTCATGGTGCTAATGATGATATTGCTGCTACATCTCAATCAGAAACTCCACCTGCAATAATACCGTCACATTTTCCAACTACACAAACACCAACATCACCATCAGTTTTAGCTTCATGGCAATGGCTCAGAGGTTAGACTTTCAATTCTTTTAGTTTCAAATAGAAACCCTAACTTCATTTCCGATATTTACAGAGTTAAATTGTATATGACATTTATTTTGTATTGTAGCATTTTTTTTTAAAACTCCCTTATGGCATCATTTTCATATTGCATTGTTTTAAACTTTCACATCCTTAATTGACATTCTTAATTAGCAAAGTATGCAAAATATATGACAAACTGCTCAAAAAAAAATTTAGCCATTCTCACTCATATGTCTCCAATTCCTCTATTCCGGTTAGAAAGATGATTGTAGAAAGGGGGAAAAGAGAGGAATGAGATGATCGATGCAGTAGGATACATTGAAAAATACAGGTTTTCCTTTGTGAATCTCAAAAAAAAGAGGGAATTTTCGAAATTTAAGTAAAACTGTTTTTAATAATTTTCGCATTAAATTATGTACATATGTGTATGTATATGTATTATATGTGTGCTTCGAAATAATTCATTCATTTTTCCTTCTTGTAAAGAGAAGGAGAAATTGCACAAATAATAACATTCCTTCTCTTTCTATGCCGGAAGAGGAAAATCGAAATGAATATTAAATATAAAAATACGGTAAATTATAAGCCTTCACTATCATATTGTCGTCATGTTTTAAAACAGCCTTTTTTCCAAAATTCCATGGGAGAAATTGAATTAGTGTAAAGTTCGAATTATCTGTATCATATAGAGTTATCACAGATTAGAATGCAATTTACAAGGTCACGAATTTTGGCTGATAAAGAGTAGAGAGATATAATTTAGATATAGTATATCAGATAGTTCATTAAATAAGCTTATGAAGAAGATAAAATAAACTGAAGAATATATGTTTGGATATTACATCATATGTCTTCATTGAAAATATCTGTAAAAAAAACTTCGCTCACTTTTTCCTGAATAAAATGTAATAGAAATTTGATGGAAGATTATCATCAAAGTAGAAGAAAAATTTTTTTTTGATTAACAATTAAAAGAATTTAAGAAGTGTAAGGTTTTCCGCTTCGGCGAAAATCGCTTACCCTTCTTCTTCCTCATCGCTCTTTTCATTCTTGCTCTAATTCTTATCAGAATCCTGAAAAGCTCGGCACTACCTGTTATTGTCGTCATCGTTGACAAATTAATCATTTGAGGAAGCTGTTGAAGGGAAAAAAGAAGGAGGAAAATGCGGTTTTCTCTTAGGTAAATTGTATTGTTGGATGTTTATCGATGTAAACTTATAAATGATATTATCTTCGCGTCAAACATTTTCTGTTATCATTCTCCTACCTCTTTTTTCCCTCTCTCTCTCTCTCTCTCTCTCTCTCTCTCTTCTTTTCATCACAATCCTTTTCTTTTGGCTTCCATATTAGATCATCTATATCTTCCATCTAAACAAATTAAACATCCAACTCATAATTTATATGAATGAGAAAAAGTTTTGAAAAATGATCGAAATAAAAATAATAATAAAACAACAATATTCATTTGATGATCCGCCATATATTATTTAATGATAATGACAAGTAAGACAATCATGTCGATGATAATTTTTGATATGATATAATTATTATCCATTCTATTATTAAACACAAATTTTATTATTTCATTTTGTAGTGGAATGAGATGAGAAAAGGGAAAAGGTATAAATGAATTGGAGATGTAAAATGTTATATTTGAAGAAATATCTCGCAAGCAAAAAAATAGTATGCCAATATTTTATTGATCATCGACTCTAATCAGCAAAGACTTTGCATTAATCCTACCTGTGAATTATTATTATTTCCGTTCAAATTGAAAGATGAAGATTTATTTGAAAAGGATGCTTCACATTTTGATTAGAAGGAAAATGTTAATTTGCTTTTAATACTGTTAAGGTTAAAGATCAAAATCATCGTAATATGTACCTCCTAATTGTCAATTCATTTAACTTCGAAGTATATATTTCACATAGTATATGCCCTTTAGTGTTACTTTCTTGCTGAAAATATCGCCTCAACATTTACTGGCAATTCTTTGTAACAACTTCTTTTACTATCTATATCCGTACAATTGTTGCCTGCGTATGTGGCATATGGTGTTCCTTTTTAAATATCCATCATGTAATTAGGTCAACTTGTAAAATTCTTATGGCAAGGGTTCGTCCAAGTTTGGAGCATGAATTTCAATTATTTTGATGGGTAATAATTATGGGAAAATAGGAAACGAGGATCAGTGATGTTGTTGCTACCATCTTATCCAATCCATATAATGGTAACAGGTAGGTACAATAAGGAGCAAAGCCTATCTAATGTTTTAACATTGACCGATTGACCTTGTTTTCATTATCTCCAATGAGGAATGTCGTTACAATTTTCATGCCTTGTTCCTTTTTCCCCGCAAATCTATTGGATGACTTCTCCAGACGTGACATTACAATGTGCTCACATTGAACTTTTTCGGAACAAAAGTTTGATATTCGGATTAGAATGATGTTAACATGAGGATATGACGAAATGGACTGATTGTAAGAATGATGATCATAAAAGGAAGGGAAGCGATATTTTCAAATTCTCATTCTCATATTTATCGTTTCCATCCACCAAATTAAAACCCATTAATTATTTCTGAATAAACAAAAAGAAATAATCAAATTTATCAGTTTTACCAATCTCACCTGTGGATGAAATGAGACAAATAAGTTGAAAATTCCACTCATCCATTTAACTTTAAGCAAACTAATATCCAAGCTGTCCTACAAATGGACATATTAATTTTATTTCTTTTATTGAAAGTTTAAAAACAATATTAATTTAATGACTTATTGAAAAATTAATAAATTAGTATGAAACATTCGATCGATTCTTCTATAGCAATTTTGAAGGAGAAGTAATCTTCTTCAAAATTTACTTCAATTATTTAAAACTTGAAATTGTTGAATTCAAGTATGTGAAAGTAAAAGTAACGTGCAAATTGCTCAGGAATTCTTTCACTGAATTGAATTTGCCATATGAAATTTAATAATTGAAAGTTTCCTCCATCACTTTCATCAAAGACTTTTTTGAGAATTTGAATATTTCAGTTACTTTTTTTTTAAATTCAGAATCAGCCAATTTGATTTATAATAACTAAATTATATAATATTTCAATATTGAAGCATAAAGTATACAAATATTTTTTCATTTCTATAATTCCTTTCTTTCTTTTAATTTGAAATTAATTATAATTATTTCTTCATTTTAGTATTTTCGTTTATCATACTTGTTTATAATTTAGCCAGGAAAAAAGTGAAAAGAATGTGAATAATTTTTTAGGATATTTAAGAGCTTGAGAATATTTGTTTGATTTGAAGAAAAGGAAAAAATAAATAAAAGAAAGAAATTATCATACCGTTTAGTTAATGAAGCGTATGAAACAATGACGTTTTGAAATAAATCTCCTACCAGCTCCTCTTATCTGTATCCTATTCTACCTTGTGTTTATCCCGAATTGGATAATGATCAAGCAATGGTAGTTAACAACAATTTTCTTATTTGATACTTTTCTATGTCTTTCTAATCTGATAATTTATTTAATTTTCTTAATATGAAAAATTCATGCATGTATGCATTTTCCGGAATATAATTTGAATACTGTTTATTGATGATTTTCATTTTTACGGATCTTCGCCGTCATTCATCCTTCTTCATCTCACTTATTATTTCATTCAACAATTTCCATCCGCAATTTACACATTTATTCCATTACATTTCCTCAAAAAAGTCCTCCGCCTCCTCGACATCGATCATCATCAATTTCGCATTTGAATTGGTAAAATTTGTTTCTCATATGATTTGCTACTCTTTCTTTCCTGCATGTTCCGGGTTTTCCGACAAATCTATTACAATTCATCTGGACAAACAGGCATTAAAAAAACCAACCACATTTAATTTAAATTATTTAATAAAAATTCTAAATATTTCACATCATATTTAAATGAGATAGACGATAACTTATTTCTAATGTATCAATGTTAGATAAGATTGTGAAAAATTAAAATTCAATTCCTAGATTTAACTTGAATTAAAATAACCAAGTTAATCGAACTTTCAAATTCAATGTAACAACATTCGGGTAAATCTTATAGTATTTAAATAACATGGCACGTGTTCGACAATACCCTAAATTTTTGCCATCTAATTTGATTTGAAAAAATTTTCAGAAATATTTTTATTTTGAAAAATTCTTTGAAAAAATAGTTAACAGTCTGAGAGCCACAAATTCTAAGGATTAAAGCTAAAAGCTGTTGATATCATTCAATAAAAAATATCATATAGCTTAAAGCGCAATTTTAAAATTTCTAGAAAAATTTTTTTAATCCATTTTTATTGACAAATCAAACATTCAGCAGAAAGGTCAACAGCAACAACAACAACAACAACAACAACAACAACAATAACAACAACAACAACAAAAGAATCGATCTCATCAATTAGCCAATAACATCTCATAAAATGAATGAAATGAATTCGATAAAGTTTCCTTTCTCATAATCCCTTTTAAACTAATAATTTTTTTTATCATTAAAATGTCGACATTAATAGGGAAAAGTTTTTAAAAAGGAAATTATTAGAAAGGAAGGTGAATGAGGAAGATTTATTTCTAATTTGTGGATATGGCGAATTTTTTTCAACATATTGCTCCACTTTCACATAGAGCGATGGCGGAAATTATAGTTTAATTTTGATGGGGTCTACTTTTTTAATTATCACTGCTGAAATTATTATTTCTTATTACAAATGTAGGGAAAGCTTTTTTTTAAAAAGGGAAAAAAAGAGGACGAGTTTGATAATACTGCTGCCTACAATGTCAAATTATGGATTTTTCTGATTTATGTGAATTTAACAAATTTCTTGACGAACGTAAAATGGAGGAAGAAAAATGATAGGAAGAAAATGATTAAAGCTTAAATTACGCTTACAACATTTACTTTTGAAATTGAAAAGATAGATTAGACATACATACATACATAAGTAAATATATAAACAAACAAACAAAATATATGAGTGATGTGAAATATATGTTGATTTCACGCAATGACACGTTTTTGTTTCCAAACGTATTTTCATCATAACATTTTCAATTTCAATTTACAACTTAATTTCGAATGTTAGTCGAAGATTAGAAAACAAAAAATAACTATGACATGGAAGAGTCACACGGAATAGTTATAATAAGAGTTCGAATGTATTTTCACAGCAAACTGTTTCGTTTACCTTTCGTGATTTTACACTTTCAATAGTTGACAGTTCACCTTTTGTGCGTAAACAAAAAGAGAGATAATTGAGCAGTTAGAAACATCCTGAACACAAATTAACATCAAATGTTTCTTCAAGTTTCTTCATTTCTCTCATCTCCAACTTCATTTACCTGATGATATTTTCTCAATCTCTTCAGCAATCTACAAAATCTTACAAATAGGATAAATCTTATGAAATTGATGAAAAATTGAAAAGTCAATTTTTGTTTGGTGCAATATTTCAAAAATTCAAACTGAATTTATCATGTGCAAAAATATTTTTTCCATTTGATTAAAAAATTTTTGTGCGGAAATTCAAAAATTTCGAAGATATTTACTTACAGATGCTCGAGTTTTATCACCATGGTTATCAACAGCACTTTTTTATCATACAACAGCAGCGATAGCGGCTACAAATTGGTCTCATGCTGACTTCACTCCAACTTATTTTACTGATTGCATGAAAGATGGATCAACGTTGAGTGCTACTACACTAACGCCTCGTTCATCAGCACATGTTTTTCATTCCGAATTACAGGATACATTGTGTACTAATTTGCATGGAACAACTCCGCCACATCCTGGTATCTCTCTTTTATTTTCTCTCTAAATTATTTCACATTAGAAATGATACGTATGGTGATAAGTGAGTGAATCGTTCGTTTATTTTGCTTAAAAATTTCTCTCATTTCACACCATCCTGCACCTTTCACGCTCTGCACCGTTCATTTTATATTTTATGATATTAATATCATCGAAGCATTTACTTTTCTATAGAAAAATAACTCAACTCTCTATGGAACAAATTACTTGTAAGAGTTTTTTGAAGAAATTTTTAAATTCCGAAAAAGTTCATTTATTGTCTGATTTTTATTTTTAGGCACATCAACAGTTTCAATTCCCAGTCCGTTCTTCTGTTCACCGTATTCACGAATGTTAATGAGTCGTCGATATAGTGAACCTACACCATTAATGCCTCATTATTCTGGCACTGGAAGGCGCAAAAGTCGCGAAGGTTGTACTTCTTAAGCTTTAACATTTTTGAACATTACATATTCTCCAATCTCAGACGGTTTCTTTCCACTATCGATGTTAGATGATTTTACAGTTTGAGACACCGCTACCGAATGAATTCGTTTCACTCATAAATATGGCGCAATATGATAGGCATGACAAGAGCAATGAACCAGATAGACGTATATAAGTTTTTTTTGAAAATTATCCTTTTCAGGACAAGTGAATTATTTGTGGGAATTTTTGTTGCGTTTGTTGCAAAACAAGGAATATTCGCCTAAATACATCAAATGGTTGGATCACAGTAAAGGAATTTTTAAACTGGTCGATTCGAAGGCTGTTTCACGCCTTTGGGGTTTGCATAAGAATAAACCAGGAATGAATTATGAAACAATGGGACGAGCCCTCAGGTATCCATCCGATTTTTATCCATTGTATATACCTGAGAAGGATATAACTGTAACGAACAAGATTTTGATTTAGAAATTCAGGAATTTCAAAGAGCAATGTTGGTAAACCTTTATTCATTAGAAGATAAGAATGATATTAACACCATTAATTGCTTTCAAAAAGCCTTCAAGTCTTCATCCTCATCTCCCCATATTGTAACTTTATTCAGTTTCCAATCTCAAATTGATCTAATAAGGCATACATCGATTTGAGTCTATTTTTTTACCGATATATTATGGTAAATATAATTAATACTTTCTGAGATATTACTATCAACGCGGAATATTGCAAAAGGTAGATGGTCAGCGACTTGTTTATCAATTTATGGATGTACCTAAAGAAGTATGGTATATTCTTCGTTTTATTTTAATTTAATTTTCTTTCGTTGTTATTAACTTTATTTTATTTAACTATTCGATGCTGGTCGTATTATGCATAAATTTGCTTTCTTTCGGCAGAAAAAGGAAAACATAGAAGAGGAAAAGACTGTTTGATATTATTTAAAGACTGTTTGATTTCTCATAATATTTCAAGCTAATAGAATCAGGAGATTTGTGTTGATTTCAACCTAGACACAATTGCGCTTAATGTTGGCTATTGAGCTTAATTGGTTTTTAGCTAGGTATGCATCAATCTTGACAATTTTTATTTTAAAGGTATTTGAGGAATTGTATGATGATCAGCAGCGTATCACCGTGAGTGGCAGCGGCAATTGTAGCAGTAGTAGAAAACAGCTAAAGAAGGAAAGCGCCTGTTTAAATTTTAATGAGGAGAAAATTGTCGCCAATACGTCGCAGGAATGAACAATATTGCATCTATCTGGTATTAATAGTGATAAATAACAATCCTTCCCAGTGAAGACAATTTTTCTGTGAATGAAATTTCCCTTCTTTTTAAGTCTTCGACATTTTAGGTCTTCATTTTAATTTATTCATCAGTTAAAAGGAGTTTATTTTTCAAATGCTATCGTTGAAGCTCAAAGCTGAATTGTCGCACTTAACAACTATCTGACGTTATTCGCTTTGTGCCATAATGATATTTCAAATCTTTCAAAAAAAGACTTTTGATAATCCTAAATTGCTCACGAACTTTCTGGTATAGTATGACCTTTCATTTATTATCTATAGTTGTGTAGTGCAGATTACAGACTTCAAAACATCCTGATGACCATCTTAATGTCTCTTCATCGATAGCAACGATTTTTGTGTGTTCATTTCAAATGCAAATAAAAAGTATAATTTCCTTTTTCAATCTATCAATCATTTCACTGGATTGAGTAGCATAACTCTTATAGTATTACTTGCAGTGACAGGTAATTTACCCTTAACTGTACGTATTTTGCACAAAGCATCTTTTCATCGCTTTTTCATTTTGTATCATTTATACAGTAACAATAAAATCTATCCTTTAATTTCTTGTTTCAAAATAAATCTAAATGTATAAATTGTGATCGATGATCGATGATCATTTGGTTTAATTTTTCATACAGAATTTGCTATGCAAATAAGAAAATAAATTTAGGTAAAAACTTAGATAACAATTATGTTTTTGATCCATCGGTACGATTAAAGAAAAAAGAAAATCAGAAGACTTTCAATTTATTTGATCGGTAAAATTATTAATGAGCATAAAATGAGAAAAGAAGAAGGTAAGGAAGGAAGAATTTTGTTTAACTCGTATTATCAATTAATCATTTGGTTGATTCAGATTTCATTTGATAATTTAATTTATAAAATTATAAAATGAATATCAGAGATCTTTCATCGTTGCCGGGTTCCTTCTTCAGATAACCTGCATTATGCTTCAACTAAATTATCAAAGGAAATCTGAACTTCTCGGTCGTTTCTCTGAAAATGCTTCCATTAATAAGAATAATAGCTAAGGCGCTGCTATGGATCATATAACTCTTTGTTTTACATGATAATCATTCTGCTATATTTTCCTACAGTGCTATTTCAGTTGAACAAGTTAAGAGTCTAACTTTGTGAAATAATCTGACAGATTTTTTCCATTGAAGTAATTTGGTATTATTCGAAAAGCCAAATGTGTAATTTTTAACTAGAAATTGTCTATTTTCTTTTTTTCTTCTAAATTTAAGGTATTACATTACCTGTAAGGTAATATTTATTTTTCTTCTAAATTCTTTTTAAATAATTTTTACCTGTTTGGATAAGGCATTAAATTACCTGTAAGGTAATTTTATCATCTCTACAAAAATTCAAGTTTTTTTATTAGCTATTTTATACTACTCAAACTTAAAATTTTTTCTTATTTCAAAAAAAATTCTCACGGCTTCCAATAATATCGCTTGACCAATATATGTAAGGCATAGCTATGTAATTATTGTTTGTATCTTACTGTGGCCATCTGATCTTTTCTCATCCGAACAGGTAATGTTCAGATTTAATAAATTGAAATAAAAAAAATGCAATTATTGCTATCTAACTGTTTAATAACAGGTATCATCAATTCATCCTCAAGTATACATTAATTAATATGACCTGACAAAATGAAAGAAATTATTGCATGTTAAATAATCTAAAACTAAATACATTATGAATTGGTATCCGATACATACAATAAATTTAATAAAAAATTACACATTAAATTAGCAATGAAAATAATCTCAGTAAAAAAGTTTAAATAATAATTAACGAAATAACATGAAATTTAATTAGCGAACAATAATAATCAAACGAAATAATTAAAATTCATTAGTAATTACTGGTAAAGAAAAATGCACTCATTAGGAAAATTGTGTGATCAATTTCATGAATACTTAATTTTCCATAGTTATTTGAATTTTTCTTCTTTTACTTTCAAATTTAACTCTTTGAAATACTTTAATTTCTCGTCTGGAATGAAGCTCCTCAATATGCCGGATGAATTTTACAGCCATCCAATGAAAATTGTTAAAGTTAACAATTTTATCATTCAATTTAAATGTCTAAAATTCGACATGCCATTCATTATTAAATATTGAATTTTAACAATTTCATTTTATTTCTATTATTTGTAGAAATGGAAAGTAGTGAATTTTCTGTGAAAGCAAAAACGATCCCAGAATTTGTACAACGAAATTATTCGCCAAGGTTTTACATTATTACGCTAAAATAATATCATTGAATTCATCATCTTCAGCGATACATTTAATTATCACCAAAAGGAGTAAATTTTGATGTAAGCAATGATACTTATCATCAAATAATACTGTATAATTTATAAACGCTACCTTTACCTTCAGTAATAATGGAAAAATCATTATATATGAATTTTTTCGAAATTTAGCAAGCTGAAATAAAATTTAAAGAATTTAATTAAACTATTCGCTTTTTGTCTCATTGAATTTAAGAAAATCTGAGATTCACCATTGTTTTCCAATTATATTCATTAATGAGAAGATGCCATAAAATTCAATTTTCATTTCATAAAACAATAGCTGCTTTTATGATAATTTCAAATTTCATAAGATCTTAAAGTATTTTCTTGAGCCATTATTTAATTCTATAACGATTTCTCTAGATCTAGAAATCCAAATTTATCAAGCTATTGAATTAAATCAAAAATAAAAAGCTAAGATTCTGCAAGCCATGTCTCTTCCATTCTTCCCTTCAAATGTTCTAATAATTATTTGTTTTACTTTAATTGCATCAATTTAAATAATTATCATTTTAAGTATACGTTATTATGCTTGTCTATTGATATTGTTCGGTCAAGGAATTAGCCAAAACGTTGCAGCTGTTTGGTGCAACAGTCAACATTCATTCCTATGCTTTCTTGCGCAATCATTCATCGCATTTCTTATCGCTTTCACAATACAGGTTGGCTCGAGTCTAATCGACATTCAACTTTTGATTTGAATTTAAAAATGATATGACTAAACAAAAATATTGAATTAAGTTCGAATTTTAATTAAAATTCGCACATTGCATTCAACTTGAAAATTCATATACTTTTGGAAATTTCAGTATTAATACTTTCAATCAGAGCTACTTTTTATAATAAATTTGAATTGCTTTCATACCAGAGAATAACATCAAATTTGTAATAATAAGCTCTCTCTCTTTCTCTCTCTCTCTCTCTCTCTCTAAATTTTTAGTACGTTGTGACAGTTGCTGTTTGAATATATTAAGAAATTTTTTTATGCCAACAAGGAAGATTAAGATATATAGTAAAAGAGTTAAGAGTAAAGTATTATCATATTGAAACTTTGTCAAATAATATTATCAAATTGAAACTTTGCCAAATAATATTATCAAATTGAAACTTTATCACATTCTATTGAGAATTATCACTTTATAGTTGTTATTTAGCATATTAGCATATTCTTTTCATTTTATTTGCCTGGTTGGTTTATTAGGATAAAAATGGAAAAGTAATATTTCAGTGGTGTAAAATCTATTCCTTAGGATTAACACGAGCAAAGCGTGCATTTTTTGATGAATTCAACGTACTTGAAACTTATCAGCCAAGAGCTCGTACTATGGGCCATTTATTTATGGTAATTTTTAATGTACATCTGTAAAGAATGAAGTATGTTATCCATATCTAAAAGAAATATTTCAAATGAATTGTTATCTAAATATTTCTTAAAGTTGGAGAAGATAACAGTAATTTTCGGATGGCATTAAACAAATAATGTCAGATAATCTGAACTGTTGGATTTAAGGATAGTTTATTAATTTGAAATTAACAAATCAAACTACATTTATCGCGAGAAAATACTTAAAATTTAATTTTAGAAATCATTATTATTCATGAGAATCTATTAATAGTAAATTTGTCATATTCATAAAAAGTTAATGAGGAATAATTTGTGTCACATTTTCATCAAATATTGCTTAAAAAATGTCTTTAAAATTAAGCCTGAACCACCGACACCCGTACCGGATGCACAACAGGAACAGCAGAATACAACGAAGGAAATGGAGCGAAATGCATTTTTGCAAATGAGGGATGCGGTATCTTAATCAAAATTTCCGTTAATTTTTGTAATAATGTAACTTAATCATTTTGAGATTTGGTCGATTGAAGGATTTCTGGACTTCAAAAAAATGAAATATTAGAAACATAGTGATAGAATCTCAGAAAATCATCATTTCAAAGTATAAGAGCAACTGTTTAATTCAGATATTGATTATTTAAAATAATAAAACAAAGTAATAGTTAACTTCTAAAATATTTAATTCTACCTCAATTTAACAATATATACAATCTAAAAATAATAGCTGATCAATTTTCAGCATTATGGAAGTGAATATACATACTTAGAAAAGGTAAATCGTGAATTAAAAGAAGGAGGAAATTATGCTAACCAATCACAAAATGAAATCCAAAATGATGTATCAAATACAGCAAAAATCGAAGGACCGGTTCTAATCGAATTTCATGCTGATTCCGAAACTGATGATGATGATTATTATTCCTCATTATAATTACTATATAATATTCAGTGATTTATAAAATTCAAATTCCTTTCAAATAATGTAGTAAATTTTCTACACAATACATTTTATTTTTTTCAATCAAATTTTCATATTATTTAAAATGAAGAGAAGAGTTAAAATAACTTAACGATTTTGCTCTATGAATTCTCAATAAAACATCATTGTGAATCATTAATAGAAGTTATTTCATTATTGTTAATGTAAAGTCGATAGATAAATCCCAATTTCTTATTACCACTACTTGTTGCTTTCACATAACAAATATTATGACCAATTTCAAAATGTGTCTTTGTATCGTTCTCCAAAAATTCACCCTAAAATTTTCATCAAAAAATTAATATTTTAATTGCTATTGTTTAAAAAATGAAAAATAATTGGTGACTGGTATGTTATGATTTTTCAGTTTGATCTTATCATATCAAACTTCCTACAACTTTGTAAATGGCTTAACTTATCATTTGAATTTCTAATTTCCCATTTTACTATCTTGTTAATTCCCTTCACATAATTTTCACAATATATCCCTTGCAGTTTATGGAAAAAACCATAAGAATAAAATTTTTCTTTCTTACCGCAGTATTCAATTTTTGACCATTGACCCAGATGTCCATTGTTCCTTTATCTATAAAACATTTTAATTTCAAAGTAAAATATTAGCTTCATTTGAAAAAGCTATACATAAAATTACTATTACTTTTAAAATAAACTTAATTAAATTATACTATTTGTTGTAAATTATAAGGTAGCATAATATTCATTGTTTCATTTCCTGGAAGAAAGCTATTTCAAACCTTTTGCTCCTTCAAATTTTAGCCATGTTAATTATAATCAATATTTGAATCCTTCAAATTTCCAAATCTAAAAATACTTAAACACAAAAAAGACTAACAAACCTAAACATATACGAGTCTCTTGACCATCCAAAATTGTTGTCCATGTCTTTAGCTTTTTTGCTACTTCTTCTCGAAATTTGTCATATGATTTACCATTCACTTCTAATGTGTATTGATATAAAAATGTTCCACAAACTTCCACATTAATGACACACTTTAATTTACCAATATTAAATACTTCTTTACCAACAAGACTAAACATCCAATTTCTCCTCAGAATTTCCTGAAATATAAATCATAACGTAAATCAGAAAAAATTTTTTAGCAATCACAGAAATTATTATTATAATCTCTGAAAGGAAAATTTTATTTATACATAGTTAATTTTATAAAATTTTGTTTATACACAGTTATCCTAACTTTTGATAGTTTTTAATGATGACAAAAATGTTTCATGTGGAAGTAAAATCGATTGAAGCAATCCTTTCCACATATTACTACTACTTTAATTAATTATCATAAATTAAAGAGGAAGCGGTAAAAAATAAAAGTAAAAAAAAAGAAATCAAAAGAACAAATTTTAATTAGCAAACTTTTCCATCAACTCGTATAACTCTTTTTCCACTAGCTGTTCCATGTTCGAATTCAATTTTATATATTCGATCATGCACAGGTATTGACCAACTTGCAACAGTGTCGTGTTTATCTGGCATTCTATGAAAAATTATTATATTTAAACAAACAAAGAATAAATGAGAGATAAAAAGATTCTAAAACGAATCTATTTTATATGAATCTCTCATCAGTCAATATCGTTAAAATAATTTAAATTGAAGTTATCAGTTGAAAGGAAAAAGAATGAAAAGCAAAATGCACAAAATGTGGTAATGTGATAATTTGTATGTTACTATAGCAACAACGTTTTGAACACTTCCAATAGGTAACTGAATGATAAATAATGTATTAGAGAAATGTAAACATCGTAGTTAAGGAAATTATTTGGAATATAGCGGTCTATCATTGCCAGATAACCATTTCACAAATGCCAGAAATGACTAGTTGAAATAAATTATGAAGTTAGCCAATATCAGGTAAGACATTTTCTCTTATAATTTGTTTGCACATGTAAGATTCGTTAAGAAACTCTTTCTTTTACTAATCAAATACTAAAAGTTGACAAAAACCAGCAGCAATATATTGAACATTTTTGTTTTAATTTTAAACTTAATTTAAAACAAAACTTAAACAGCAATTGGTTTGCCATATTAACATAACATTGTATAACAAGATTTCAAGTCGGAGATTTTATTAAAATTTTACACTATCATGTAAGTTAACTTCGGTCTAGCATAATTCATTTATGAAAAGTTATATCGCGTTAAGTTACTACGCTTGCATATATAACTCTAACATTCAGATGTGTATATTACACTAGGAGGCTGTCAGCTTGCATAATCGAAAATTCATTATAAACTTCAGAAATTATATAAATTTTATTCTGCAAAGCTTTATATTTTAATCTTTACATTTGTCTGCAAATAATTGTATCGCAACAATTACTTCTAATCTTATAGGTATAAAGAAACTTTTTTGTGCTTTCACTGATAATGAAATTTTGATTTCATCCATGAGATAATGTAATTTATTTTAAATTCTTTTTAAAAAATGAATCATTTTTTTTTTGAAATATTTTGCATCATTCAAAATAATTTTTATTATAGAATACGAAATTAAAGTAAATATCTGATTTTCGGGAATAGTATCGCATATAATACCTGTCGAGTTGTATAATTGCAAATGAACGTTGAGATCATAAACAATTGCAAATGAACGTTGAGATCATAAACAATTGCAAATGAACGTTGAGATCATAAACAATTGCAAATGAACGTTGAGATCATAAACATCTCTTTTGGTTGATTACCACTTCAAAGTTTAGTTTCCTATTCAAACATGTTTCAAGTTAATTCCATTCAAAATTATTAAATTAGAATTGGAATTATGATGAGAGCTGGGAGCTCTTATTATTTGATGAGTTTGCTGATCGTTTCCAGCAGACTTAGTTATACTGCTTGAATTACTTTCATTAACAAAGAACATATTAAAATAATTATTTGAAAAGATAATTTTTAGGTGATAAACCTGATGTTTTCTGATATCCTAAAATGATTCTGTCAATAGATGTCTGCTATACTTCATTAATACAAATGTATTTTCTCTATTCGATTTTCAGCTAATATTTTGATAAAAATTAATATTGAATCAACTGACGAATAAATGTGAGACAAAAATAATGCGTGGCTATGTATCCGATTTGATAGCGTTTGGAACGGGAAATTTTCATTGTGATCTGTTCGACAGTTCTAGTAAATTTGTTTAATCATTTGTGAACGAATAAATTTGACTGTAATGAAAGAGAGTGGCCTGATTTTGAAAGCTAGGATATAATTCCAAGATTTAACCTTAACATCGTCACACATCTTTGGAATATCAATCGCGCTTTTCGTAATACCGAGAGAGATGAGAATGATCATCTGATTGCTTTGCCAATATTAAGTTATTTTTATTATTCATTTTATTACTCAGTTTAATTTTGACCATTTTATTACTCATTTTTTTTCCATTTGATTAGTTAATGTTTTGAAACATCTCAGTGCTTTAAAATAAAATGATAAAGAAAGCGCTCTTTGTGGAAGTAATTTTGAACATGTTTCTTCTTGACTATGGTTCAACGAGATATCGTAAAATAGCAGAAACTTGTCGATATTTGCGGATTTTCTTACGGTATCATGCAGTTACCTCTGATATTGAACGACTGAAATCACTTCATGGAATACGCTAAACAATAAACTGTATTCTTTTAGGTATTATTAAGAATGAATTCAAAAAAAGTACAATCATTTTCGTCAAAGGAATATGAATTGTAGAACGTTTTATCTCTCACTTTTCAAATTACATCTCAATATGAATTACATCCCAAATTACAGCCTAGATGAGCCGCACATTAATTGCAACAAGAAGCACAAAGGATAAAAAGAGATTGACAAACGATCAAAAAATTATTGCAATGAGAATGCATCTGTTCTGTTCATTCATGTAAAACATGCAAACAAATGAGTGAGATATGAAAGTTCAAACAGGATGAAGGAAGGAAAACAAATATGGCAAAATGACCATCTCTTCACGCATTTCGAATTTCCATTAAATCAGTGGTGCATGAGCTAATACCTCTATACAGAATTTTTTCTTCACATCAATTAAGTGTTGGAAAATAACACGAAATATTAGCCAATGCACACTCATTCCTAATCCCCAATTTTCGCTATATAAACTTATACTGGGACATCAGATTCATTCATTACTACAATAGCAAAGTAATAACTGCTACTAAAATGCAAATCTTCCAAAATATATCGATTACATTGTTTTAGGTGCACCAAATATTTTTTCCATTGATTCTCCTGAATATTGTTGGTGTATTGCTATGCCAATACCCCCTCCATTTAGCTAGTTGGTTCACTATTTCTCCCCTCTCGCATCACTTTTACTATCGAACAATCCAACTTGTCTACTTCTGCCTCCTATATTTTATCAGCCTAATCCTGATGAAATGTTAGATAGAAGAATAACCTGAGAAATAAGAAGTGTCTTAAGACTGATTAGAACGAACCACTCTTCATAGACAGAACTTATACGGAATTTTTTCTCAAGCAACATTACGTAGATCTAGGCTGGCAAGAAAACAGTTAATTCAGTCTATCACTCCGTCAATAATCAATGATTAGCATTATTTATAAATTTTAAATTTATTGACTTTTCTTCAATGTCAAAAAAGTACTTACAGTTTCATTAGAGAATACCAAAAGTCAACCTTTTTGTACCGATAGAAAACACAGAGAACCGTAAAAGTTTTACAAACAACAATGTGCAAATCATTAAAACAGATATATGCGCGGCACATGATACTAACATCAATCAAATATATATGCGTAAAAAACATAGCATTTCTATACAAATCATTAAAAAATATTTTGTACCTGACTATACCATCAAAATCATTGTGGAACAATCGTATCAAAATTTTAACCGATATCTTATGATTTCGTGCAAGAAAAAGGACAGAGATTAACAGCTATAGTACTAATTGATGACACTTTTTAAATGTTCAGAACAAAATAAAATCAATCGCATAATACCCTATCTCTTCAGTGATTCACGGTAGGAAATATGAAACCATATAACTAAATTATAGAGCTACTTCATCATGATTCAGAAATTTTTACATGAAGCAAAAATTCAGTTAAAGAGAATTTCGAAGCAAGAAGTAAAAGTAACCGGATATATTACAGATGGATATCTTAGATATCTCCAAATATATTACAAATATCTCCAAAAATTTAAAATCATTATCATGACTAAAAATGTCGACCCGTTCATGCTAAAAAAAAACAACATAACCGTAAACACGACGGCTAGATTATGAATTTGGTACAGAAGCACAAGTGAAATCAATTATAACAATGAAAGACAATATCAGATGGATACCACTACGATAAGGCTTGACTATTCGTAAATGATAAGGAATCAGACATTATGGTCAAAGAATATTGTCAATTAATCCATTCAGCTCTTGAAATCGAGCATATTCTGGGTTAATCAGAATAATGCTGTTTATATCTATTACAAACTTATTCCCTATTTTCCCTGACAAGCGCAATAAATGATCGTTTCTGTACATGTTTTGCATAAGCTTAAATTGCATAAACTCTCCATAATTTGCGAATTTCATGGGTTCAGTATTGAATGTAGGTCGGTTGCGGATGATGTCCTTGAACATTCCATCGGAATATTGGAACGTATTGTTTCTATTTCTTCAGACTGCTGAAAAGCAGAAGGTTTTTGATCAATGATATTTTTAATTCAACAATAAATAAAAGAAAAAAACAATCACTGGAATAAAAAAATTGAAAAAAAAATTTTTTAATTGATGAAAAAGCATAATACTGAAAACTTGTTCTTTAAATTGCTTCACCGGAGCAACAATCTTTCTCAGCTTCAATTTTACTGAGATTATCAATCATTATATCTCTTAAAGTCAATTTTTTCACCACATTCCGTGGCAACATATGTTTTCTAATTTTTTTCGTGTTTTAAAAATTATATTTATATTGTATTTCACATATTCCACATTTCAATATCTACTGCGCACATAATATGACGTCGGAATGTTTGCACCAGCTACAGCTAGTAATGTGTCGAAAAGAGTGGTACTTAAAAGTGGACCTATAAGTTACTTAAAGTTGATCAGAATTCACTGCTCAAAAAACAAAATAATTTATTGAATTCAAAAATCGATTTTGTTAAAATAATTGTGATCATTCCACTTTACAGTTTTGATTCAAAAATATTCTTGATTTAGCAGGAATATATTTTCTGTCACCAATTCCATAAATTGCTATTTTGGATTCCTGGAATTCCTGCATTTTATAACATTTTATAACTGATAAGAAGTATTTTCTTTAAAGCCGTTTCTTCCATATTTTGTCATAATATTTCTATATAAAAATATGCTATAATGTTTTTGTCAATCTGCCAATCAAAATGTTTTGAAATTTCTGCTAAGTTTTCACAAACATTAAAACTTTTTTGGCACCAACCTGAACCGGAAGAGAGTGAGGTGTTGTTAAAGATTCTTTCTCCAAGAAACGAACAAATTGCTCTGCCAAAGAAATGTTCTGTTGAGAAAGCCTCGATGAACCACTAAAACCAAACCATCCCCTCGAAGAAGAATGACTTGCAGCATTAATTTTTGCAATTTCCTAAAAATAAAAGGAAAAAAGTCAAAAATATATTGAGAAAGTCAAAATAGTATGAAATTGGATTTCCGAAAAAATTGCAAACCACGGTTCCAATCTGTTCGCTTATTCACTCATCAAATTTAAAAATTGTGACTTTTCCTTATTTCATCTGGAAATTGTACTAAATAGCTAAATTGAATTTAAAACACTACCTCTTGCGAATAACCCAGCACCGAAGCCAATAAGACAGCAATTTCTGGTTGTTTATCTTTGTCAGCAGTAAAATAGGACATAAAGAGTTGACGCAATACTTGATCATCAATTGTATACGATGAGACTGATGCTACTGCTAATTGTGCATGCTCATCAAGATTTGCTTCAAGTTCTTCAATCATCTACAAGAAAAAATGTGCATAGATCGATTAATAAAAGAGCCAAACTTCTTTCAAAACAAAAGAACAGTATAATAATAGTACAATTTAGTATAGTAGAGGCCTAAACTTCGGCTGAATTGCTTTGACTCAAATTAAGCAGATTATACTTCATGAGGCAGTTTCAATTTAACCTACCGCATTTTTTTTAGTAATTTCTTCTTTTAGATGCATAGTTTTCTCTTCCAAAAATTGCTTTTCGGCCTCAATGGTATCCTGTGCCTGCTTGAATTGAACTATTTCCTGACTTAAATTCTAAAATGAAAGCATTTGAAAAAAGAGATATCCAAACGAAAAAAATATGTTTCACAAAGTAAATTTTATAGCAATAGGTGTAAACAATGTACTTGAGGGATTTGGATTTGAGTTCAAAAAAAAATACACACTTCCATATTTTTTTTCAGCTCGGCAACAGTATTTTCATATTGTAACATCTGTGCTTCATGATCTATACCGATATCGCGCAAAACATTTTGCAAATTTGAGAGTGCCATTTTTGTATCAGCTAATGTTTTCTCTCGCTCTTGTAATCTATTGACGATGGATATCTTCTCACTCTTCATAAAATCCAATTCATCGGTAAGTTCCGCAATTTGTCGCTGCAAAATATCTCAACATAAAAAGAATAAAGGCTTGAATCACAAAACTAAAAATCACACAACCTCTTGTGAAAAAAGCTTCCGGTCACTTTCTTTATAGAAAAGACTGCGCAGACAACCGCACAGAGAAGTCATCGTTTTGAGAATGAAAATATTTATTTAAAAAAAAATATTTATTTTAGTTCTGATTTTCAGACGCTGCTTGTTATAACACGTCTTATTATTTAGATAAATATTTAAATTTTTGTAATTTCTTTCTTCCTTTGCTGAACTAAAAAACTTTATTTTCAATAAAAACGAAATCCCATCAATCTAAAACTTTTCGTATTGCATTCGTTGCAGAACTGACAAACAGAAATAGTTACCTGATATGCATTAGCAGACTCTATAACATTATCTGCTGATTCTTCCGTTTTTTGCTCGAGTATTCTGATTCGTTGTCTCAATTCTGTTTCTCGTTCTTCTCCAGCTAGGGCATCCTTAGTTGATGCTTCCTCGATAGTTAACAAATGGTCACGTAGTCGTTCACATTCTCTTAACGCCTTGTCCCGCACTTCTGCGCAACTGAAAATTATTAACATTAGCAGAAATTAACAAAAAGGCAGATTATTCATTGAAAAGCTTTGCTAATAATGATGATAAATAGAATTATATGGCAAAATTCGTCTTTCGAATTAATCGTACAATTTCAATTCTTGCTCCAAGATAGGTAATCTTTCAGCATATGAAGCAAAAGTAATGCTTTGTTGCTCTTTCTCAACGAGTACAGTCTGCAACTGATTATGATATTTAACACTTTCGGTATGCTTCTGTTCCACTAGCTCAATTAATTCGACTCGAAGCCTTTCAGATTCTGTTAATTGTGCTGATGTCTGAAAAAATTGCATGTAGAATCACAACAAAAATTGAAAAGCTGAAAATGAACTGAGAATTCAAAGGCATAAATTAATTCGAACAGGAATCTTCCTTTCTCTTCCTCCTTTCCTACAACCCACTTACTTTTAAATTGGTGTCGTTAAAGCAACTAAAAAAAGTAATTCAAAAAAAGTATTATTCAGCAATAAGAGCATAACCATCGATTCAAAGAGGCATAATTGCAAACACGATGATGCAAAAGCAGCACTAGTACGAGATAATAGATTAACGGAAAACCTCATTAAGTTTATGCTGCAGTTCACAGTTTGCTTTCTCCAATTCATTCTGTCTTTGCACTGCTTCCATTAATTCCGTATTTATATGCAAAAGCTTGACGTTTTCTTCTGTTTGCTGAAATTGCTAAGCATAACCAAATATGTGCATTTATGTATTCGAAACCGTAATAGCGAAAATGACTTGTCTAACTTTTCAAAAATTTAGAAGAGTAAGTGAAATAACAGCTGCAGATTAGCATCTTACTTCTGCAGCTTCATTCTGCTGTCGTAATTGTTTTATCTCATCTTCGGCTGCCTTCAGCTGAAACAAGGTGCTTTAATCATATATATTATAATTCCTGTTGTTTGATCTTTACAGTTATATTAAAAAGAAGAAGGAAAAACAGTAATTACAATGCAGTCGATTTATCGACTATTGTATTTTTTCTTTTTATTTAAGAAAAAAATGAAGAAATAAAAGAATAACAGGGAAAATTAAAAATCAAGAAAACTTTATGAGAATATAGGACATGCCATAAAGATTTATTGGAATCACACTAAAAGTAAAACTGAAGTTAAATCCTACTTTATTCTCGATTTCGTCGAGAACATTCATGTGTTCCATGCTAGTATTACGCAAAGCTTCTTCATGGGCAGCATCTTGATCTCTCATTTTTTGTTCGTATTCTTCTATTATTTGCTGTATCGAATCGACTTGTTTGACATTTATTAATTCTTCTCCCTTCAAAGTTAAGGATCTATTTTAATTATTATTGAAGAAATGAATAATCCGACATCATCAAATCACATTTCAAAGACAAGAAATATGAGATACGTGAATGACTACTAAACAACCTATACAACGCCATTATTTTCCTCCACTTACCTTGACTGCATCCAACTGCTTTTGCACCTCTTCTAATTTTTCTTTTGTATGAACAAGATTTCGTTCTAGTTCTAATTTATCCCGTTCTAGTTCATTTGCCTAAAATGAAGCTAAATAATAACCAATTTCTAGTGGTATACGGGCTTTAAAGTCTAAAAAAAGGTAAAAACGAACCCAACCACGAAGTTGTGCAAAAGTTTCTGCATGTACATGTTGTTGAGATTGTAGAACATTCATTTGCACCATCAACTCATCGATACATGTTTGTCGTAGATCCAGCTACAAAATTCATTTTTTCCACTCACCAAAACGCAATTTAAATAAGATCCCTAGCAAATTTAACTTAATAGCTTAAATTTTCCAAAACCAACAGGACCGACTTCTTTATCGAGCTCATGTTTTTGCCGACGTAATTCCTCACATTCTTCTGTCTTTTCCGTCACAACTGCCAGAGCTTCGCGTAATTCATTCATAATTGTACAATTATTTGAACCATTTGCGGATGACGATCCATTTGTCGGCGCTGTCGCATCCCAATCTGCCATCTATTCAGTACCATTAAAATTCAGGTCATTATTATACACTACCTCCCAATTCTTTTCATCCAAAATCATCCTTATTCATTCAGTCATCCAATCATATATCACTTTAAACAAATCTAAACATATAGACAATACCAATTTACAACAGCATAGAATTTTTATTAAACCAACAAATCTTATTTGCTAGTTTTAATTGCTAAAAGAATAAAGAACGTAATCAACAATACACTAAACTTCAAATTTTTATCACTCTTTCATCTTGTTTTTTTAAAAATAATGCCTTGTAAATCATTAATGGATATATAATGAAATCATGAATAACACGATTTTATTTTCAGGATAAGAGATTCCATCAGCAATGTGCAGGGTAACTAAATTAAAGTTAAAAAGCTTAAAAAATCGTGAATAAAAACAGAAACCTTCTCCCATCCGTTATTTGAATCCACAGTACCTTCGCTGCTTGTTGTAACTTTGGCTTCTTCACTTTTTAATTCAATAATTTCGGCAGACAGAGCAGTCTCAGATGAACGTGATTGCCTCATTGCTGTTTCTCGCTGATACTCCTCCAGCCGACGTCTAGCATCATCAAGCGCTTCACTCAATTCTAACAACTGTTCGCGCCATTGTTTTTCCTGATGATACCATTACAATGAGGGAAATTCTCAATTTTTCAAACATTTTGCGAATAAAGAAAGTGGAAGATCCAAAAGTGATTAAGTAAAAAAACATTCATGCTCATAGTTGCTTTTATCTATCACATGTGTTATATCATGATAATATTAAGAATATAATGGACACCTTTAATTCATGCTCGCTCTGAAGTTGGAAGAACTTTTTTCGGAGATTTTTTAATTCGCTATCGCTATTTTCCAACATATCCCGAATTTCAGCAAATTTGTCTAAACTAGCGCCCATGACCTTGTTGTCTTGGACTAATCTGTCGTTTGATTCCCTGTAAAAATATCAAAAAATGGGAATAGCAGAAAAAGAGAAAAAAAATGAGATAAAAAAAAAAATGAGAAAAAATGAGATAAAATCAATTTGAAAAAAATTAAAATTCGAATGCTCTCAGATCACCTCAATCTGTTCAGTTCCGTATCAATGATACCGATAGCGGATCGAAAACGTTCGACATCAGCACGTAGCTTCTCACGATCATCTTTTGAAGCATCTAATTCCGTACGAAGTCTTTCAACTTCATCCTGAATTTTAAAAACATCAAAAAAAATTTTTTAAAAAGAATCACGAAAAAGAATTTAGAATTGTCGATAACAGCATCTACGCACAGAGAAATCACAATATTCTAATAAAAATTTTTGAAGAGATTAGAATTATTATTCTGAAAGTCAAAATTGGAATAAGATCAAGATACAACTTTGAACCAGCGCTAGAAGTAATTCGACTTTTTAATTGTTGAAAACTGAAATAGCACATCTCAATAAATGCTGATAAACGCACAAGTAAAAATCAACATACCACAGCATCTGAAGCACTTTTTGTCTTTGAATTTTCAAACGATAAACGTAATCGTTCAAAATCGTTTGAAAGTTTTTCGAGCTGATGAACGGTTTCAGCATTTTCATTTTTGCACATCTCATAACGCTCTTCATATTCAATGAGATTAGCTTTCAAAGCATCTGTATAAATTTAGAATCTAGACAAGATTCAAAAACTTCAGCAAAGCCGAAATATTTATTAATGTAACTCGTTACTACGCATACCCCATATTTCACTTCAGGATATTTATCTCAATCCCATAACAGATTTACATATTGCAAATCCGATTAATTTAAGCAGTGATTAGATCAGTTAAGTTCTGACTTACTGAATGACTCGTCAGTAATTTAGCTGGGTGCAATCTATACTAGCAAAATGTTTTTCCACATCACTCGCAAGTTTTGAAAAATGAGTCCCTTAATATTTACTACTTGAAGCTTATCAGATATAACCAGAGAGGAATTCGTGAATTTTTTAAAAATTCAGTTCATTACTAAGAAGCAGTTTTATAACTTCGAATCCTAAGTAGAATGAAGAAACTTATAGAATAAAAATTATAAACAAACCGATACGGGCAGTCAAGTCACGATTCGAGGTGACAACAGAACCATGTTCTGCTTTATGGTTTTCAAAGTCTTCATTTAAATCATTATAAGCTGCTGTAAGTTCGGCATTCTCTCGCCTGAAATGATGCTTTCTTTACTAAAAAATATGATTTTGGTGCTGGGTTTGATGCTCAATAAAAAGTAAACTCCACTGACTAAAAACAACACAAAGAGATCATTTTTCGGACCGAGAAATTTTTAGAATAGTTAACCTAAGTTTTTCTAACTCTCGATCTAATGCTGTTTGCTCCTTTGATCTGCTTTCCGAAACTTCAGCCTGTTTTTGCCACATCACAATTTGTTTGTTGAGTTCTTCAATAGTTTCTGCCATCTTTGATTTCTCGCTGTCTCCGTCTTTGTCATTGGAATTTGCTAGCAATTGCAAATTCTCCACTTCTCTTTGTAATTTTTCAATTTTTGCTCTACAAAAAATTAAAAATTAGAATTATAAAAAAATTACAAATTTCGTAGTACAATGAAATCAAATTGCCAGTAATATTTACCTGCTCTGTTCTCTCTCGTTAGTAATTTCATCGTCAAATTTTTCACGTTGTATATCAATGAGACGGTGCACTTCACCCACTTCGGTTTGTAGCTGGGAAATCTCAGAACTGTAGAAATAAATTATGAAAAGTTTGAGCTACAAAACTGTAAATTGTAAAGTCAAGCGTTAAGTGTCAGAAATCAATTGTAGTAAAAAACTTCCGTGATTGATGCTCATATGATTTTATATGTCCATTCCTTCAGTGATAACTATACTACTCATTCTTTAGTAAAAATATTTTAATGGAAAATGGACTCTGAAATAGGGGTCGGCATTATATCATTCGCTTGATTTTTAGCTAGTGCGATTACCCAACAAAAATACTAACTTTTTTTCAGCAATTTCTCTCCTTGTTACATCTAATTGCTTCTGTAAATTTTCACGTTGTTGTTCCAATTCATTCATTCCTTCACTAAGCACTTTATCGACAGCTTGAAATGTCAACTTATCTACCTGATCCGCCTGCAGTTCATTTTCTTCCTGCATGGACTTGATCTGCAGCTTTTTCTCATTACTTCTTGAATTAACAGATAAAAACAGCATAACTTATACTATTTCATCAGAGAAATTCACCAACAGCTTGCTGTAAAGTTCTAAAAATTTCAAGAATCAACTGGAGGATTAATGCTCAACATTGTAACGCAAAATATAGAGTTCACGAACTTCACTAGAAATCAACCAGAAATGTTAAACTACTGGAGATCTCACTTTTTCCAATAGCAGATTCCGTTCTTCTGTCAATAAATGGATTTGCTCTTTACAGATATCATTCTCCAAAATGTGTTGTTCAGTGTAACGTTCGGAATTTTCTGCTTTTTCATTGGCATTCTAGAACTTTGTTGCAAATTCAGTATTCGTCTTAAAAAACAGCAAATAATTTCATGAGTTCAATATGTAACGTTCAGGAGTTTTTGCTTTTTCATTGGCATTTTAGAACGCTGTCTAATTATACCTTCTTTAAAGAACTGATCACTCGTTAATGTCAAATCAGTGACTTCTGCTACGTAATTTTCATTTAACTGAAAACGATATATCTCAGCGTGCATGAAATAAAGTAGCATAAAACAGTCAGCATTCCGACTATTAAATTTTTGTGTGAATGATTAGTTTGATAAAATATTGCCAAATTTAAAACGATTAAAGTTAGAGTAGAATAGCTGGATATAGCAGCGGCTCTAACTCAGTTATATCGAAATGACGACAAAAATATCCAGCTATTTAATAACACTACTTACAAACCAATAACACTACTTAGTTAAGTGTGAAAGAAATTTTCTGAGTATCACTAACCCTGTCCTCCTGATTCAGAGACTTCAGCTCAGCAACCGTTTCGTTATGTGCAATAATTAGCGCCGCAACTTCATTTTCAAATTTCGTTTTTTGTTCAGCTAAATTATGTTCCAGTTCTGATATCTGTAAGCATAAGAACATCAAATATTTCTTTTCGAATCTCCACATATAACTGCAAAAAGAAGAAAGAAGAATTCCGTTCCTAATAACAAGTAATAGTTCAACAGTTCATTAGTAATAATGAAATTAATAACTCCAGAATCTAAGAATAATTCAAAACTAACAAACAAACCTTCAGAGCATCACTCTTTTCCGATTGTTCATTAACAAGACGTTTCCAATGTGCGGCTTCCTTACGCAATTGATGGATTTCATCCCTCATGCGTGCAACATGAGCATTATTCGCTGGGAATAATCCGTCATCATCTCCATCATTTGATGATTCTTGAATTGAATGATGTGTTCGTTCTAATTCTGCCTACAACTTCATCTTTCATAAATAAGGAGAAAAGCCTCTAAAACCAAGATTTAAATTGTCCCGCAAAATGGAAACCTTAAAATCTTCAGTTACTTCTCAAACAAAAATCAGCGCAAGTTCTCCTAGTTAATAAAATACTAAACTTCCTTTTCAATGACATATGAAAAGAAAATGTACTGTTTAAAGTTAAATGAACACGAAAAAGGAATGTAGGATGCAATCAAATTCAATAATAAAGAAGGTGATGATATGTAACATTTTACAGCAATGCTATACCTGCAACACACGAATTTGAATGTCACGGCTTTCAATCACACCAGTATATTTCTCATTTATTGTTTCTAATTCGAGATTCTTCGCATAAAGCTCTTCCTCAAGACAGTCAATTTTCTTCTTTAACCTGTGTACATTCTCTTTTTCGGTGTTAAGCTCTTTCTCTGCTTCCAAGAGTTTTTTCCTGACAACCTTAAATTAAGCATCAAGTGAAATCGGAAAGACTTATCCAAAATACGGTATAAGACAAAAGATACAAATAGCAGTAGAATAATTTTAACATGCGCACTATTGGAAATTTATCGCATGTTTACACAGCTTACAGAATAATTTCCACGAATATGTTTACATCACCGGAAATACATAGTATGCTTACAAAGAACGAATGATAATCATGGCATAATAGGAAATAATAATAAATAAATAACAAATAACAATAATAATAACAGCAGTTAATAATTAAAATAATAAGTAAATGAACTAATAAATAAATAAACAGTAATAAATAGTAATGTGATACAAACTAGTTCTAAACGAAAATTCCTTGAAAATTATTAAAAAATAGGCTAAATTTATCCCGGTGCATCCGGTCAATTGTCATACCTGCAATTCACTTTCCGGATCATTCACTTCTTCAGTAGCCTCATTTAGTACTTCGGATGCGAATTCCGATAATTGTCCCTGAATGTTACGTAGCCAAGAGCTCATCATCGACTCATCCCTCTTATTCTAAACAATATAAGCTTTAATTTAAGCTTTGAAGTATGTCCACTTGTTATATACCTGTTCACCTCTTCCCTTCATCTCTTCCACCAATACACCAGAAAAGTTTCTAACAAAAAATTATCGCGAATACTGATGGAAAATTATCGTCTCGAGACCGAAGTTCTTTTCTATTTGAGAAAATTTTCTTCCCAATTCAGATCATTTTTATTTTCTCATAGAATCAAATTTATGCTTTGTTTTTGCATTCTTTTTTTTACTTTTCATTTAATTTATATAATTATTTTAAAAAGCAATCGATGATCAAAATTGGAATCGCTTTTTCTTCAAATTTTCCAGTTTACTACAAGTGATTGGTGATAGGGTGTAAAATGATTGCCATTATATCAACAACAAAGCTCAATCGATTCATCTGCTCTCCCAAGAAACCAAACCATCAACTTTTACCATCGTCATCAACTTTTTAAACAATAAGAAATGCTTCCGTAAAAATTTTTCAAAAAAATTTTGATGTAGAAATTAACCAATGAAATTTTGATTGAAATAACATTTTACATTCCTGTTGGGGTTAGGATTCTCGGAATTCTTGCTAATTTTCATCATATATTTATAGAAAATAAAAAGGTAGGGACGGTTAAAAATTTACCGATCAATTTGTCGCTTTGTTTGTAGTTGGCAATTGATTGGCGCTTTAATTAATTGGCGCTAGTATAGTTAATTAATTGGCACTAGTATAGTTAATCTTAATTACTTTTTTTTATTATACAGTTAAAAATATGCTTATTGTTCCAATGGCGTCAATATTGGTTGTTCTTTGGTCTTTGTTAGTTTGCACAGTAAATTTGGGTTACGGTGATCATATTCCTCCGCGTTATACGATAAATTTGGATTTCCCTCCAGAAAGACGTTGGAATGAGGTTATCGATGATCACAAAAAATTGATTCCGGCAGTTATTGAAGAAATCCGGTAATAATAAAAGTTTATGGTATTTGAAAGATTTTGCAAACACTAAATATCAAAGCTAATTATCCAAGTCAACAATTAACAAAAAATGAGTAACTTTGTGAAAATTGTTTTCCTTTCAACATACCAATTTCTTTAGCCATTACGTACCAAAGTTGTTACGCCCAATTCTATGGTGGATTGATGAGAACATTTTGCTGAAAAGGCTTCCGGAAGAATATGCCCGAGAAATGCGTGGTTCTATCTTAATTTTATAGTGATGATAGTGAGACAAAAATTAGATTATGTTAATGAAAGCGATAGCATATTATCTAAAACAGGAAATGAACAAATATTTCCTCTAATTTTAAAATCATATATAGGAGGTACTTTTTCAAAAGTTTTGCAACTAGTTGAACATAGTTAATTCTGGCCTTATTTTAACTAAGCCTATTCAGATTTGACTAAAACAATGAATAACATTGATTTTTAATTTCAGCTAATTTAAAAACTTGAAATTAACATCTTTTTCAGTTTATTTTTAGGTATTGCAGCACGAAGTGACCTTAGTGTTGGTGAGGTGTTAGGTATAAACATTCTGTACGACATTTCCGCTTTCGATCGTAAACAGTTCAGTCTTGAATGTATTATTGCTATTCATTGCGACAGTTTGCATTTACACTCAATTTTAATTTTGAATGTTCCAAAAAAATATATTATCGTATTCGAATTCCCATTCTTTGAAATTGTTAAATTATTCTCAGATCTTTCACATTATGGCCATTCGATGAAGTAAAGTTAGGTAAAATTCTAAAGTGAAAAAAATTTCAATTTTTCAACATATTTCAGTATATTAGCAAACATCGGATGCACATCTATTGTTGCAGAAGATCATAAAGGTCGAATAATTCATGGTAGAAATTTGGACTATGTAATGACTTCACTTATTCGAAACTTAACAATTATTGCTGACTTTACACGGGGAGGAAATGTAAGGTTAACATTTGTAAAAAACCTTTATTTTTAAATTATCCGAACTCTCTTAAATACTTGACAAGTACTTCAGAAAATCTCCATTTAAAGATGCTACACATGTACATTTTAAAACAATATCTATTTCCGGACATCTTCGAATAGATGTATATTATTTAAAAAAGTGTATTTAGATACTTTATACTGCGGTAACTTTCGCATTAAATGTTGGCATATATACTGGACAAAAGCATGGCTTATTTTCGATCAGTGTCAATGAACGCTGTTAGTTAATTAAATTATTGACTTTTATCCTGCTTCGTATCATCTTAATCGCCAAAATTTTGCGAGTTTTTGAATTCTACAAATTTCCAAAATTTTTTTTTAGTTTCTGGAAGTTACATCGATACAGTTCTAATGGAATTTTATACTCAATTCAAAAAACCGCTGACGCTTATTATACGGATGGTATAGAAAGTTTAAATACTTGTTAGAAAATTCTACGAAGATACCACGAATTTAAAAAACTTCGATCAATTCAAAAATACAAAATTTTGGTTTTGAATTTTGAATTTAGAATTGAAAAATGGAGGAAAATGATGATGATGTATTGAATTCTAATCCCTGATTGAAGATAAATGTTTGGTCTATTTTTTCCATTCCTTGCATATTTTAGGCTCTTGAAGAGAAAAACACATTCAAAGAAGCAAAGGAAATGCTGATGAATGAACATTTTATAGCTCCATCATACTTGATCATAGCTGGCACCAAAGCACGACAGGCCTGTATTATAACGAGGTTTCTATGATAAAAATACCTAACTTCACTCCAAGTCACATTCTTAATTTAAGGTTTTTATTTCGAATTCATTTAATTTTATAATCTTTTAAATTTCTTCCAGAGATCGCTGGAAGACCGCAGATCTGGAATGTATCGATTCACAAAAAGGTCAATGGTTTTTAGTGGAGACCAATTTTGATCACTGGAAGGTCAATAAGGACAAGCGTCGGTTTGTAACGAATAATAAATTGCAGTTCAAGCTTTGAAAAAAGAAGTATGAAATGTATAAGGAAATAAATGTTGTTAAGAATTACCAAATAAAGCCTATGATTTTAAATAACAGTCGGAAATTTTTCAACAAATAACAATAGTGATAAAGTCGTTAATTTTTTAGAAAAACAGCGGAAAAAGCCCTTCAACGGATTGGTAAACATGCTATAACATATAAGAAAATGCTCCATATTCTCTCACTTCATCCAGTTGAAAATAAGTGAGTTTTTTGAAATACAAAATCAAATTATCAGAATTAGTCAGAATGTAAAATAAAATAAGGAAAGAATAATTTGTTTTTTGTTGGATCTTTTTTTGGAAAAAGCGATCTTGCTAAACAAGTCTTTTTCTGCTTCTAACAAATGTAGATCGTCAGCAAAACAATAATCATATGAGTAAATATGTTATTCTATGCAATTATTTAATTCATATTGATTATATTTTTTACCTTTTATGGCAGTATACTTTATACTTTATTATACTTTCTTTGATTATACTTGAATATATTTTTGATTATATTATATATTATACTTGATCATACTTGATATGTGCTGGCTATATGATTATACTTTTTATGAAAATAGCCGTTTTATTATTTGCTGCAATCGTCCACATATAAGTGAAAATTGAAAATTTATAGGGAAATGAAAAATACGACGAAATTGATAATGCCTAAAATTTTCTTCCTTATAACATTTGTTGTTTAGGATTTAATCAAAATTAAAATAAAAAAAAGAAATTCTTCAAACAAAATTGTCTGTATTTTTCAGTTACACGATTTTCTCTACAGTGATGTCACCGTTAAACCAATCCGCTTTGTACGATTATACTGTTGTTCGAGAGTAAAGCATCATTGATATGATTTCTTTTATTTAATGCCTTTTCTTTCGTAAATTGATTATTCATCATTTCATAATATTATTGAATTCTGTCGAATTTCAATATTTTTTATTAGTGATATTTCATGATTGATACTGATCATTAGAAAAGTTATTTAAATGAATAAACCTGAGATGATTAAGTTGAATTAATGAAACTCTATCAGTTATTAAATGAGTTCTAATAAGTTTATATTGGCCATTCATATGTTTCAGCAACAGGATATTATGAATAAAGATAGAAAATCTAAATGTGATGCGAATTTTATGATGATTCAGTATTAGTGTATATGATAAGATGAATTATGATAAATTTTCATGTAATCTTGATAATTGGTTTAAACGGCAAAATCTTTTCCATTGAAAAATAATAAAACTTAAAAAACTGAAAACCACATGTATATTTTAAGTTAAGGGATCTAAGAAAATCATTATTTTGTCAGAGATTGGTCGTGAAATTGTGAATTGCAATCGAAAGCGAAAGGAGAAAGTATTCATTTTGTTTTAATTTTATTAGTGTAAACTTTATATTTCTCAATATTGAAATTTTGATTTCTCTAATTTTATTTCAGCTAGCAATTGTCTCAACGAAAGATGCTAATAAAGTGAAATAGCGTAGAGAAACTCGATTATTAATTAAATGAATTGAAGAAAGGAAATTGTTTGTAGATAATACATTGTATCGGCGACCCTTATCATTGCTATTAACAGATCAGCTAAGTCTCCTCCTATCACACCTCGATAATCAAATTATTAAACAATTGTTTTCATTTATATATCAAAATAATTGATTATTTTAATTGTTGATAATTTACTAATTACTCATAATCCTTTATATCAAAATAACTGATCATTTATAATTATTACTAAATTTATTTCATGATTCTAATAGTTAATACTATGCATTACAAATGTTCTTTTTTATATGAATTTTTTACTGCTATAAACTGTTCATGCAATTTATAGAGTAGATCGAGAAGAGAGAAATGAAAAAAGTAAAAATTTTTAAGGAAAAATAGGAAGGAGAAGAAGAAAGGATTATGCTAAATATGGCAGAAGTAATAAATTTATATTATCCATAGCAACTGAAACATCATCTCAAAGCCAGTTGATAGGATTATTTTACTTTTATTGACGTCAGCAATGGTTTACGATCAAAGTGAGTGACCAGTAGAACAGATGCAAGGAACAGCCGCATTAAAACATTTTGCTTTGAGACCATTTACTATGTTATGTGTGTTTATATATGTGTCTATATAGACTTATATGATTTGATTGTGCTTGTCGAATTTCACTTAAAATTTATCGATTGTAAACTTTTCAATTATATCATTCACTCATTCAATAATGTTATTAACGGCTAAAAAATAATTTACAAATAAAAGGTAAAAGGAAAATAGGTAATCACTTTTAACCTGACTAGCTAAGGTCGTACTTCTAAACATCGACATAAGACACTCAATTGAAAGGAAAATAAAATTTTTATAGATTAAATTGCATTAGATTAGTATTCCGTTGACTATACTCCATTTAAGGCTTTTTAACTAACTAGTCAGATTGAATTATTTACTTAATATCTCTTACTAATGCTGCTCAATAACATTGTTATTGATATTGATAAATACATCGTTTTTGATATTGTTATTGATATTCTTGCTATTACTAGGCTCTTTATTGAAAAAGGAAATTTATTCAAATATCATTCAAACGGATATGTTTTGTTTTGTTTAATAGTAATTCAATAAATTTATTACTTGAAAAACGAAAGAATATTTTAATAGTTTTATAAGGATAAATAAATTAAAGTTTAAGTGACGCAGGATAGGAAATAATTCGATATAGTCTTCTAATCTGCAGAGATAGTTAAATTAAGCATAATTTAACTTTCAGGTTAACTTAACTTTAATCTTTCATTAACTGAGTAATATAGTTATTGAGTAATATAGTAATATAGTTAATATAATGAGTAATATAGTAATATACTGAGTAATATAGTAATATAGTTAATATAGTTAGTTATTGAAAATTATTTGCAGAAATTTTTTTAGTCATCAAAAAATTTATTATAAATTATAACTTTCATCGTTGTTGTTGAAAATAGTTTCAAATACATATTTTTTTTTAATTATTTAGCAACGTTAATTACTTTTGAAGTTATTTTAAATAGAATATAAATGTTTAAAACGGCTACCATCGAATTTATTGATGCTCAAAATTATCAGTAAAGGGGTAGTGATTAGTTGTCTAAATGAAAAATAGAATTACCTTACAATTATGATTATGAAAACAGGTCAGAGGTTATTGGAATTTATCTAAATAACATTTAATAAATTCATTTTGCATTTTGCACTTCATCCAAACTATTAATCATTACTTCGAATGAAAAAATGAATAATCATTTTATTCTTACTAATTTTATGCTAAGTTAATTCTCTTCGATAAATCAGATATTAATTAAAGTTTCAATTTCACTAAAAGCATCAATTAAAAAGTTTCCAATTAAAATTAAAATAAACAATGAATGTCAATCATTTCATATGCTATAAGCTTCTTAATCATTTCCTATTATTTCAATCTTTTTCTTATCAAACTACTTATTTCATTTTTACTCTATTTCAGTTTTGCTCGTTCTTATCAATCCATTCTTTACAACAAATTGCTTATTTTGAAAATCAGAATTTTTATTTTGGATAATTATCACAAATTTAATTAACATTTTTATCTTAAAATAATAATTTGCAACAAGAGGAAAAATGGAAAAAATGGAATTAAGAAAAAGTAAAACTATTCATTGTAAATAATTTGTTACTTGGTAAAAAGATTTAGTAATTCAATATTTTAAATTAATAAATAATGAAGAATGAAAACGAACAGGGTGAACAGGTGAACTTCAACTACTGATTGAATATCAATGTTCCGATACATATTAATGAATGTAGTTTGTATGTCCATGTTTTAATATATATCTGCTATTTTTTAAATTTCTTGTTTAATTTCTCTCTTAATGAATCGTTTGTTTATATTCCAATACATCTACACATATTAATGTCGTAAATGGCAATTTATTCTTAGTTAAATTTATTTGCTATTTGTTGAAATTATTCGACAAAATTTCATGAATTAAAAAGAAAAGACGAATGGATCAATTTCTCTTACCGATTTTTCCATTCTTTTATATTTTTCAAAATTTTCTTTGAAATTCAAAAAGGAAAGAATTTTTGTTAGTTTTGAAATTTTGTCTTCGATTTTGGGATTTATTTTGTTTTATGTCAAAAAATCAGCAATTTTTCGACAGAAAAAGAGGAGAGATTAAAAATTTCACTTTGCTTATTTGTCATTCAATGTAAATTAAATCTTTCCTTCCAATTATTTATAATAGTAATAATTAATTAGTTAATATATATTTTATTTATCAAGTTTATTAGAAATTATTGTTGACAGAACTATTTTTTTGTCAGACAAAAAATTAATTATTTTCAAGTATTTTAATATTAATGCATCTGTCACTTATGAATCGTTCATGAATTGAAAATGAGCATATGTGTTTGTTTATGCATGCGTGGGTGTGATATTTTATAACATCATTAATCATTTCAACAGATAAGGTAAAGAAATTTCTCGGGAACAAATTGAATTAATATTGGATGAATTTTTAAACAAAATTACAATCACTTCATCCAATAAGTCACAATGATTGTTTGATATCATTCGAAATTAGAAGGGAAAATGCAAGTCAATGTTAATAGACTGATAGACTAACTTAAAGTTTTTAAATTTACTCTATTTATGCTACTATTAGTGGTTGACATCTATTATGTAATAGTTCTCTATAATTTTATGTTAACGTTTAAATTTCCTATACTTATCAAAATATTTGCTTTCATCAATAACCGAGGAATATTCGTATTTGATGGGATAATAAGACAAACAGTAGAAGAAGAATATTTCCATCTGAAATTTGAATATAAGATATTATATAATAGCAAAAAATTATTGCTATCAAATGACAATTTTTGAGATTTTCAACATTTTAATTAATCACTATAACTCATTAGATTATTTGCATATATGCAAAATTTTCATTTCAATTCAACAGTATGAAATTAAATTTTAGCATATAAAATATTTAAACAAATTAATGTAATTAGTGTTATATTTATGAAATGATGCAATTACATTATTTTTTCTTCATTTTTTCTACAATGAAGAAAAATGAAAAAATTTCGTATCATTGTATTTTATTCTTTTCATTACTATAACATTTACAATTACTATAAGTTCATTATAATTATTATAAATTAGTAGGAAAAATTTTTTTTAATATTTAAAAGTATTTAAGCTTATTTTAAGTTTAACTACTCTAAGCTTAATTTAAGCTTAAATACTTTAAGTTTAATTTAAGCTTAATTTGCTCTGTTTAATTTATAACATACTTTATCTTATAATTTTTCCACTGCAAATAATGCAAAAGATTATTGCATTATAAAATGTTTTTAAATATAAATATATTTATTATATTAAATAAAATAAATTTAATTTAAATTTTAAATTAAATTTCAATTCTTAAATTTTAAATCAAACAAAAATTCATCATTTTTTCCTATTATATTTCATAATTTCGTAAATGAAATGCAAAAAACTATATTCAGTTAATCAAATAATTAAATTGAAATAAATTGCAATAGTTGTAGAAGTAGTAGTAATTGTAGTAGTAGTAGTATTAGTATTAGTAGTAGTAGAAGTTGTAGTAGTAGCAGTAGTAGTTGTAGTATTAGTATTAGTAGTTGTAGTAGTAGTAGTAGTAGTAGTCGTAGTATTGTTGTTGTTTGTTTAGACTAAAATTGGTTAAAGTTGTTGGGCGCAAAAATGATAGAATGTTTTGATGAGAGAAAAATTGACGTCATCTTTTAACATGTTTTGTTGTTATATGTAAACGAAAATTTTCTTCAATAACTTTAAAGCCTTAAT